AAAATACAAATTTAACATGTGTTGTCCTATGGGATCGAACGTTAGTATAAATTCAACAGTATGAATTAAAACACTTCCCTTGGGTTTTTCCTTCCGTCCTTGCAAAATCCGTTAAGTGCTCAGCTTTTTTTTTTTTCTGTCTAATCTCTCCCTTCCCCTCTCACTACATCTGTACATCTATCTCGAGGTAAGCAATCCACCGTGCGCAGAACACTACACATCGTAAAAAAATTTTCTTTCTTTATTCTTAAAGTCATAACTGGTATAATTAAACATGTTGTCTTGGGGCGATTCCATTGACTCGTACTTGTCCGCAAGAATTGCATTCTTCTCCAAAAAGTTATTATTATCAACGTAGTTGTTATACATGCTCATGTTGGGTTCCTCCCTCTTGCCATTATAAATGGAAGACGGCATGTTACCACCCTTCTCCATAAATGATTTGTTGGCTACTTTGTCTGAAAAGGATTCTGCGTACGAATTGTAATATGGCTGGTTTCGCGGTACTACACCTGTTGCGCCTTCACCGTTAAAGTGCAAATTGGAGTTGCTTGCACTAGCTCCCTTGTGGTTTACATTCAATTTGCTAAACGTGTTCGTGTCGCTGTTTGCATAAATGTTGCTCAGGTTAAGGTTATTCATCATGATATGGTTTATCATGCTTAGGTGGTCCTTGCTCGTTTTTTTGTTGATAATGTTGTTGACGACGCCTCCGTTCATGCTCGCGTTTTCCGCTGTAGTACTGCTGTTGTGTTTGCCAGTATGGCCGCCGCTTGGACCACCGCTCAAAGGGCCCACGTTATTCTGGGCCGAATTAGTCGCACTACTCATCTTACTTATGTTCATCATATTAAAGTTACTCATTTTTGCATGCAAAACTTCGGCGTAGTTAATTCCACCTTTGCCATTCTTCATGCTTCCAAGGTAGTGAATATCTGCGTTGCCTTCGACGGCGCTTCCTCCTGTGCTGATATTGTTGGCATAATTGTGCACATTTGGGGGGCTCATTATGTCTGCAGTGTTCATGTCGTTCATTATATTTACACTACTCATACTATTCAACACGTTTTCGCTATCGCACGTGGGGCTATTGACGAAGTTATTTTTTACACCTAACTGCTGCGCGGCGTTCTTTCCAAACCCTCCCGCTACGGCTACAGCTCCACCACCTGCTACTACGCTTCCCCTATTGTATACCTTCACATTGTCTGCCTTGACATAATTCATATTATTTAAAAAGCTTTTGTATTCATTTCTATCGATTGGGGCATTTTTCTTATCGTCATTTGGCAGCACATTTCCGCTTGCAAACTTGGCTCCTTGTTCTTCCTCCTTTACAATGTTGGAGAAAATTTTGGTTCCATTTTTTCTTTGGCTAACTGGGTCATAGTGATCATTCTGCTCGAAGTTGCTCATGTTCATTTTATCTGCAGCATTTCTCTCATTGCTTTTTTTTTTGATGACGGTATTGGTGACGTTGGCACTTCCTGCATTGGCGCTTCCGCCGTTTGCGCTTCCTCCATTGGAGCTTTTATTTTTGTTCTTATTATGTTTGTTGTTCTTGTTGCCATTTTTCCCACTCTTTCCGTTCTTTCCATTGTTGCCACTGCCGTTGGCGGTATTCGTGTTGCTGCTTGCCGTGGTCTGCTCTCCGCTATTCTTCGGGATCCCACTGTGCACGCCATTCGCCATGATACTTCCATCAGCATTATAGACGCTCTCACTAATACAGCTAGTTCCTAACAAGACTGTATTTTTGCCATTCCCTTCCTTCACATTATTTTTGCTATTCTTCTCATTTGTGGTGCTGCTCAGCTGATTAAAATTTTTGTTATTCTTGTTTGCGTTGCTCGAGCCGTTACTGTTAAAGGTAAGGTTCGCTCTGGACTCTCTAGTGTCAAGGGGCGCTTTGTTTGCTGCGTTGTATACGTGAACGATGCTTGTGCCTAATGGGCCCACATTGCCAATGCCGCTAACGGGACCAACGGAACCATGTGCATTACTCTTAGTGGTGCCTCCGGAAACGTTTGGGTCAGCCATGTTGGCAAAATTCAGTTTGTTGCTTCCATTCACATTATCGCAATTGCTCAAGCTCATGTTATGCTTCATCATGTGGTGCGATGCGTAGCTAGTAGTGTCCATTCTTAAATTGCAAAATTTCGTTTCGTGCCCACTGATTAGATGCGTCCCGTTGCTCAAGTTAGCATTGCTCGTGCTGTTGGAGGAAGATGAACTCAGATTTTTCATAAAGGAATTGTTTTTCGCCTTTTCACCAATGTTGTTGTGATTGCCGCTGTTACTCATTGCGCTAACCATGTTGCTCATCACGTTGGTCAAAGTGCATGAACATGGTGGCGGTGGTGGAGGAGGTGGGGGCGGATTCTTCAAAGGAAAATTCGAATTTGCAACTTTTTTCATGTTGTTCACCTTGTCGTCCTTGCAGGTGGTGTCATGCCTTGGTATTGTCATATTTGGCGATACGATATTCATAGCGTCAAAATTGCCGCTACTCATCTCATTATTCTTTGTGGTAAGGTTACCATTCTGCATTAGACCGCTCGGCACATCACTGTTCATAGGGACATTGTTTTTGTGGCTTCCCTTAAAATTGGCATTCGCAATTACACCATTTGCAATCATATTTTTGTTATAATTCATGTGCGTCATGTTTACTTTGTTCACCCCGTTTTTATTCAAAACGGGTTTTCCGCTAACATGTGCGCCACCGTTACCACCGTCGTTGTTATTTCCATTCCCGACGATTATTGTGCCGCCTGGTCCGTCAAACAGTGCGCAATCAATTTCGCCATTCTCTGTATTGCCTTTATCATTCGGGTTGCTTACACTTGTGGGGTAGCTATTAAATGAATTGTACTTGTTTGGCATGGAGTACTGCTTAAGAGTACTTATGCTACTGTTCGTTTGGGGGGCTGCATTGCTCCCGATGTTAGCTGCAACTAAATTTACGCTTTTTAAAAATGGGCCAGTGCTACTACCACTGCCGTTGCTGTTATTGTTGTTGTTCTTAATGCTATTCTTTCCACTTGCGCTTGAGCTATTCTTATGACTTCCGACATTTCCGACATTTCCGCCATTTCCGACATTTCCGCCATTTCCGCCATTTCCGCCATTCGCATAATTCATACTAGGTGCATACATACTATTTGATGCAATTCCGTTTCGAGCCATGGAATTGTTGTTTTCCACTTCGTAATTTCCCTTAACTGCATCTATAATACTTTCTTCCGATATATTTAGACTGTTCATGGAGCCGCTTTGTCTTACATTGACCTCGTGCACACTGTTGATGCTGTAATTGTTATTGGTGCTCCTGCTATTTATGCTAACGTTGCCAGCGCCTTGCTTCAATTTTGAATTCCCAGTGTTAACCGCAGGTGCACGGTTCACACTCATGTTACTGTTCAAGCCGTTCATATTATTTACCCCCATGCTGTTAGCAACCATACCGTTATTTATACTGTCGAGGGTTATTCCAGGCGCGCCTACATTTAAGCCACTTGGAAGTACAACAGGGTTGTTTAAGTTACTTTTACTAAGATCAACTACGTTGTTTTTGCCTACTTGACCATTTTTTCCAATCAAGCTTCTTTTGTTTGGTATAGAGCCTTTACCAGATACGTCGCTCTTTACGCTTATATTAACATTGCTATTCTTGCCACTCAAACTGCTGACGTTATTTAGTAGTACGGTGTTCTTTATGCTGTTCACGTTCATGTTGTTAGTATTCATACTAATTATATTTCCATTAGGGTTGGTAAAATTGCGATTCGTGGATCCTCCTCCTACGTTTATATTTTTCAAATGATCGCTACTGCTGCTGACATTGGCTATGTTAAAATCGTTACTCCTATTATCGTTGCTGGGGCTTTTCACCACATCATTAAACATGTTTTTGGGCGTCTTGGGGCTGTTTTCTACGTTGCTTTTGTTGGCATTCCCTGCAATGCTCATGGCCTCTCTGGAATTGTTTTTGTTGCTGTTGTTGCTATTGTTGTTATGGCCGTTGTTGTTGTTGTTTCCTTTGTTTTTGCCGTTCCCTTTGGTGTTACCGTGGTTGTTGCCATTCCCTCCATTGTGTCCACTATTGTGACCTCCACTACGACCGCTGCTATGGCCTGTGCCGCTGCCGCCGGTGTTGCCACCATTGCTTCCTCCGTTATTTCCCTCATTATTGCCTCCGTTATTGCTGCTACCATTACTGTTGCCACCGCCGTTATCGTTATTCTTGCCGTTGTTCTTGTTATTATTTTTGTTAGAATTTTTGGAGTTCCCCTTGCCGTCACCTTTGGTGTCTCCCTTTCCTCCACCTTTGCCGTTATTTTTGCCATTTCCCTTACCACTTCCGCTTCCACTTCCATTTCCACTTCCACTTCCGCTACCATTTCCGTTGGCGCTGTTACTTCCACTGTCGCCACCACTAAGGCTGTTCGCGTGTGCGTCGCTATTAGCCAGAGCCCGCAGCGACTTGGCATTCACAGAACTCATATTAATCAACTGTGGATGTGTGCTGTACTTGGCAAAATCCCGGTTATTCATAGAGCCGTTTTCATATGAAGAGAGGCCAATAATGTTGGTCGGCATCATATTCCCTACATTCGCAATAGTGTTGTAGTTATTTTGGTTTACATCTGCATAGAGGTTGTACAACATGTCACTTTTAACGTTGCCTTTGACCGCGTCCTTGCTGAAGCTTATTTGGTATTCCTTATTTTCCAGATAGGAGTTCATCATGCATTTCCTTTCCTCCATGTACATGTGGTTGTATTCTCTGCTTCGCTCTTCGCTGTCGTTGTTGTCGCTGTGATTTCCGCTGTGGTCGCCGCTGTGGTTGCCACTATGGTTGCCACTGTGGCTAGCACTATGATTTCCGCTATAATTGCAATCGTAGTTGGCGCCATAGCCGCAGCCGTAGGCGCAATTGGCTCCTCCGTAGCAGTGGCCACTGGCCCCATGGGCATTATTATTGCCCTTTACATACCCACTGCCATAATGATTGGAACTATTAACTTTGTGTGGATTGTCCTCCAACTTGGGATTGTAATTTTTTATAGTGGACCCCAAGCCGTATATAATGCCTGAATACTTCTTGTCATCTATTTTGTTATCGAAATACAATTCCAGCAATTTGAAAAATGTTTTACACGTCACGAGAGAGTCTGAACCAGCCTGGTGTTGTCTTCCTATCCTCTTCACACTTAAAATTTCGCTAATTTTTTGCAATGAGTAAGTCCTACTTAATTGCTTGATGTTCAAATTGAGAAGCAAATACTTTATATCGTACAAGGAAGGAAAGAAATCGTTCAGTAAATCAAAAAAGGCAATTTCATTATGAGGTAAAGCACAACACGTTAGTATTTTTAACAGATAAGCAAAATCATAGCAACCATGAAAAGATATCCATTTGACGTCTTCATTCATGACAAGACCTGAGGACATAATGACTTCCCCAAAATGCAACAACTCGATACCTAGGGATTGATGTTTTTCAAAATTTATTCCACTCAGTTTTAGGAAGTCTATAGAATTCTGAGCATACATATCACTTTCCAAATCAAACTTAAAATTGAATTGCCATGTTGACACCTTAGGTAGCTCCCCTTTCCCATTCGAAAAGGTAACTCCTAATTGTATAACCTTCAATAAATCTACATTGCATTTTATGGTTTGGTAATTATAATCTATTACATTTCCTGTTGGCCTAGCAACAATTCCGGGAAATTCTGTGTCGATAGCAACATAGGGATGATTTTCGACTACATCCCTGATTCGTTCAAATTCCTCCTCTAGATTATTTGCCCATACGTCTACGATTTTCGTTCTCTCATCCATGTATGACATGTAAATTTTTTATCTTATGATTCATTTAAACCTTGCACGATAATTCCTTCTTCTATCGTTTTTCTTTGTTTGGTGGCTACTTGCGCTACGCGATTGGTGTTTGCTGCTTGCGTTACTGTAATTGTTAGTGCGGTTAATCTTGCAGTTGTTATTTCTACTGCTGCTTCTCCTTGTAAATGCCATATACATGTGTACTTTCAGCCAAGTTCAAATACCTTTAAAGCAATCACCACTAGCGTCAGTCTTTTTTTCATACACATATGCGTGCGTGCGTTAGCATACATGTTTATGCATGTGTATGCATACTCAAGCGCGCCTGTGCGTTCGAGCGTGTGAAGGTCTCGGTGGGTAAGTACGTGTACCAGCGTATGTACGGGATGGTATACTATAATGTTTAAGGGTTTACTTTCGTGGAAAGATTTTCTTCTGTACGTGCACGTGTGCATATGCACACCAAGGTAAGGGGGTGCACTAGCGTAGATGACTCACGCGTGCGCAAATATTTACACGTTGGGCCCTGTTCGTCGGGTGCAAAATACAGCTCCTACACGTTCACAATCGTTTGGCGAGAAAAAAATGTTTGTACTTGTTACGAAAGCGCGCACGCTCGGCAAGGTCACGTTCACATTTAGTACCACAGCAACTACCACAGGTGTTGTTGTTGTTGTTTTGCTGTTCTGTTCTTCCTTAAGACTCTTACTTTGTATACACAATTCGCAAAATGAAACATAATCAAAGGATTTAACATTTCATATTTTATCCTTTGACTTTTTTTTCTTTCGCTTAATCCAAAAATTGTGCACATAAAAATGTAATAAAAATGTTTTTTCCCCCTTGCCCCCAAAAAAAAAGCTCACATGTAATTTCTTAATTTACCAAAAAAAAAAAAAAATAAAAACAAAAATGGAAAACGATTCAAAATATTTCTTGTACACATTTACGCACATGTATATTTGTACATTGTACATGTATACATGTCGTGTACGCATACACAGAGCACAGATATCCACATGTGCTTTCACGCATGCTTAATCACCTGTACACACATTCAGACGCATTTATAACGCATGTCACCACTTGTTTATGCATACTTGCTCACACATGCGCGCATATGCATATGCGTAACGAAACAAGGCACACGTGAAAAGTTTTAACTTTCAAAAATAGAATGTTTTAGAACGATAACACACATAATGCTCGTTGGTACCAAAAACATCCTATTGCGAAATAATAAACAAACGATCACACGAACAAAAAAGGAAGCGCGCTGGGGTTGAGCGCCTATGTGGTACAGGTGGAACGACGTACGCTGAAGCATATGTGCACCATACCTACACGTACATGTGTAAGCACATGTGGAAGTGCGTCAATAGTGGCACACGCGTTGTGGAGGTACGTTCACGGGGAACATGTACATATGCACATGTGAACATGCATACAAGGACGAATTTATATATAAATATACATAAGTATATATACGCATAGGTACACATCCGCGCAACGCACACCCACGAGTATACTTGTGTAACACCGCTTCGTCGCACTTGGCAAAATGCAGTCGTTACTATGTTACATTATGAATCATTTTTCTCTGCTTCGCTTTTCTCAAAGCAACTGACTCGTTTTTCGGATTTTTTTTTTTTCGTGCACCTTAGGTGAAAAAAATACCCTAAAAATGATGTTCATCAAGCGACAGGGCTATTCCTGCTTCGCACCTATGTATATATATATACATACTCGCTTATATATATACACAGCGTGCCCTGAAAAATAATGCCTTTTCCGTTAGGCTAATATGTGCCCTCATATGAACTAATGCGAATGTATCATGTAGCACGCTGCGTGTTTGTGTACATAACATACATATACATGTAACGTACGACCTCTTAAGCATTACAAGTGTACATATACACGATGAGCATACATAGGAAGGAACACTTCACAGCTTCACAAAACGCAAATTAAGGAGCCAATGGTCACGCAAGGAGTATATATATACTTACGTATTTTCCATAAGTACATATATCTTTGTTCCATTCACATATGTTTTGTTCACTTCATGCTTTTGGCATAGCTCTGCGATGAAATATGGCATATGTAAAATGGTATTTCTCAACTTTACGTAAAAACTATGCAAGAAAAATCACGTTCATCTTAATGACTATTTTTCTCTATTATAACATTTTTTCATGCAAAAAAAAATATATATATATATACTTGTAAGAAAAAAGAATGGCAGGAAAAAACCACATATCTTTTTCTTTTCTCCCTTTGAAGTAGCAAACATGTATAAAAAAATGGATTATTAAAAAATGGATAATAAAAAATTGACGAGAAAAGCCCTGAGGAAAAAAAAAAAAAGGGGGGGGGGTTACACGGGTTTGCGTTTTGCGCGGAGTGGTGGGTTTTGCATTGTTTTAAACTGGTTAAAATTTTATACAAATATATATAATAATTAATTGCCCAGTAAGCATAATATACCATTTCTTCTTCAGGGAATTGTAATACGGGGCGGCTAGTGTATATATGCTTAAATGAGCGTGTATTTATGTACATATATTATAACGTATATAATGTTGCTCATTTTTGAAAAGGAATATTTTATACCTGTGTTTAAGCAAGTTTTTCTCAACCCCTATACATGCGAAATGTTAACATATGTAATATATATATATTTCTTACATTTATATGCCTGCATACTGTTTTTTCCACTCGTTCATGAGCTGCAAAAACTGTCCTTCAATTTTTTTCCTTTTTTTTTTTTGTTAACCGCCGCATTTCTTAATTTACAATCTTCTCGTTTTAGCTTCCTCTTTTTTTTTTTTTTTTTTTTATTCCTTTGGTGAATGTGGTATAAATAAAAACATTTTGTCATTTTTTAAATGTAGAAGAAAACACATAAGAGATATAAACACATCGTATAACATCTCCTTTAAATCCTTTAACCGAAGACTTTTGCGTTATATCATGTGATAGAATTTACGTCCGTGAGCGGCCATTTAGCCGTTCTTGTTTTGTTTTGTTTTTTTTTATCACAAGAATGCATAAGTGTTTTAATTACAAGGCCGTGTATAATACAGGGGAAAAAAAAAAATTAATGTAAAAGGTGTAACCCCCAAAGAACAATCAAAACAAAAAAAATGCAAGTGTTCCAGTTCATTCATAAGGAAAAGAATTAAATGCAGACCTTTCCATTTCAGCTGCAACAAATAATGCAAAAAAGAAGGTCACATACATATATACGCTACATATATAGCATGTTTGTGTATTTTTATGTGAGAAAAGTTGTGTTCCCTTCAGAGAAGTGAATTTTCCCAAAGGCCTTTTTGTTTTTTCATTTGGCAAATGTGTATTAAACAATTCAGCTATGTGTACTTATTTGCTTGTGTTAATTACCCGCAAAGTTTTGCCCCTCCCCCCGTCTTCATGTTACTTCATAGTGGAGTTCATGAAAGGTACACCTCATGTCGTACTTTTTTTTTTTTCTTTCTATCTCATGGTAAATGACTTAAATTGTTAAAAGGAAAGGAAACTCGGCAAAGTGCAAAATTGGGTGTAAATAAAGTAATGCTTACACGAGCGATGAGCGCGTAAAGGGAAAAACATAAACATTATGCCGCGCCGTTGTACCCTATAGCGAAGTGTTATCCATGGAAAATTTTGTTATTTCATGTCAGAGTCATTTGCACGTGTAAGTATTATATGCATACAAGTAAGTACACCGTGAACATAGAATTGTTCTTGTTACATATGATTCTGTAGCGTGATCCGTGCGCATGTTTGGTTGTAATATGCGCAAGTATACATAGGCTCGCAAGTGCAGATGCGGGAGGGAGCTCATTTGCCCGCTCCAAAAAAAGAACTATTCGCGTATCATACATGATTGCCAAATGGCAGAATACGTATAAAAATGTGAAGCGCTATAGCAGTAGGTCAAATCGGCAGGATGGAGAATCCTCTTTTATATTTCACACCGATGAAATTGTTCAGTCTTTTTTTCAAATTAACCAAAGCCGAGGTATATTTTCCGTGTATTACACATTTAAAGGTGTAGATATACATGTAGAGTTATGAAAAAGAATGATTTGTTTTCTGAGTCATTCGCCCATAATGAAAAAAACCCATTTTGCGTTGGCAGCCTTCGAACGGCTTAATTTTGTCTACCCACTATCCCTCTTAATGTAAAAAGCCATTTTTTCACAAGAGGCACTGTTGGCATTTTTCAGCAGCGTTTTGGCTACTTTCCCACTGGAAACGTAGTATGTACTTATAAAATAGGTGTAGAAAGAAAAAAGTTTGCTGTTTTATATATATACAAACCAACGAATAGTCTGTTATTATGCTGATACATATGGGTGACCCTGCAGCTGCAGCCCATCCCACAGGTTTATATGAAGGGAAAGCAACAGTAAAATGATTTTAGCTCTCCCCCGTCTCAGAGGGCTGAAACGTGCACACACATATATACATTACATATGTGCACAGTGGTTTTATAAAGATGCATAAAAAAAGGAAGCAGCAAAAAAAAAAAAAAAAAAAAAAAAACACTTTTTTAATTAAAAATTGGCGCTTACGTGGCAAGCTTTTTTTTTCCTTTTATTCTTTTAAAAAAAAAAATTATCTAAATGTAAATTTAACAAAAAATTATATAAATATATAAATAAATGGAGCGTTTACTATTTTTTTTAAAAAAAAAAAAAAAAACAATTATGAAGGGATGGGAAAAAGACTGGCAATTTTTTTCAAAAAAAATTCCAAGTGTCCCATCATGTCGATGTTGTACTTTTTCACTACGCATATGTATATCCACACGTGTGTCCCCACATGAGACCACATTTATGAAGAGACGAGAGAGCAGTCACTTCGTCTCCCCTCACCAGTGTGGACACAACTCAGGCCCACTTGGAATACATAGTTTTGTTTATTCTCCTTATGTAAGATATGTACGTACCAATAAACACCAAAATGATTAAAAAGAGAAGAAGAAGTAAATTAAAATTTTCAATAGTGTCAAATGATCCGTTCGGCTGATAACAAGTAAAATACAGACGGTTTCCCCAGGAAAATACAAGCGTAGTAGATTCTAACAAACTGTCATTAGATATGAACCCCCTAGAATTGTATAAAATATCCGTTTGGGTAATAAAGGAGTTCAAATTTTTGTACACATTTTTATCTTTCTCTGGCCCTAAATTTAAGGAGGTTATTTTGTTCGAATCAAGAAGTAGCAAAAGATGTTTATTCGTTATTCCTCTTTTCGTTTCGGTAAAATTAAAAGATTTGACGTTATGATCAATGATATAATTTTTTTCATTTACGATGATTTTCTTCTTCTGGTCAAATAAATCAACAATTTTTTCTTTTTTCGAAGTTATCAAGTTGAAAAATCCGGGGTCTTTCTTATCCAGTAATATTTCAATGACCTGAATAATATATTTTTTCAGTTTTGCATTAAAATAATTCAGAATGACATAATTTTCACTTATCATTAAATGGAAAGGTGGGTTGGTGTGTCTGTCCAACATTTTAGAAATAATAAGATCTCCAGTAATTCCATCAATGATATACAGTGTATATATGATGCCCTCCTTCTGGTCCGTGCTTGTTATAAATGATATGATGTTATCATTCACGTACTTGTAGCATATAGACGCGTCTTTATTTATTTTTATTGGGTAAAAGGTGTCCTTCTTTGTTATGGAATTGGCAAAAACCTCCAATTTCTCATTGTGCAGATTTATGGAATATGTCATTATTAGCCCCATATCGTTGCCGAGTCCCTTTTTTTGGGGAAAGTTAGTCACTTTGAAGCCTTCAATGAAGTTTGTAGCCCCATTTATGCGGTAAAAAAATAGATCATCCTCTGTGCCGCTAGCTAAGCTTCCCCCCGCAACGGGCACCACTTTCACATTTAGTGAGTCATCCACCGCCAAGATTGATGAGCTTTTGCGGTCGATAAAAATGTTCTTAATTTCAAAGGACTCAAGTTTCTCTTCAAAAATGATAGATCCACTTAATATATCAAATATAACTATATGTGCACATTTGTCCCCTTTAAAGATTGTAATTATGGTGTCTTTGGTGAAGCTTTTAAATAGGTGAATTCCGTTGCTATAATTTAGGATTTCCGTGTTGCCGGGCTGTTTTTTGCTTGTTTGCTTTTTGCTAGATTCGTTTGTGCTAGTGGAGTTACCCCTCCTCGATGTGGCTTGCCCCTTTTTATTATTCAGGAAGATTATTTTCTTGCCGTTGTCTAATTCGGACCAGTTGTCCTTATTCAAACTGAAGACCCTTTCATAGTTCCATTGTGGAGAATATATTTCCTTTGCGCCTTTAAATTTATTGCCATCAATTTTGTATAGTATAAGACCTGTGTATAGATGTATGGCAAAGATAAAATTGTTGCGTGTGGTGACGAGAATTACCGAGCTTCCTGCGTATTTACCGCTCTGATTTTGTTCGTACTTTTTAAACGAATATTCAATCATGTCATTCATTAGATTGGACGTATGTTCCCTGCCGTGCATGCTATATGTGTCACCCCAGGTATCCTTGCCGTAGGATGGCTTTCTCTCCCTTCCATAGTTAGCTAACGAATCAGCCTTTTTCTTTTTCTCCATGCAAATATTCAGCAAGTTCATTTTATCCTCATGTGATAGGTAAAAAAAGTTAAATGGCAGCAACGATTTTTCCGCTTTTTTCTTCATAACTTCTTCTAGTACAGGTTTGTTAAATGAATTTATTTTATCCTTTATGTATCTCTCCAATTCTTGCATTAAATAAAATTGTGTTGTGTCATAGGAATGTTTTTTACTTTTTTTTTTCAAATGTTGAAAATTGTAAAAATACAGGTGCTCTATGTAAGCTAGCGATTCTTCTCTTGAATAATGGACGTGGTCATTTTTATACACAGTGAGTGATGAATCACTATACACACTAAAAAAGTAGTTGGCATTTTCTTCCTTATTATGTAAACCGATTATCATTTCTCCATTGTAGTATACGTTACTACTTTTGTTCAGAACATTTAGAGGAGCAATTCCTTCCTTCCCTGCTCTTTTAATAATAATTTTGCTTCCCTTATCCTCTGCAAATATAATATCCTTTTTTTTATACTGATTTATGTAGTATCCTATGACTTCATTTTTGTCTTTCCCTTTTACCAATTGCATTTTCTTATCCTTGTAGGTGTACACAAGTTGGTTCTGCCCTATCTTTACGACGAAGCAATTTTCTATGTTCCACTGAGCCATAGAGTCATCCCTAAAGAGTCTATGCTTTCCAGAGATGTCATTTGTATTTGCACAATTTGCACCTTCATTTGTCTCGTCCTTGTTCGCTTTGTCATTATACCCAGCTATTGACACAGACCCATAGTTGTATTTATTTCCTCCTTCTACTAATTCTACCCAGTGCAGGACCTCCTTATTATACACTACAATAACATTAATGTTCTTCACTACATTCACGTAATTAACCATTTTGTCGTTCAGCTTAAGTTGGCTAATTTTTATATCATTTTCTAAACTCTTATTTACAACATTGATCCTTACTACATGTCCCATGAATTCAGCATCCACATAAAATAAAGATATTTTCAAGTTATCAACTCCGATAATTTTGGCATAAATGCAATTTAAATTTAGGTCTTTAAAAATTAACGAGTTTATTGTGTTGTTGCTTATATTGCCTATATCTATTCTGTTGTTCAGGAGGATAAATATTTCCTCTTCGTTAATTAAAAAGTCTTCAATTATTTCGTTCTTATGCTCAAAGGAATTCAGCAGATGGGTGTCCATCGTGCTGTACACGTTAATGTACGAATAGGGTTCTCCATCATATGTGTAATTAGCTTCAACTTCATTTTCTTCCAAAGGATTTCTATAAATCAACACAGCTGCGTAATTGTCATCTCCGTGCACTTTTTTCACTTTCTCATTTTCCCGATAGTTTTCCAAATAATCGAGGGTACCTATATGGGGCGGAGAGATAAAACAAAGGGGATTTGACCGTAACGTTCAAGTGACTCTTTTCTTGCTTACACAGCATGGGGAAATACATATATGTGACATTCGCGTTCAAGTCAGATGAGAGCGTAAGGAGTCACCCTGGACACATTGTGCGCGCACACGGCGTGCAACCACGGAAAGGCAGACAAGCGCTAGCGGCACGGGCAAATGTCAGCGTAGCATGTACACTCTACAGCAATTTTTCGCCCCCTTGGCGAAGCTCTAACCTGTCTTGTAATTTAGAAACCCCACATTGCCGTTGCGACTTGAAAGGAGAACACAGCTGTTTAACAAATTCGATGTCGGCACGATAAAATTGATGTGCCCAATAAGCGGTGCAATGTTAGAATAAGGTATATGCTTTTGAAATGTTAATTTCGTTAAAAATGCTACAAAGCAAACAAAAAAATGGAACAACATTTTTGGGAGCAGTTATTTTTCACTTAAATTATCGCGAGGTGTACTTATATCTCCATGTTACAAATGAACCGCTTTGGTTTTACAATTAGGGCATGTAATCTAATGTCATATATTTTAATAACGAACAAGGTTAACTCTTTAACATGGGCAAGAAAAAAAAAAAAAAAAAAAAACAGGAAATATAAAAAGGGGGAAAAAAAGGCCAAAAGTTAACCACTGAGTTCTTCATCTTAAACACAAGTATGAAACACAACAAGGTGAACAATATGGTTACTGGATCATACGCTTTAGGCTTACATAATAAATAGAGCCAAACGTTTTAACGCATATATCTGTTAAGTATACACGTTTGATATGCAGAGGTTACTACAAACATATAAACTAACCGTAGGATAAAAAAAAAAAAAAAAAAATATATACATTTTACGTATAAAAATTTTGCCTATATTTTTCGCTCCCATTTCGAAATGTGATTTGAAAATTTCTCCAACTACATATAAAATTGTCAGCACGTGGTAATAATATAACATCTGAAGATGGGAACTTTTTCGTGGTGTGGGGGGTAAACATGTAAGAGTGGATGCGTGGCATGTGCACTGGTGCTAGCTACATTACATATGTGCGCAAAGAGACTGCAACAGGGAACGGGAGCAAGATAAACAAAAGGCAATATTGTTTTTTCTCCCTACTTGGCGCAGTTTGCCAATTTGCAAGACGCGCGCAGGGGGCTTAATTTACCCATTATTATTTTTACTTTGTTTACTTGTTCCGTTTTGTATGTTTTCACATACAGCAAATCGTAGGGCATTAAAAAGCGGCGAAAGGGTCCCTTCTCAACACGAGTGCGCCCATGTTAAGTCCTAACACGGGATATAAAAACTTCCTCGCACTTTTTTCTCTTTCACCGCGTTCACTTGTTCTCGCTTGCTTTTCGCGGACGAGCCGCACCTTGCTCTGCACACAAGGTGTTTGTTCCCTTAAGGAAAGGCCAGTTGTCCCGCGTGACATGGTTTGAAGAGGGTAAGTAGAGGTCTTCTTGCCACGGGAAAAGGCGCCGTAAAAAAGGGAACACACACACAGCGCACAAAAAAAGGGCAAACAATATATATAACGCAGAAACGCACAAACGCGTAAAGGAGCCGGACTGACGCAGCGACCCCCACTGGCGTGTGACGCACGAGCAGCTAAGAATATCCCGAACAAAAAAAAAAAAAAATGCTAATGTAGACTACTATGGATGTGAGATATGAGGGCAAGGATCTCTGGAAACGCGTCACAAACTATTTCAGCAAGGATTACCAAAACGGTGATAAAACGGACACACTCATAAATGGCGATACGCGCAACAACAATGACGAAAATAAAAGGGTAAAGACAAGGACGCTAAATTTTATGGCCTCGTCCGCCCTAGTTTTGTGTGTGCTGCACCCCTTGGACACCATAAGAACGAGGAAGCAGATATACAAAGTGTACAAGAACTCGTACCCCTATTACTATAACAACAAATACAACCTGTTCTATATTTTGAAAAAAGAAAAAATAGAAAGCATTTATCGTGGCTTACTGGCTACGTTGCTAACCTCGGGACTGTCCCATGGCATATTCCGCTTCATATATGACACACTGAATTATTACGCATTTCGGCAATTCAACGATGATAATGGAGTGAATAATAAAAAATATGATACCACGGTAGGTAGACGCAAGGCGGAGTACCCAGCGGGAGAGGCAAACCAGGTGTGCAACTCGGCGTTGAGAGATTCCGCTGAAGGAGGAAACGTAATAGAAAATTCAAGGGGCAGTAGAGAAATACCATGGGAGAGCCCCAAATTTGTAAAAAGTGCTATAGAAAGAAGACAGGAAGACTTCATGATCTCCAATGTGTCTTATAAAAAACATGTTAACGAGAAAGACAACGCTTCAGGTAGTGACAACACAAACGCGCCAATTAGTGGTCACAAAAATATGAAGTATTACATCATCACCAGCAGCGTGAGCTCCATCATTAGTGTTTGTATTCAACACCCAATATGGCTGATTAAAACGAAAATAGAGTGCACCATAAATTTAAACTACAAATTTTTAAACTACAAAAGCAGAATAACGAGCAAACATTACAACATCTTTGTGGAAAGGAATAAAATGTTTACGAGTAAAATTGTCCCCAAAGTGGCGAAGGTTTTCCTTTTCTGTGGTTATCATTTGGGAAGGAAAAATAGGACAGGCAAAAAAATCAAATCCTTGCTGAATGATGATCTGCTCAAGTATTATAGGAACAATTTTGTGTACAATAAAAATGTGAAGACAAGAAAAAAGTTCAACCATCTCACATATGTAAATGATAAGACAGCATTTTTACACAAAAGTGTAAAGAGAAAAATTGAACACAACTATTTGTTGTACAAATATTACACCTTGTCAAATATGGAGAGAAAACAAATGACGAAAATGCTAATTTCAAATCATCGCAAAAAATTTTCGCGCAGATATTTGAAATATTTGAAAGCATACTTCACTAATAATCAAATACTGCGCATTTTCAAAAGGGAACAAAGTAAAAATGGCATCAGTACAATTTATAATTACAAGAACTATTTCCAATTTGTGTATAATGTATATAAGAGAGAAAAATTATTTTCATTTTATAAAGGGTTTTTAACATCTATATTGCTGACCCCTCATGTAGCCATTCAGTTTTATGTGTATGAATATTTAACGTATCATTTTAGTTGTGAATATTTCAGAAATGAGTTTGTGGGAGAAGACTCCTATATTTCATCAAACACCCTAGCCAAAACGTTACCATTTTTGTATGGCGTTTTATCAAAATTCATTGCTGTCATGTTTACCTATCCATTATATACTATAAAAGTGAGGCAACAAGTGCAGATGAAAAACTATGGCTTCCTAAATGTAGTAGTTAATATTTTCAGGCTAGAGGGAATCAAATCCTTTTATACTGGCCTTAATATGCATTTACTACGTAACTGTTTGCAAAATGGAATGCTCTTTTTTATATTTGAATATTTGAATGCTGGCTCCGCGGGGGTGAAGTGATTCCCATGGGACACTTCTTTGGAATTACCTCTACAGAGTTGCATTTTTTTTTTTTTATGTATCATTTGGAAAGGCTTCTTTTTTTTTTTTTTGTCTTTTATGCGAATTTTTTCGCTACGCTTGGTGCAATTAGCCCAACACCTTTGTTTATTTTTTTGTCCTACGCAAAGGAGGGATCACGCCTGCACACAAGCGTGCATATGCACATACATACATAAATATATTAATTTGTGCGTGTATGCGTTACACCCCCCTTGCACATGACATGTCCAAAACCCGAGCAAACTCACAAAATGGAGTGACCTTGTATGCATTCCCGCCCCTGAACCCCACTCTTGGTGTTCGTAACATAAATGCTGCAACCTTTGCGTATTTACAAAATAACAACGGCGCATTCCCATTTTTGCACACTACATGGGGAAAATTTTTGTGACGGCCTGCTCATGCCCCCTCAACTCTCTATGCAGTAGACTAACCTTCATATTTTTATGAAGCCCATTTGATAATAAAGAATTTACAAAAAATTTCCTAAAATTTATTCACCAAAAAAAAAAAAAAAAAAAAGGGGAAGGCAATAAATTGTGGGCGTAAAAATGAAGCAGCGATGTGTCACCTCAATGCAAGGGCAAATAATTAACAACACTGTTTTGGGTAATCACATGGCACGTGCGTGCCGGGGGAAAAAAAAATAACTAAACATAGCTGTGTGTATGTGCGTAAGTGCAAACACACATATGCACATATATATGCAGCGCTCTGTGCGCTCCCAAACACACTTAGCATATTAAACAAACATGTGAAAGCAGCCGATGAGTGCTGTTCAGCGGAGACATTGGCCTCTGCGCACTGGCAAAAAAGAAGCACGATGGGACGCGGTATGGGAAGTGGGACAGGAAGATCTCCGTTTTTTTAAATGTACACATTCACCCACTTGCCCCCATTCTGTGTACTTTGCGTCTTGGCTTCTGCGTCCCTTAGGGTGCTTCAAATTACTCTCCTGTATTTCATTACCGCGGCGCCATATGTGCGTACGAATCTCTACGGTATGTAAATGTACAGTTGGCTGTTTTCTTCCTTCTGGAGGTATTCCCTCTCGACTAGCAAATCTATTTTTTTCTCGATGATCTACAGAGGGAGGGAAAAAACAAGAGCTCGCGGATGAAGATGCATGCGAACTCACGTAAGAAGCGGTTCCACCCGCTTGCTTAAAGACACGCATTTGGGAGGACTATTTACGGCGAATTTTGCCACACAATGGAGATAACAAAAAAGAAAAAAAAAGTTCGCCTTAATTACCTGGTTGGTGGGGGCAAAACAGGAGAGCGACTTTTTGACATAATCAAATATTTGATCGTAGAATAATTTCTTATGCGCTTTCATAACACGGACAATGGCAGCTTCAATGGCCATGGTTCGATCTTCCTTAATCTTTTCGTGCTCCTTAGAAAGCAATGCAGTAGCCTTCTTGATGTACACCTTATTATGCGGATAGGAAAAATTTGGGTTGATAAAAAAAGTGGAAGAATTCCAATCAACGAGTTGATCATTGGAAGATATTATTTTAAAATAATGTAAACACGAGTACATATTATTTGTAAATGTCTTCAAGTCAATGTTCAACTCTGTTTTTATAATTTCATAATTGATAAATTTATGTTTATTAAAAAGGAGAATTATCTGCGCATTAACAATATTGCAGTAAAGGTAATACACACAATTCTGGAATGTACATGTTAAAATAACTTCACTCAATTCATATATCCATTCTAATTTTTTATTTTTATTATCCATCTTGTAATATTCTTCAAACAATTCTATACACTTGTTAAAAGTATCACTCAATTTCATAGGCGTTTTTTCAAAGGTTGGCCAGAAACCCTTGTTCAATATTTTTACTGTGAAAAAATTCTGGATGTTTTTCAGAGTAAGGTCATTTTCACAATGTGCATATTTCGAATTGACAAAATCCAGAAATTTATTATTCGTCGTGTTGTTATTTATCATGTCTTGAATCATCCCCACCAATTTGGATGTATATTGAGACCCGCACAAGAAGTACAAATTTTCTATAAATTTTTTTTCCACACTAAGGGATATATAAATATTATTGATCAGTCTGTTTGCTAGATAAATTCTGTAGTACTCGAAAAAGCTTTCCTTATTGCTTGTGTAGTTGAAAATTTCCACAATTTCTGTCATTTGTTTTTTTAGCTCGATTGTGTCTTTTTTGTGTGTATCCTCAGGGTGCTCTTCTCCAGTGCGGTATGTCATCTGGTGCGCCTTTTCATTTACTGAGTAGTTAGAAGTGTCTCCTTCGTTGCCTTGATGGGAGGTTAATTGTTCTGGTTCGTCCCGCTTCTTTAATATATTATCAGCGTACAGCACCAGCAGCTTTACTGTGCTGAAATACTCATCCTCGTGCTCCACAAAACTTTCAAAGTAATCTTTAAGGCACTCCTTAAAATGGTGATCAATGGACTTGTTCGAAATGGCAAAAAAGGCTAACTTAAAAACATTGTCGTAGTGGTTATGCAGTTTAATCAGTTCGTCAATGTATCCACAAAGGGCGTACTCATCCTTCTGCTGAGCAATATTGCTATTTACATTTGAACCGCACAACATATCATCAGCTGCCTTTTCGTTGCTACAAATACTTCGTGACATTTGGATGTATTTTTCTTTCAAATTGTTTCCCTCCGTTTTTACGTAATCCCCTATCATTTTTTTGAGCCCTTCTATGGCCTCGGGAAAATAGGAAAACAAAATATACGTTCTTCTCAAACATCTTATGTTGTTACTTTTCAGCATGTCGAAAATGTTATTTTTATTACTCAGCAGTTGTTCCAATTTTTCATATATCAATATTCTCACAACAATATTTGTCACCTTTTCGCAAGTCTCTTCTATCAGATTTAACGTTTTGTTCTTTTCAAATTCTTTTTGTATAGAACTTTCAATTGAGATAATGTACTCATCAAAGGTTAAATTGGCGAGCCAATTGTCTCCTTCCGTTTTATAATAATTTTCCACATTTTCCAAAATTTTTTTTTCTATATCATGTTCATACATTTTCTCGTTACTGTCTTCATCTAACTCTTTATACAGATGAACCAAATCACAGAATAATTTTTTCTCCTCTTCTTTTTCATCCTTGCGCAAATTATCGTAAATTTGGTAAACGATATTTCGAATTACCTCTCTTAAATCGTTAAAAAGAGTAATTTTGAAAATATTTTTTGTGTACGCACTTAGGCATAAAGAGCTGTTATACTCTACATAGTAACGATCGAGGTACCGCAAAAATTTATTCATCCAGGTTGTGTAAAAAGAATATTTAAACCAGGCGTCTATTAAAATTTTCGCCTTCATTAATTCCTCTTTATTTCTTAACAACGGCTTGATTTTTTCCACAGTGTACACGGATAAACTTTCTCCATATTTTCTATACACCTCTTTCGAATAACAAAATGGGTTTTTTCTTGCACACATATTGTATACAACAGTATACAACCTTGTGTACTCCGTAGCACTGAATAAATGCTTATTATGTTCAATCTGTTCATTTTCTAAATAATTTTCTATCTTCTCTATCGCTTCTTCCTTTATTATTTTCCACCCGCTCTCAAAATTTACATTTGCAATGTCCATTTTGGCTAATTCGTTTTATCCCCGTTCGTCCACACTTCGGCATGTGCGCCTAGGTGTGTATACCTGCTGTGTAAAAAGGTGTTATCTCAAGTTACCACACAAAGCAGGCCACCTCGCACATGTGTGTACTTGCAAAGGCATGTTACAAGCACGCGTGCACACATATGTCCTTTTTGCCCTGCACAATGCGTTTGACTTCACTCGGCATAAAAGGCAAAACCAGGGGCAGAAGTCATGTTTGCGTGCGTTACAAATTGCCACGTAGTTTGGCAAAATGCTGCAATGCCGCGAAAAGCTACGGAATGATTTACGTACGCTGGCCTGTATGGCGTGAGGGACGCAGCAGGGAGGCAGAGTGTTCACCGCTGGATGGAATTACCTTTTTTTTTTTTTTTTTTTTTTTTTTTTTTTTTTTTTTTTAAATGTCCGTAAAGACTTTAAAAACCATAAGAAGGCAATATGAGCCGTATGCACGCATGCGCTTGCCTTTCCCTTTCTCCACGTTCTTCAAAAACGCACACGATGTGCTGCAAAGCAGGCACCACAACAAAAAGGAAAAATAAGTTCATCCCCTAGGGGAAAAAAAAAAAATTGTTCTCTTTAAAAAAAAACAATATAGCAAGGTAAATAATAGCAATATTTAGCCACGCTTTCATAATGGAAATACTCGCAAGCATTTGCACAAAAATAAACACACATCTTTTTCGAAGCATGCCCAAATCATAATTAATATTTTTGAACAGACATTTCAGGAATGGAGACATACGATTGGAAGAAGTAAATCGAAAGGGGGGCGGAACTCCTTTATTCTTACAGTGAAGTGTACCGTTTTGCCCGTTCGTCCGTTTGCTAATTTATGTTTTTTTTTTTTTTTTTTCCCTTTTGCGATTTCCCCTGAATCCGCATAAAGAGGTATACAAAAAGGCAAAAATACAACTTCGAAGTAGGGGTGCAGCTGGGCGCGGTGCTTTTGTCCGCTTGGTGATAATGTTATACTTCTGTACGGTATGCAGTTTCGTTGGGGAATTAGCCATACTCACGCATATACACACCCCAATTGGTGAAAAAAAAACAAGGTCATTCACTTGCTCTTGTTTGTCCGGTTGTCTGCTTGGCCGTCTGCACATTCCCTTTCAGAAAAAGGAAGCAAGTTGGGCATTCTGCGATTTTTCCATATCACTGTAGATTCACATAAGGTGAAAGACAGGCACATGTTCGTTGTTTTTACAAAAAAATATTTTCCCGTTTAAAGAGCTCCATTTAAAGTGCTCTATTTAAAGGGGGTCTTTTTAAAGTGCGCCATTTTACCTTTGCACAGGTTACACATTTGTTGCAAACCCAAATGAAAAACTCGTTCGTCCCTTCAAATGATACAATTTTTGCACTTAACAGATAAAGGAAGGATATTCACCAAAGAGCCATTTTGAAAACGTTCCAGAACATTTCACGATGGTGCAAGAATGTTCTAAATTGAAAAAATGTTGCATAAAAAAAATTTTGTGCTGTTCCTTCATATACATACAAAGCGTTTCTGCCACTCACGCAGTTGTGGTGAATCCTATCAATGGGCAACCGAGTTGCAGCGAGTTTGAATCATTTGTCTTTCTCTTTCTGCGTACACATTTACATGGATATTTATGAAATATTTCGCTCAATTATTTTATTCATATTTTTTTTTGTTCACTTTCATGCATGCAGTTCACATGGCATATTTGAGTTAAAAAAATATTTCGTTTTATAAAGTGCATGTTGGTGTGATTTCGTGTCTGGAAAACTTTTTCTGTTCGCATAGTTGACGCCTTTTTTTTTTTTTTTTTGCTACTTATATCGTAATGTTATTTTAATGTATACACAAATATTTTTTTTAATTTAACTGGCTAAGTGATCTCGTTATTTTTTCACTCAACGGGCATTTGTTCACCTGCTCATGCACTTGCCCCTTTGCATATATGAACAGAAAAGGACCGCACAAAACATCAAATATTCGTTTTAGCTAACAGCTTATCTGACCCCGCTTTGTCTTCTTGGACGTGACTCAACTTGTTGGATTTATCGCCTCATTCACAACTGGAAAAAAAATGATGGCGAAAAAATTGCAAAAAAATGTTCTACAAAAATGAAAATTGCGCCAAATCATTCGGGAAATTTTTCAAAATAGGTGCAGATACGCATCCTAGAAAATTGCAAATATTCCCATTTTAATATGCACATATGTGTGCCTACATGTGCAAGTTTATGCATAGTCCTCGGGGGTGGTGGAAAACACCCTAATGAAAGTTTAATTCTTCTCTGAGCGGATATTGTTGCCTCCCCTTCTTCATCTCGCAAAAGCAGTAGTGTTGATTAATATACACGCACACATTTTTGCAAACACCGTGTAGACAGATAGAGGAACCAACTTTGCATTGTTCGGAAACCTTCAGCATCACTTTTGTTCGTTTTGTTTTCCAAAATAGATCACAGACACATTGTGTGACCTCACCTGACGTTGTTTTACACCCTTCCAGACAAAAAAAAAAAAAAAAAAAAAAAAATGTCGGACATGTCAACTTGCCCTCTTAACGACTTCTTCGACGTTGATGAAGAAAACAATTTGGATGAATTAAAGAAGAAAGATACAGAAATATACGATGGATCGTTTTTATCCTACATTTATAACCAATTTGCGTTTTGTTGCACAAACTTTTTCGACGAGCTGGAAAAAAAAAATAAAAAAAAGAACATTACATTAAAGAAAACCTTCTTGGATGACTATGATAAGAACAAAAAGGATGTTAGCCAATACCAGATCTTTGATAAAATTCTCAAAAAAAGTGCAGACATGGCTAAGGAGGTGCCATTGGATTCGAAATATTTTAACCCTCACGTGAGTACACACTACCGAGTAGTGAAGAAAAAAAAAAAAAAAAAAGTGCAACTTCATTACTAGGCGATGTAGAGATACATAATTGTTCCTTCCCTCATGGGAGAAAAACCAAATCCATATTGCACATGTCAGCAGTGCAGGAAGGGAAAGAAAAAGGCGTTCTCGTATGCCCTTGGCGATTTTTCAAAATGTGCATTTTGCATTTTTATGACAATCCTGAAAGTAACCATTACAATTGACTTCTTTTTTTTTTTCCATCCCCCTCTTTCGCAGGCGGACTGGTTTGAATGCGCCCATGAGGTAGACATTGAACTGACGAGCGAAGAAGTTGAGTTTTGCATTTTTAACTTTTTTTTAAAAATGTACAGATCGGAATCAAGAGACAAGGATTTACTTCTATCTATCATATTGGAATGTTTGTACAGCAGGAAAAACTTCAAAAAGGAGTCTTACTCTCAAAAAGAAAAATTAAAATTTTTAAAAGAAATAAAAAGTATAGAAATAACTAGCTTCAAAGAGTCATTAAATGAATTGATTAACACAATTGAAAATACCAATTTTGTTCAAATTAATACAGACCAAATGAAGAATGATAAGTTTCATTTCAAATTATACGTTACCATTCAAATTAAGTACACCCTTGGCGTTTACATTTTTAATTGCGATGAGGTTTACGACATAGTTGTTATTGATTGTAATACATTAAATAATAACATCCCCAAAATTATGAGCTTTTGCTCCTTGAGGAAATTTATATCCTTCCTGAACAGTGTTTATTCAATTAATTTTACTGATGAAAATGTGTACCAGTCATTTCCAATCGTCGTGTACGAGTCCAAGGAGTGCTACGCACTTTCGCATAATCACCTCCCCCTGAAGGAGACCGTGTTCAATAATAGAAGAAGGGGCAAATTCCAGAAAAGGGACATTTTTAATGACCAAGGGGGAGACGAGCAGGAACAACAACATGGGGAGCAAAGCGAAGGGGAGTCGAATGGGGTTGCAACTTAGACGAAGGAGAGCCCGCTATGACATTGTGCCATATGCGAATACACGCAAATGCATATAATTGGCATCCTAAAAAACGTTGGGGGAAGATGGGAAAAATGGAGACCCGTCCCTTAAGAGATGTTGTTCTATACATATAAGTGATTATGCATGGCTCCATGCATATGTCCTGAGAAGGGCCAACTGAACCAAAGGTGAGTTCACTTAAAAGCGTTTCAAGGAGATCCTCTATGTGTTTATTTAAATAGAAAGGGGAAGAAATTCAGCGATATACTCAAAATGGAAGCGTGCAATTTGTGTTTTCATGCAGAAAAATTGCAGCCACACACATACATATATGCACTGTGCAGGGATGATTTTTCAACAATGTGTTACATGCACAAGGCGTCATCTTTACGTTGAGATAAGCAAGCACATACAGATCGCGAGTCTGCTATGGACAGATGCATATCACTGCTAGGCCCCCCGATAGGGGAGGGAACCACGACACGGCACTATAAATGTAAAGCTTAAAAAGTATATATAGGACAAGTAAATGAAAGCTGCTATACGTCTACTTATTTGGTACACTCTCATTATGGCATGTGTATATATTAGGAGGACGCAATTCAAACTGGTGATACACTTATTGGAGGCATTATATTGCCTTTGCGTTAACTGCCATGATATTACCCTAAGATTCATGAATCCTTTCGAGCACATCCAAGACTGCCTTGGTTTCTAACACGTCGTGAACTCTGATAAGGTCCACCTTTTTGTAAAAGCTGTAGGAAGCAAGTGCTAATCCACCTAAAAAAAAAGTGAGAGAAGGGGGGATGTTAAAAGTGGGGCATCACACGTGATGTAGAGTAGATCGAAGGATAAACAAATGTACAGCACATGTCCGGGCCACTTAAATACACGTTTTGCCAATCACAGAGTTGACGAATTCTTACCGCAAATATTTTTCTGGTACAAAAGCTGATCCTTGTCCTGACGCATGTAGTTCATTTTGAACCTCCACAGTTGTGACGTGTCACCATTCGTCAGTTTGGTACCCCCGTTAGTCAGTTTCCAGCCCCAATTAGTCAATTTCGCACCCCCGTTGGCCAGTTTGGAGTCCCCGTTAGTCGGTTTGGAGTCCCTATTAATCAGTTTGGTGCCTGCCTTAGTCAGTTCTAAGCCCCTATTAATTGCGCCATTTTCCTCCATGCAGTGGGCAATAAATCGCTTCCTCGAGTAGCCAAGAAACAGCGGGTAATCATCATAAACATGAATATGCTGCAACAGCTTAATGGATTGGTCATGTTTTTTAGCAAACCCTAGGCCAACATCAAAGAGAATTCGGTAACGTGGTATCCCATTGAGAACGAGGAAATTCAATCTATCTTCTAAATACTTTTTAATGTCATTTACAACATCATCGTAATTTGTTAATTTATCCATGGTGTGTGGATTTCCTCTCTTGTGCATTAAAACGACGGAATAAAATTTATTTCTCCTTTTTAATAATTTTATAACATCTGGGTTGTGTGTACACGCACTGATATCGTTTAGGATGTCCACCAAATCGTCTTCCACGCACTCTTTGAACAGATCATAATTGACAGTGTCAATGCTTATAATTGGTTTTGCGTCCCTCACTTTTCGTAGGACTGCGCCCTCTTCGTCGCGCTCGGCATTTTTCCTGGCATCTCCCATGGTAGCTCTGTCCGTCGCACCACTTCCAACCTCGCGCTCCAGCTTATGCCACTCCTCCTTAAACAGCTTCAAAACGGGTATAACCAAATCTCGTTCAGTGACATTCGGATTGGGTACCACGTACGGCGAGGATGATTCCCCCCCGATGTCAATCACGTTCGCCCCATCATTTGTCATTTCGAAAATCCTTTCCACAGCTTTCACAGGATCAACAAACAAACCACCATCAGAAAAGGAATCATAATTGACATTCAAAATGCCCACTATATGAGTTCTTTCTTTCAAGTATGACACTTTATCTTTCAATACGTACAGCCTTTTATTATTATTCCTGATATGAATGTTATACTTCTGTTCAAAATTTTCAACATACTTTTTATAAGTTGAGCGAATGGTATCTTCAAATGTTCTGTGCCTATACTCGGGAATAATATCATTTAGGCAGAGGAGGATACTATACCTATATTTTGTGTACACATGAGGGATACATAAGAATCCAATTTTGTCCCTCAGATTTTGAATAATTTCGAGACGGTTCTGATCACTAGTTTGACTTATGTCAATATATTTTGTGATGATATTATATACGTCTTCTTTTTTTAAACTTATGCTTCTCTCAAAAATTGTGTAGTTGTTAAAAAATAAAATGTCAATGTCTATTATGCGATTTTCAAATATTTCTCCCTGACCCTTTTTGCTTTCTGTTCTTTTCATGATTTGTTCTATGTACTTTAAAATTACGAGCATGGTAAGGGGGTCTTCAACAAATGTCCTAACTACAACGGTTAAGTTAAAAAAATAACTGGTGTAATATTTATCTTTAGATTGCTCTAAGTTTTTCTTCATTATTTCGTCGTTCTGTTTGATTATTCTTCTTGTTTCATTTTCGTAATCCTGTACACTGACTTCCTTGATAACACTTTCATTTATTTTCTCATTTTTTAAAAACAGTTCTAGTTCTTTGCACTCATAAATTAAATCATCACTTTCTTCGTATCTCGACTTTTCCACAGTTCGGACCACATCCCTTATCCATGAAACTTCACTTGGGGGATGTCCTTCTGTCACCTTTCCTAATCTGTTTGCTTCATCCAGGACGATGTATTCCGGCACAGTTTCGTAAATGTACGAACTGTTGATAATTTTGCCTAACATATTTTAAGAAAAAAGGGAACGAAAAAATGTGGTTAATGGTCGCTTAAGCGGGGGGCACATCTAGCGTGGCAGCATTTGGACATGTTGTATGTGTGTGTGTTTATTATTGGGGGGAGAAAGTATGCCCTTCTCAATGTACACATGCTCGTAGGAAAAAATTTCCAAGGGGGAACTCTTACGCTTCCCACATATTGCCCCTTATAAAGAGGAAAACAAATATCCCCTAAACTGTCCCCTCCTTTCTGCCCTTACCAAGATACTTCTCCGTCAGATACAGCGCCGTTTCTAAAATAGTTACGCAATTCTTTTTGTCATTAGTTCCAAAGTTTAAGACGGCTATATTCCTGGGGGTAGTGTTCCTCTTGTTTAAATCCGCCATGGCGGTCCTCGATTGTTACTGGTGCTGTTCTGTTTATTTGCGTTCTGCTGTTGCTACACGTTGCCTATATATATATATATCCTATTTACAGCTTACTTATATCAACCAAAATTTTTCCCTATATTTATGCCCTATTAATAAGCTTATTTTTTTTAAGGTGAGCCACCCCGTGTTGTGTAATTCGTGGACTACGTTCTCTTAGGTTTAGAACAGTGTATTCAGGGTTCCCGTGAAAGGTTTCAATATGTATCCTAGTGTGAACCTATTTGTGGAAGATGTGGATTTTAAAACGTGGGGTGTTGCTGCACGTTTTTTTCGCCGTTACTGACGCATAACAATGGTTTGACAATTCTACCACTTAGGTTAAAAATGAATTTATTTTTAGTGCCGAAATGTAGAGGGCGCGCTGCAAAGTAAAGGGTACGAAGTGCGGGATGTCAAGGTGTAAGGAAGCGCTTGCTTAGCTGACTTATTCGGGGTCAGTTTATGTTTTCCGCTTGTACATATTAAGCACACTTTTTTAGTTAATCCAATAGAAAAAAAGAAAAAAACAAAAATTGCGAATGCCATATGGAACAGCATAATGAATCTGATGCATGTAGAGATATAGAAGCAAATGCAAGCCCACAATTGTTCATAGTCCAAAGGGGCGATGCAAACGCGGGGAGAAAGCAGTTGTGTAAGTGGTCGCTTCGATTCGGCAAGTGAATGACAAAGCGATCCTTGTATGTGCATCTGCCATCTTTCTCGAGTTGTTGCTTCTTTTCCCCCCAGAAGGAAAATGAATTATAACATATTTAATGATTGGTACAAAACCTTCAGTTGCCTCGGGACCATAAGAAAAATTAACATCTTTGTGAGCCAGAAGTAAAGAGAAAAATGGAATGCTCCAAATGGATGCGCCGATAGTTGCATATGCGTACCGTGTGTTTAGTCCGCGCATGTGGGGCACTCCAAAAAAGATGCCACACTTTCACAAGACAGTAATTGCCTTGATGAATACATACTCCCTACCCTTTCAGCAAAGAGAAGGCAAATGTCGAAGAGCTAAAAATAATTAATGAAAATAACTACGTGTCCCATTCCATCGCCATTTTAACGGCTTTAGGTTAGGTCCACAGTAGAATGCACAGACCTCTTTCACGTTTAATCAGCTTGTAATGTTAATGCATTTTTACGAATCGTCGAGGGAAATGACCCTCTTGGTGCACATACACATACACATGTGCATGTGTGTATTTTATATTATATATATTTTTTTTTTTTTTTTTTGAAGGCATTCTGACAACCTTCCGGGAGTTAAGGCGCATGAAGTTTTTCAAGTTCAGGTTATTACGATACATCTATATGTGTGTGCATATGGAATCTGACAACAATATTCTCAAATTATTACTTCATTTTTTTTTTTTTCACCCTTTTAGACCCCTTTTGCCTAACGTCATTGGACTAACGAGTAATCAAAAATATTCAGCTGGATGAACGTTCCAAATTTATTTCTTTTTTTCTCCATTGCTCATACTTGCCTGTCTGCACATGTAGAACTTGATTGATTCTCCTCACCTTTTCATCTCCCCGCACAGCTTCCTGCTCCTTCCTGTACCTGCACGCTATGTACCTAAGCCGAAGCACCATTAGCAAACTGATTCAGTTGAATTTGGAGGAGAAATCCAATGAAGGCATAGGCAACTACGTCGCCGAGATGTACGCACATAAGATGGGGATAAAAGAGAAGGACAAGAAGAATATGCCAAGTTCTTCTTCCTCACATAGAATATTTCCAATCCGTGCACATGTATAGGTGTGCTCATTTTCTCGCTCTTTGATAATGCCTTATTTGCTCTTTTTTGCTCCTTCGCACAGGTACAAAAAAGACGAACCGGAAGACTTTGTAAATTTAGTGAGAAAGCCGTTGTAGCCTTGCAACCCATTGGGCAAAATCCTCCCTCTCCAGGTGACATGGTGGGCCTGTCCTCTTCAACCAGGACAACAACGTAGGCGCACGCTACACCGAGTATTCGCCCGTTACCGAATGTTCCATGTGAATTTTCACACTTTGTATAAAAAATAAAATCGGGATAAGAAAATTCCATTCTGCTTGTTTCTTATAAGCGGGTTCCCTGTTGCGCCACGGTACGGTGTTGTGTGTGGGAGGTGTATATGCTTGGATGGAAATTAAATAACCCGCCACAAGGAAAAGAGGATCAATCCGCAGCGAAACAAAGCAGACCAAGTCGAAACGCGCAGTGGGCAAATAGAAAGACAATTCCTTCCCCCATGAGCTGCTACCTTTGAAGTGTAAAAATTGAACCTTTTCAGATGTAAGTTTGTGGGAGTTTAAAAAATGTGTACATATATTATATATATATATATATATATATATATATATATATATATATATATAAACATGTAATTTATAAATGCATCTATTTAATATATAGATATATATGCTACAATTTTCATCTTTAATTTTGTAATGAATTTCTTTTTTTTTTTTTTTTTTTTTTTTTTTTTTTTTTTTTTTTTTTTTTTTTTTTTTCATTTTTACTTATGTAAGATATATATTAATTACACTATTGCCTGATTTACATTTAATTTTATACACATACATTTAGATACGCAGCTATACATACATATACATATAATTTGTAAAAAAAGTAAAAACTGTAATAAACATATGCTTTGGATACACACATGTAAAAAAAAAAAAAAAAAGAAAAAAGAAACACTACGATATGTACATTGTATACATTGTAATATAGTAAAATATGTTATCGTATTCTCTAAAACATTGTAAATATAGGTATGGGAAAACATGGTATAGTATTTGTGGATGTCATATGATACAGTATAAATGTGCCGCATAATACGACCCACAGTACGGCGCGCAATATGGCATAGCTTGGCATAAATACGGTGAAGTAGGGGGTGATATTAAAATACGGTGTGCATAGTATACAATACGGTGAGCATAATAATATACGGTGTACTAATACAATAGGAATTTACTATTTGGGTACAAATGGCTTCTGAGAAGAAATATTATTAAATTGGGGTATTCAACTTTATAATAATCCTTTTTTTAGTATTAAACGCAGCTCAATTCGGACATACTTACACAGACGCATACGCATATATACACGCACATGCGACGCATACATGTATGCCCAACCTTGGCAACATTACTCATAAACATTCTGATAAAAAAAAATACTGAAAATAAAAAAAATATGATTTTTGAACAAGTTGGTGAATAATTGGTGACTACACGTGGTGGTAAAAACTTAGTTACAGTTACTGTTACACAAAACATGGATGTCAACACGTGGGGACTCGGGGCGTGGCGCCGGTAGGGAAATAAAAGGGTCTTTCCCCATTGGGTTCTCACGTCCATTGCTAAGCAAGTTCTATTATTTTATTTCTTCTTTTTTTCATTCTCTCGAAAAGGGGCATCGTGCTTCATAATCCGCAGTGCTACGATAAGACTTGTGCACTTTTCCCTGCGCAAGGACGTCCGTAGAGGTAGAGAAGCAGCTTTAAAGCGGCTACTAAGTGATCTGCGCTCCTCAACGCTTCATGCTGATTGCACAGATTGCAAAAAAAAAAAAAAAAAAAAAAAAGAAAAGAAAAAATGCTCTGAAAAATAAAGTCCTCTGAAATGTGCAAAAGGTGTGCTCCCATGAAGGGGATGTTTTGTTTCTTCCTTTAAACTGGTTCCTTATGATACGTTCGTTACACCCTGCGCTGTTATTTATACCCATAGGTCCTTTTCCTTCCCCTTCGTTATTTTACCATCCGTCTACATTCTCGTCGGCGCCTTGAAAATTCGACCTCTGGAATCGCTGGTCGTCAAACTTCTTATTCCCGTAGTTGTTGTTAAACTTGCTGTTGCTATTGAATGGGTTAATGTCTCCAGAGTTGTTTCCGTAGGGGCTGCCTCCACCATTGTTGTTATAGCCGCTGTGTCCATACATGTTACTGTTGTTATTGAAGGGGCTGCTGGAGAACCCGCTGTTGTTATTATTGTATGGGTGGTTGTTACTGAATGGGGAGTGTTCGTTGTACGAGTTATTGTTAAAAGGGTTGTTGCCGCTTCCACTGTAGTTATTGTTCATACCGCTATTACCTTGGCTAAATCCAAAGTTACTATTGTTGTTAAACCTAGAGTAGTTGCCCCTACCTCCTTTACTGGACTTATTGTATCTGAAAGTTCGATTCGATTTCGCACTTGCTGTGTACCTCATGACCAAATTGAGAAACCAGCGTGGTATGGCCTGGTTACATTCTTCCAACGTTGCTAACAAATCTTTAAATATGTTCCTGTTGTCATCATTGACAAAGGATGTAGCAATACCTATATTTCCTGCTCTACCTGTTCTGCCTATTCTATGAATATAATCGTCTATATTGCTGGGTAAGTCAAAATTAATGACATGTTTAATGTTTGATATATCCAGACCTCTAGCAGCTACATCTGTTGCTACTAACATATTTTTGATTCCCCTTTTGAATAATTTTAATGCTCTCTCTCTTTCGTCTTGGCTCTTGTCACCATGTATACATACGGCATTTAACTTTTGGTTGTTGAGGAATCGTTCGAGGATGTCGGCCTTTCTCTTTGTTTCCACAAAAATGATGGTTAACCCGTTGTTATTTTCTGATAACAATTTTAGTAAATAGTTACATTTGTTTTCTTCCTCTATGTATATCAAATTTTGCTTGATATATTCATTTGTACTTCCAACTTTTCCGATTAATAAAAAGGTATAATTGTATAAATATTCTTTAGCTAGTACTTGTATTTCTTTCCTAAACGTGGCACTAAACATGATGGTTTGTCTTTTTACTATATCGTTGGTGTATTTTTTGTATTCCATTTTGTTTGGGTTCATACGTGAGTCATTATCATTTCCTGGCATGTCATAATCATACATTATGCTTCTTATCTGTGGTGAAAATCCCATGTCCAACATTCTATCTGCTTCATCTAAAACTAAGAAGGATGTGAGGAAGAGTCTAATTTTTCCCTTCTCTAAAATGTCATTTAATCTTCCTGGAGTTGCAACTATTATGTCTGCCCCTTTGTCCAAGTTTGATAGCTGCATTTTGATATTGCTACCTCCGTACAGAACCACTGGCTTAATTCCCGTTTCGAAGCAAAACTTTTTGGAGTCATAAAAAATTTGCACTGCTAATTCTCTTGTGGGAGCCAGAATTAAACATATAGGCAAACAAACTCTGTTATAATAATAGCTAGAGCTTCTTTGATTTTCCTCATAGAAAGTATGTTTGGGTGGATCATTTAATAACATATGATTAATGATGGGTAAAAGATATCCTGCGGTTTTTCCACTACCTGTCTGGGCAACCCCAATTAAATCATTTTTGTTCATAATGATACTTAAACTGTATTTCTGTATCGGGGTTGTTTTGTCGTAATTTACTCTCTTAATGTTGGATAACAATATCTCATGCAAATTTAATCCTACGTCATCGAAATTATCTATTGGAATAATATTCTCGCTATTGTATCCCTTGATTTCCACAGGGATGCTATCGTACAGATCGAAATTGACACCCTTTTCATTCTTCACATTGGAATATACTTCTTCTTCCTTTTCTGGGTAATATCTTCTATTATCTCTATTTGCCCAAGCAGTTTTGGGGATATTAAAATTCCTTCCGAATGCTGGATTTCCTCCACCTGATCCCCTGTTATAATTCATTCTTCCAAAGTTGCTTCTATTTGTGTTTGGCTGATTTCGAAGCATGGGCGGCTTATATCTTGGCTTCTCATAATTGTAGCTATTGTTATTATTACCGCTGTTATTGTTATTATTATTGTTGTTGTTGTCGTTACTTGGGTCGTTCGAGCTGTTCGTTCGTACATTGCTAGAGATCATTCCGTTTTCGATTTTACTTTTATTCATGTTACCTCTATCCATGAAATTTCCGCCACCACCTCCTACACCCCCTTTCTTATGCTGGTGATGTGGAGACATCCCCGCGGGATTCTTCTCGTTATTTGGATTTTCGTGATAGTTGTTATTCCCGAATTTTTTTTTATAACTGTCTTGGTTTCCTCCACTGACGTTGTTGTTGTTACTGTTGTTGCCATTCTCTGAGTAGTTTACATATCCTGCTCCGGTCATGGCATTTTCTGAACTTCTCACAGCACCGTCTCCCATCATGTAGCCATCGCTGTTCACATTGCCTTCGTAAAAATTCCTGTTTCCAGGATTTCCATTTCCACCAGCAGTCATGACGTTGTTGCTTACTTCCCTTTTGTTTCTCATTTGGTTAAACATGTGTGCATTAGGATTTTCTTCCATCTGCATTTTGTTACCTTGGTTGTTGTACGATGGAGATTCATTCATGTTAGACATGTAGTTGTTTCTCACGTACGTACTTCTATTATCATCGCCTTCGTTAAAACCCACAGCGTTCATGTTGTTGTTACCGTAATTCATAGTTGCAGTTTTGGTGCAGTTGACTGTATCGTGAGTTTAATACCCCCGTTAATGCGTTTTTCTTTTTTTCTCCTTACTGCTACACGTTTTCTTTCTTCCTTCCTCCTCTTAGCTTTTCCAATCCTTCTCCCTATAGGCACGTCCTTTTGGATGAGCTACTTCACTTGGAACGTGTTCTATATATATATCATAAATTTGTGAGGTTGTGAGATGCTGTACTTGTGGGGGGGGGGGGGGGGGGGGGGGGGGCGCAGTTACAGAGTTAAGAATATATCTTCTATAAACTTGCAGGGATGTATTTTTTTTTTTTTTTTCCTTTTTACATTTAAGTAAATGGAAAAGAGTTCGCTTACATGTTTTGTTTTTTTTTTCTTTTTTACATTTATCTAAGAGATGTATGCGCCTTTAAAGAATCTTATATCTTTATTGCTATTTGGGAGTTTTTGCCCAATTTTTTTTTGAATTCCACTTGTTTTTTTTTCCCACGCCTTTTTTAATTGCGCTTTATTTTTGGAAAAAAATGTACTTCCCTTGTGAGCTACGTGTGGCTGTAAACAAAATGTTCTTTATTTTGTTTTTTATGTTTTTTTTTTGAGAAAAGGAAATTTTCCTTCTTTTTATTTTAAGATATAACAATTAAATTTTCTCTTCTTAATACTTCTGGTTTCAGGTTTCTACCAGTGGTACAAGAATATTCTTTTATCTTTTTTGTTTTTTTTTTGTTTTTTTTCGATTTTTTTGTTTCTTTTTGGTTTTATATTTCTTGTTAGCAATATATATATTTTTTTTTTCTTGTACGCTGTTTCTAATCTTTTTAATATGTTTCTAACTATCTGTTTTTTTATTTAATTGTTATATCGAAAATTCCCTTTTGCTGCAGCTTCTTTTTTCTTATTCAACGAAATTATATATGCGATTTGAAGGTCATAATGCAATGCGGGGGGAAGCACCTACGTTTTTATTTTTATTGTGCTTTAACTGCGTACTTTCGAGTAAATATATGCCGTATGCAGCATGAACACAGTGTTATAAAATGTAAGTAAAAAGCGTAAGCAAAAAAAAAAAAAAAAGCGCAGCTTCTACTTCGTTAAGCACATAAATGAATTGTTGCTGCAAATGGGGAAAAAAGAGTATAAACTATATGAACCGCTCGTATGCTTGTGGCACTACGCACCAAGCGCATATTAATATATATATATCACATATATATTTTTTATTACATATATATTTGTATATTATTTTTACAATATGGGGGAAAGTAAAGCAAAACCAACGCTTCAAATTGTAAAAAATGAATGCAGTAAAAGGAAAGTATATGTTCACATGTATTATATTAAATATATATCTTTTTGGCATATATAAAACATGTATATATTTATATATATATTTTTTGGGGGTGGACTGACGTGCTCAAACGAAATGTTTTAAAGTAAAATTTATTTTTACTCTATATAAAAGTGGTGCTACGCTTTATAAACTCACCCTTGGCAGGGGTTGTTTCGTGAAGTTGCATGAAGAAAAAAGCATATGTGCAATTTTATACATACGTAAACATGTACTTAAACGTACGTATTCCGTACTGGTACGCACAAAAAAAAAACGTGCGTGCATGGTCCATATATATAATTATGTGAACATACAGATATGTACTTTTTTTTCATGTACATGCGTAGAAGGTACATCACCATATGTAGGAATTTATGTAAGTATGCACAAGTGCGTCAAGCGCGGTGATATATACGTACATATAAATAAGCATATATAAATGTAAACATATATGCATAAACATATATGTTTGAGCATATTTATATGTAATACATGCGCTTATGGTACACATATACAGAATTCGCGTACTTGTAGGCCACACATACACCATAATAAAATTGCGTACACTTTTTAAGTACAAAAAATTGAACACGCCAAAGGGGGAAGGGGCTTATAACCCATAATAAAAAAAAAAAAAAAAATGTGAACACAGCTCCACACGTGAAAAACAAGTGGAAATACGTAAAAGGTTCATATAGTACAGAATTTACAACCAATTCCTAGTTTTTTTTTTTTTTTCTTTTTGGTATACATATAAAGAGTACACCACAGATATTAAAAAATATTGTATAAGCAGACGTTATCATATACTGGTGTAAGTAAAACTGTATGCTGCATGGTAAAACTTAATAAATAAAATAACATGTGCGAACTTAACGGTTAAGCAATTTTGGAATGTATGTATAAGTTTGCGCAAAGTAATTGTGCAGTGGGGGTATGAAGTAATATAGTTCGCGAATAAAATAAATGTATATTGTGGCTGGGTAAATTATGTAAGCAGCACGCCAGAGTTTTTGTAAATCTGTGTACGCACGTAATTGTGCTTATATATACGTACACATATATTATATATACATATATATATAACACAAGTACATGTATATCTTGTGCGTAGGGGTGAAAGTACTCGATTTTTTTATTGCTCATGCTTCGCGAAATAAAAGAAAGTACGCATAAAAAAAAAAATTCCCCTTTGAAGACCAAATGAAAAGTATACTGTGTGTATGTTCTACGGATTGTAGAAAAAACGCAATCAAGGAAGAAGTGAATGAGTGAACAGGTGGCTGCTCAAATATAGGCAAAAAAAAAAAAAAAAAAAAAAAAAATTAAACCATAAGTAGTGGTGGACTAAAAAAGGTTGCACAGTGCTGCTAAATAAGCTACGTATAAGTTGTTAAGCACAAGGTTGCCATCATGTGCGTATTCTTATGTCAATGCATGTATGCGTACGTTACACGTACGTACATCAGTTTGCATCGCTGTTGAACTGCGTCACGGTCCCAAGGCGCAATTGTTCAAGCAGTAAAAATGCATAGTGTAAATCACGTGGTTCCACACACCTTGCCGCTGTGCTCTGTTTGCAAAAAAAACGAATAATCGTTATTACACAAAATGGCATATTCCAGCAACCCCCATGCGCATGATAAAGGTATAGACCAATATACAGCACATACACCGTATACACTTATGCATGAACAACACGCACATGTGCTAATGTACACCACAGTGGTTCAATAAATGCAGAATTTATTTTACCGCAAATGCGAGATTGACTATGTTCGAGAAAAGAACAAAGTCATATGAGCATAAGATGAAAAGTATAACAGTTCGCTTTATCTAAATAAAAATTTTCCATAATTTAAAACCATATGGTGCGACACACTGTACGCATTTAGTTATTAACTTACACGAGAATGGCATATAAAATATTTGTAGGAAGTATATACATTTCCTTAAAAAGGTGATGTTAATTTTTTTTTGTTTTTTTCTTTGCAAGGGTTTAAAACACTGTGTAGGTTTCCCTATGTATGGGCAATTTTTATTGTTTTTTTTTTTTTTCACCATATGTGATAGTTATATACTATCATGACACATGCACGTGAAGAAAGAACAACAAAATACTGGTTTGTAAATTTGCGGAAAGCAGAAGCATGTATATACTCGTGCGGCCGTGAAATTTAACTGCTTTCTGCTGAGACGAAAAGGAACGTTTGTGTAATGCACACATGTGTGAACGCATGCATGGGTGTACATATTTATAAATTCACATGTGCATACATATGTCATTCCTATCTTCAAATGTAATCATTTTCCTTACCGACTCCCGTTGCTTCCATTTAGAAAAAATAGGATTAGCCGGGAAGAAAAGAAAACCGGGTTACGAAAAGGAAAAGTGGACCATCATGTGGGCCTTAAAGGAAAGATCAATTTATTTTTAAAAAGCTTAACACTGCCACAAATCTGTCCTACACCTTATGCGAATTATGCTTTAGCGCGAACAATGCAGTTTTTATTTTTTTGTTCATTCTGTTACAAGGTTAATCTCATTTATGTACGTTGATGTTAAGCTTAACGAACATGTGCGTGCACGGTTTATTTGACAGGGGAAACAAGACGCACGGGGCATGGAATTGTGTGACACACCACAACAAACATACACCTGTGAGAACACGACAAGCAGAATAGGATGGAATAGGCTTTTAACGTTTCTTATCCTTAATGTGAATAATTCTTGCATACTGCCAAATGAATTCCGCGCCACGCGGTCCGCGCGGCATATTGTGGGAGACGTTTCGGCGCGCACTGCGTGCACGGGCGAATATGTGCGCCAAAATGTACCAGCATGTGCGCACGTGTTAATTCTCCAGGGTTGCCTTTTGACCAGCACATATGTCGAACCATGAATGTGCAGTAACAAAGTTAACAATAATTGAAAAATCGCGCATAAATATTGAAAAACAGAACGAAAAAAATGACGTGGCTCAGAACAAAAAAAAAAAAAAAATGATGTGCCTCTTTAACATTGAAAAACGTGAGCAAGGTACGATGCTGTTTTTCGTTTTTCCCCTCCCACAGAAAGTTGTGTTCCCCGTGCTGCGTATCACCTTGCTACTTCGTCGCACATCATTATGTAACAAGAGTTTTCTACCGCGTATTGTCGTCCCTTCATTTTTTTTCGAAACACTTGGATCATTTTCGCAAATTATCAACAGTATTTCCTCGTACAAGTACTGTTCCCACAAATAATGCTGCAGGAATGCTTTTTTTTTTTTTTTTGTTCCACTGGGGTATGTAGGACTAGTTCAGATTCAACACAGGTACCTTTTCCACAAAATTTTTAAAGCGTATTTTTTTTTTTTTTTTTACGACGGTTCGCATTTAAAGCCCCATTATACACGCACGTTTGTGCTGAACGTGTTTGACGAACAATAAAAGGGAAAAGAGCCCTGCCTTCTCATCGTTATAATTCCCAGGGTTCACACAGAAAAATTTGCCTATCCATATATGCACGTGTGTATGAATATATCACATACATATATATGTGCATTTTCGTAAACGTATATGTTTACCACAGAAGCGTTAACGATCTAGTGATAACTTATGGTTTGCTCCTCAATTAGTTTTTATAAAACAGGTGCAATTGAAGTTCCATTTTGTGAGGAAAATAATCATTGAAGTTATAACAACAGAGTAGTAAAAAAAAAAAAAAAAAAAAACGTGTGGTTCTTTAGTTTTTTGTACACTTGTCGACGGGGAAACCAAAATAATATTAAACCTGTTTGATTCGTTTTGTTTTATTTTTTGAGAAACACAGGTGGTGATTCCAGGAAAAGAAAAAAAAAAAACAAGTTAAAAAATAATTTAAGGAAACTACACCTAAGGTGTAGTTACTACATAACTGTGTATATTTATATGTACTTCGTTAAAATAAGGCAAATAAGTATCATGCGACTTTTACTGTGCGAATTTTTTCCTCTGTGAAAAGGGGATAGAACCTCATACTAGTGCTGCTCTGTACAGCACTCCACCCTGTCGGTTGTACCAATTTGCATCTACATATGCAGTTACAAAATTGATTCTCCTAATAGGTACATTTTTTTTGTTTTTTTGTGATTTTGTTTTGTCTGTTTAAATTTGTCCCCTCAAAGTTTGTTTTTAGTGAAGGGGGGGAAGGAGCTGCATCCTGTTATGTCGCATTTCGTCTCGTGGTTTCACATCCTGTGCCTCCGCGTTGCGCTTTTCCAACGCCATCTTCCCCCCTTCAATTTTCCCATTCACAAAAATGCCAGTAGTTGGAGGAGCACACGTAATACCCATGAGTAATGAAAAAAAAGAAAAAATCCGTATCATTTTGCGCAATAAAATAATGCAACATCCATTCATTATTCAAGTTGTGCATGCATACAAAAACATACATACCTGTGTGCACTGTCTTTGGAGCAAACACTGCTTAGTGCTACTACTTTGTGAAATTATACCCAAGTGCAGTTTTTATAAAAATTGGACAGTTTATTTTTTAACCATGTTTCTACACAGCCCAATTGTATTGTAACGCTTATTAACCGTACTAGGATGTACACTGTGCACATGTCTACCTCTTGCTAATTATTTTTCTCTGCAGAAAGTTACACTATAGTGAGTGATGGGTATGGAGAAAAGGGTGTAAAGAAGACCTATGAAGATGAATTTTTTATCTGCGAAAATTTGAAGACCTTCAATAAGAGCTTGCACCCTAATTTTAATTTTTCGTAATACAACTATGCATGTAACATTGAGTACACCTCCATTTAGGGGGATCCTTTTGTGTCATTCATAGTGATTCCCACAATTTTGTATCACCCTGACGTGCCTTTTTTTTCACCCCCTTACCCCTCTTCCTGATGTGCTATTCTGTGGGGTAACATTCCTGTACACAGTTCGCACCCCTTTTCCGTTTCTCCTTTTTTGTAGCTGCTTTTGCTTGATCGATGGACATAACGGAAAAAACACGGCTACATTTTTGAAGAAAAATTTGGCACAGGAATTGTCGAATAGTTTTGCGGCCAATCAGGAGACCTACGATGGGACTCTTCCAATACCAGACCACTTCATAAGAATTGTAAGTTTTAAAATTTTCACCTTTGATGCTGCTGATATGGGTAGTCATTCCGCCTTTAGGGATATGTTTAAAAAAAAAGGGGGCAATTTTCCATTTATACCACTGTATATAAACACACTATAGTTTGCATATGTACTGTTTTGTCTTTATAAATATGACAATACCCTTCTCGTGATTCTTCCTTTCGTCCTCTACTCACGCGCTTAACCTTACTGTAAATATTTTAGGGTGTAAATAATGCGTGTAAAACAATCGACGAAAAATTATCCGTGCAGTTTCCCGGGTGCAAAGGTAAAATGAAAAATTTATTAAAAAGTAGAGTTCCCAAAAAAGGGGAAATGGACAACAATCGATTAGTTACATAGCACATATTTGAACGTAAAAGAACAAAAAAAAAAAAAAAACAGTGCCCTTAGCACATTGCTCATGTTAAGATTTTACTTGATGATGCATGCAGATGAGTCAAATTACTTCTATGTAATTTTTGCCTGTTTTTCCAGACGGAGCTACATGTGTAATTATTTTAATCAAGGATGATTATGCGTATATAATAAATATAGGAGACTCATCGGCCTATCTGTGCAGATTTTTGAATAATGCCAACCAAGGTGCGTCCTAAAATTGATTCCTTAAATTGGGTTTTATCTGAGGTGAAACTTTCACCACTTTGTGGTTAAACCTCTGAAGATTTGCGTTTAGACGCACCTATATATACACATATGTGGGGCCATATATATATATATATTTTTTAAATACCCGCGCAGCTATAGACCTAGTGGATATCCATAAGCCATGGGTGCTGTCCGAAAAGGAGAGGATTATTAAACATGGTGGAAAGATTGAGAATGGCCGAGTGATGGACATTATCGATGTGACGAGGACCTTTGGGGATCTTATGTAAGTTGGAGAAAAAGGAACACTTCCACTTGGTCATAGGGAGCATACGCACGTGTATCGTTATATGTCTATATGCAAGCACTTGTATACCTTTTTTCCTCTTCTCACTTTTTGCTGTGCCCCCCCCTCTTCAATACAGGCTGAAGAAATACGGCTTACTCTGCACAGGGACATTCAAAAAATTTAAAATATGCTCCGATGACAATTTTATTATCATGGGCACCGATGGGTTCTTTAGCTTTGTGGATGTGAACCATATAACGAATGAGATAGTAGCTTTGTCCAGGAAGGTACAGCTGAAGCGAGGGCAGGAATCACAGTGCGCTCGAATGAAAAGGCGTGTGTACATTAGGGATTTCTCAAATGTTTCTCTAATCCCTGTATTAAGAATGTGTTTGCGTGAGTGTAACCCATCACTCGACCCTCGCAACGTTCTTCTAACGCTTATTGAAACAACACTGTAACGTTTTTACCTCACAGGAAGAAAGGATGGTAAATGTTGAAAAGAAGAAAACCGTGTTTGACGCTCAAAATGTGTGTAGAATTATGGTTGAGCATGCGCTTGTGGATAAGAAATCACAGGTATGTACGGGGATGGACGGTTTGGCAGCTGTTTGTTCAGGAGGTACTTTTTTCAGTTTAGCGCATGCGTGTATGTATGTGCGCGTGTGTGCCCTTTCTTGCGACGCCATACTTTGCACATTCAACGCAACGGGATAAGACTTGTTCAGCAGAAAATGAGACAGCTGGAGCGAAGGGGCTGAGTTGGCTTCTGCGCACCATTTTGCGCCATATTACTGCCACAATTTGGCGTTATACTTTTTCCCATTTTTAGGACAATGTCACCGTCGTTTTGATAAAGTTTTTACACAAATGAAAAGTGTTAATTAGAAGGAATGAGAAACGGGGGAGGGGGAGTTGATTAAGTTTGATTCACATGGTCAACAAATTTTAATTATTGCAACAAGGGAAAACAAAAAAAAATAAAATAATAAAAGTGGTAAATAAGGGGGGTAAGGAACGGGATATGGGCCAGCGAGATGAGCTAGCAAAATAGGCTAACCAAATGAAGTATAAAAAAGAATTCACTACACACTTCCGTGCTGGCATACGCGCGTATGCAGGAAGTAGCACAGCAGAACAGACGCTAGCCGCTACAAAAAGGGGGGAGGGGGAATGCCCTCTGTTGAGGCAAAGGACCTGGCAGCTTTGTCTCGTTCTTACAAAAAAAAAAAAAAGGCGCTCCAATAAAAAATATCATTAAAAGACACTCGGAATTAAGTAGTTGCTCGAATTATGGTGAATATTGTCGTCATATTCCACGAGGTAGGCATTTCGCTTGACGTTATGTTTCCCTATCAGCGGCATCCTCTCATTTCGTTTGTTACTGCTATACACATTGGTGTCAATGACATTAACAATTTCTTCTTCTCCTTCCTTGAACAATTTCATAAAGGCTGTCGCAAAGGCTGATCCGACATAAGGCCCTATCCACAGAGGTAACGACGTAATGTACAATTTCACTAACTGCAATATTTTGGAGACACTTAAAAAGGACAACACAACTGAAGAGATGTTAAAAGAACCATTCGCTTGAAAAAATTTAAAGTATAAATAAGTGTACAGGGTGGACGTGGAGAACATTGGATTTAACGTCGTGTTCGTTACAAAAACAAAAAATAGTAAAGAAAAAAAAATGAATAGTAAATAAAATATATGATTCATTATATATTTTATATATTTATTGTCAAGATGAAAGAAAAAGTTTTCTTTTCTCCCTGCCCAGTTATATGAATTAAAAACATCACTTCCGTATATATCTTCATAACTGCTAAAGGTGTACAGTGACGTCATATTCTTTCCATTTGTCGTGTTAAAAATGAGCGAACTTTCATTTTTATTTTCTTCCATAAATTTTTTTTTGTAATTATACAAACTTAGTAGCAGTAGGGTTAGCAAAAAGGTGGAAATAAATTCACAAAAAAAAGTTTTCATAATTTCCTTTTTTGGTAATAAGGCATAGATAAATATACTTCCGTACAAATGTGCGCACAGGATACTTGCCAAGATGCCCCCAAAGTACTGAAATGTAACATAGCACGTAGTGATTACAAATCCATATTTTTTTGGTTCCACTAGCCATAACGCGTAGGTATATGCTGGATTGATATGTGCCCCTAATATCACAAATAAGACATATATTAAACACCCAAAGAAGGAGTAAACTGCATGGTTGCTATTATGTTTATTTCCCGAATCTTTCATCACTTCGTATTTATCAATATCTCCCAAATCGATATTGTTAATGTCGTTTAATTTTATCTTGCTGTATTCGTTTACATGGTCTTTAAAAATGACTTTTCCGACATTTTTGGTAAGTCCTTCCTTGGTTTGTTCCTTCGCGCTTTTTTCTTCTTGTTTATTTTCCTCAAGTTGACTATTGTGGATGTCTCGGTTTCCCCCACCTTCAACATCTCCGGTGGTTCCCTTTACTACTACCCCCTCGCTGGGCCTATCTGACTGTGTTAAAATGTCCTGTTGACTTATGCTCTTTTCATTGTATCCATTTTGGGAATCCGTCTTTTGGGTCTCATCCTTCTCCACAGATTCAAGCACGTTATTATTTCCACTTACCCCTGTTACACCTGTCTGTCCATCATTTGTGGAATATCCCTCGGAGGTTCCATCTCCCGTCTCACGTTTTTGCACAAGGCTCTCCTTTGTTTCTTCCACTATATTTTCAATATTTTCTGACCCATTCAAGCCATTTGTGCGATTATTCCCTTCCGCTTGGTTAACCTGTCTGTCCACGTTAGACTGTTCCTCCTTCGTTTTAAAGGTTGCATCATCTTTAATATTCTGTTCCAGTAAAATACTCTCCACATTTGTTGACCCATTTAAATCATTTCCGTATTGCACATTGTTGATTTCATTATCGAAGAGATTGTCACCAGGGATAAATATATCTTTGTTTTTGTATGGGTTTATCTGCTTGGTGTGTTTAATTACGTATTCTTCATTTTGATTAGAATTTAACATATACACAGAAATGAAAAAAACAAAAATAAAGGATCCAATAAATTCAAAGAAAAAGTTGTACTTGTATTTCTTAAATGATTTTACATTTATCTCCTCTGTTATATCTTTTACGTAATTTTTTGTATACTTTATGAACTTCTGGATTACTTGCTTCGCATACCTTCTGAACAGGCCTTTTTGCGTTTTCATTGTACAACAAAAAAAAAAAAAAAAAAAAAAAAAAGAGGAATTATCAAAGGATCAAAGAGCGGCAGCGGGGATAATCAAATACTGAAGAAATGAAGTCAACTTTTAAAACTTATGTGAAGTGAAAAAATTGCTAAGAAGGCAAAAAAAAAAAACAAAAAAAATAATAATTACACGTTATGTATACATTTATAAACATATATTGTGCGTGCTTGAAGAACGAAAACAGGGGGAGACGCATCAAACAATTTTAGAAAAGTAATAATAATAAAAGTAAAATACAAATAAAGTGGAACAAAATAGAGTGAAATAAAAAAAAAAACACAGGCAAATGCAACACCTGGCTTTGCCCATTTATGTGCTACGCAAAAACTTGTTCCCGTTCTACATGCTTTAAACAACAGGGAATTCAATTTTTTAAGCTTAAAAAATAGGAATGGTACAAGTGAAAAAGCGTGTCCCGTAATTACAAACCGGGAGCGCGTTTATAAGAGTGAAGGAAAAGGCAAAGGCTCTCATATACATATGCGAGTACACGTGTAAAAGTGCGTTGCGTGTACGTATTCGCAATGAGCCCAATGATTCTTAGCCTTTCGAAACGTACGAATACAAGTCACACATCCCCTTTTGCAAAAAAAAAAAAAAAAAAGAACAATGCTGTTCACCTTATGTAGGCATACACCACTTATTTGCAAAAAAATTATCTGCTTAAAAAATGAACGAAAAAAAATTATTAAAATTCATGTGTGCACTATTTTGAGCGGGTATTGGTTTACTCTCAAGCGTGCGGAGATAATATTTATGTATGCACAGGTTTTGTCGAAAGTCCAGTTTTGGGCTTTCCAACATAAAACACCGCGTGGTGCAGCTTGATATGCTGCGAAATTGCATAAGGCTTAATACTTTTCCTATTAATCCTTTATGGTTTCCCATTTGTCTACCTCCAAGTTTCGTGAAAATGGCCATAACATACTCTCAAATGGGATAGAACCGAATTACTACGTTTATAATAGTTGGACGAAACTGTTCGCGCGTACAGAGAAAGGAATGAAGAAAGGTATAATCTAGGAGATAATTGGGGATACCCTTTTTTGTGAAAACGAACAAAGGACTATTGCTTTCCTTTGGAGGTTGCTTCGTAATACAACTTTGACAAACGTCTTATCGTGGTTTTATTTCTCCAAAGGTTTGATCACCTTACCCCATTTGGCAAAATAGACATTTTATTACCACGTGTTGCAACATACCACCACGTTGTTGCAACGTTATTGGCATATTGCTTTTTTTTTTTTTTTTTTTTTTTTTTTCAATTGAACTTTATTCCAAGCGGTGTACCTGTACATACATGGTGACAGTTGGATAAACCATTTCTTACAGAGAAACTATTGTTCTTTTTTTTTTTTTTTTTTTCCAAATTACATGTATAACTCTATATGGTGGGGCGAGCACAAAAGCAATTCGAAAAATGTTTCCTTCCCTTTTGTTCAATTATGTTAAAGTTATGAGGAAGCAGGGGATTTTACTATTGCGTCCTTTTTCATGAGATCCCAAAAGATCGAGTAGTTTTCATTTTACTAATCCCATTGGGAACCTCCACAACGTAAGGTACAAACACACACACATATGTATATATTTCATTTTTTACAGTATGGAAAAAAAAAAAAAAAAAAAATAATACATTTGCAAATGTAGCACTAGCGAAATGGGCCACTTATATTTTCCAGCCATTGAAGTGTCGCCCATTTTTTTTTCAGGTGCTGTTTTATGTACGTACACCCGGACGTACGCGCACAAGTGTGTGCACCGCAAATGTGGCCTCTCCTGCCAGTAACGCCATCTTATAAGTTCCTACATGCAAAAGTGCTACATAAAAGACACAAACGTATTTTTATGAATTGCGTGATGGTTTCATGGATAAATGTTACAGCTTCCTATTACCGCGAAGCTAACTATATGGTAAAGGAGGAGTGCGTACATGAAGGCGTTATAAATATAGGGTAAGGGTAACATAGATTTCGAACTAGCTAAAATGTCTAGCCATGTAAAATCATTTGCACATGTATAAACGCATGCACATAGGAAAAAAATAAAACATTTGTGCGAGAGATAAAAAGGGAACATGTACTGGAAAATATAGAAAATGCCTTTTGGAGTATGCAATAAAAAAAGCAATATATGTTCTCCGGTGTCTGCAAATTGTAGGGCTTTCTAACCATCGAGCTGGTTCGCGCTTTACTATATGCATACGCGTGCCCTCAACTTTTTGTCGCCATTCATTACTTCCGATTTCCTACATTGGGCAGTCATTCGACTCGAATGAACTTCTGTAGGCGGCTTTAATAAAATAAACCAAATAAAATTAAAAAAAAAAAAAAAAAAAAACACGAATATGTAATGTTCGTAAAGAAAGTGCAGAACGTAAATAAAGAGCGCATTGGAATATCCATTTAAGACAAAAAAAATAAATTCATACATAACTACACATTAACGTGAGCATAGGTATTTATTCGTACATGATGCAAAGTAGATGGCCACATCCAAAATTTGTCATTTTTTTTTTTTTTTCTTCCAATTTTGAGATGAATTAATTAGCATATTTATTTACCGAGTTTGATTTCCAGTTAAAGAAAAAACAGCTTATGATAATTATAGAGGCCTCTACATTTCACTTTGAACAGTGGTACATGTGAAAAGATAAGTAGGAAACACAACACTGCATAAAGTATTGCGTAAAAATAGGTACACATGCACTTGAATAAGTGTAAATGTACACACCTTTTGCGGGCAGCTATGTACGTACGAGAGTGCGCGTGCATATAGATGACAGCACAATGTCTGCGCGACCCTGAACCCTGAACCTGAGCAGCAACCCTTCAATGTTTGACACGTTGTAAAGAGCATTATTGTAATTATGTTTCGCCAAAGCAGTTAGTACACGAGTGTTTGCATTTATTTTTGAGGGTATTCCTTTTGGCTAATCGTGCAAACCTCGTTTGTAGCTTTGGTAGATACATGACCAACAAACTTATAAGCTCATGCCTAGGCACATGCACTTGTGGGTACCTACACAACTTTGAGATAATATCCATTTCGTAATGTTTTAAATTGAAAAAAAAAAGTCCCATGAACAACAACGGTGCTAACGCAATATGTTAATTTTTTTTTTTTTCTGGGTGAAGAAGCAATATAAATTACAGTCTTCCTTTGAGACAGAATTAACGGGTTGTTAACTCAGCTTGAATGGGGAAAGACGCACGCGAAGAAGAAAAAAAAAAAAGAGCATTCCTTCTACCGCCCTTTCACAATTTCGAAGCGACAGCCCATCGAACATGATAAAAAAAAATATAAAATTTAAATCGGATGAGAAGCCTGTAAACAAATCCTTCGGTGAGAATAATGGAAAAAAGCGGACGCACTTGGATATAGGTATGTCGACGCTTGAACGCAACTTTGAGCTTCCCCCCCACTGTGTGCACAATTATATATACACACATGTATGTGTACTCTTGCAGGGTACATCCGTGTTAACCTACATGCACGAGATTGTTAACTTAAAAGCATTCGCAGCACATGGAAAAATGTTGTAAAATAATATGCTTCTAACTGCACATTTGCATTGTCCCCTGCTGGCATGAAAATATGCTTAATGCATTATGCACAACGCTACACGTACATATAAATTGTTAGAAAATGCCTCACTATAGTTTGGCATCTTCCAAACAATATTTATTTGCTACTTTACATTTTGTGCCGTAAGCAAATTATATTTATTTTTTTTTCATTTAAAAGAGGAAAAAAATTACTATTGGGGTCTTGCCAATTTTGTTACACAAAGATATGTACCTTTTAGAATTCACAATATGGGAAAAGTGTTCTATACATAATTTTTTTTTCTTTGAGTTTTTTTTTTTTGCTTTTTGTTTTTGCATGTTTGCAGATCGCCCGATTAATGATTTGCATTATATATTCTGCTTTACCCTCGGTGGGTTTCATTTCGTGAAGTTTGCGCCTTGCTCTTTTCGTTCGTTTTCGTTGTATTTCGCTTAGTACAGTTGCCTCACTTGCATTATTCGCCTTTTTCGCATTCGCTCTGTTCCGTTTCGTGTCGTTTCCTTTCTTTTTTCCCTTTCCCTTGCTTCCTTTTTTTTTTTTTTTTTTTTTTTTTTTAAGTTCCCTTTTCACATGTAACGTTGTGCAATACGAGCTTTACCCAATTTACGGTAGTGTTCATTTTGCTTGCAAGTTTATTTTATTTCTTGTATTTTTTGTCATTTCTGAATATGTTTTTTTTTTTTTTGTGAAAATTGGTTTAGCCGCATTTCATTCACGTAGTTGTAATTGTAACTATTTGTGCATTTTATATTTCCCACCTTATTCTTATTACCCCTTTCCCTTTCTGCTTCTTCTTATCTGTTCATTTTCTGTTCCCTTCTTTTCCTCCCCTTCTTTCAGTTCGTACAAAAGAGTACATATAGTTTTGTTACGTAGCTAATCCATTTTTCCTGCCTTTTTTTTTTTTTTTGCAAATTGTATTTTTTATAATTTTAAGTTTATTTTCAATTTTAATTAATTCTTCTTGTACCTTTGACTATAATGGTTGCCTTGTGATATTTAATTAAAGGAAAGACAAAAAAAAAAAAAAAGAAAAGATATGGGTACATGCACCTCTTCACTAAGACATAAAATTCGCAAAACAAACCCGCCATCCAGTAGAACATGTACGTGTACAAATGCACTATTGTACAATTTTGGTGCACGCATATATAAAGTGTGAATAAAAAATGGAACAACCCCCGCATGCATGTGCATGAATATGCACATATACATATGCTTAATGGCAAGCCTACATAAGGGGCCTCCCCATGTTCATAGTCCCTGCGTAATATGCTTGTTCATGACCATGAAAAATGTATGCACCATGTTGAAATGATAAACGTGTACACAAAAAGAACAAGTGAGAGGAAGCAAAAATGTACACAACAATGGAAGTGAAGACACATTTTCCCAGTTTCCCTTACCCCCCATTTGTGCAAATTTATTATACCTCGTAGCTTGTACATTTGTATATCAATTTTAATGGCATATGAGAATGAGATTTTATTATTAATTTTTTTTTTTTTTGCGCCTATGACAACATGCACCCTTCATATATGCTCACACCACCTATGCGTAAAATTAACATCACTCCACAGTTTATATAATTGTTGTTTAAGCGTTGTTAATAGTTGCTAAGCTTTGTTAAAAGTACCTCCCACCCCTCATCATTTGCATGCTTCTATGCATACGTTATGTGTGCCTCCAATTATGTACTTCTCCTGTGCAAACTTCTCCTACTCCTTGTTTAAACGTTCATCCGCATGCATTACACCCACCGAACAAGTGGAACATATAATAACATGTATGAATTGTTTCATCCCAACTGAATGATAGCCCAGAACAGCAGTGAAGTGTTATATGTCCGTGTACTTGCTGGCATGTGCATATATGATGAGCAAGAGCGCAAATGTTTCCCCTCAAGTTAAGAGGTGTACTATGCAACTTTTGGTAGCACACAATATAAACGCCCTTTGATTTGGCTTCTTTGTATATGCATCGTTCATGCGTGAACATTTAAAAAACAAAATTAAAAAAAAAATGAGCTACTAAGATGGGTAACCAAAAAGAGGCGCAAAACTTTGTGCAAATTTTCTCATTGAATTATCCACGGAGCACTTTTCGCATTTTCCGCCGCCTTTGCTTCTATAACCATGACCGTCGCTTCCTTTATGAGCTTTAGCAGTTACTATTGTATTTACATTATCCTTTATGCATATGTGTACACGTTTGTGTGTAACTGCCAGAGGGGGGTAGCCTCCACATCTCTGTGTGCATGTGTGCAAATGTTCATGTTGTAAAGCTCTTTCATTGATACGCCACTCGGGGTGCTCCATTATGTAGATGTGTGCGCGTGGGTGAATTCTTCCCACAATTTCGCACATGCGCATGCAAACGCATGTGTATATTTGTTTCTCCTTCCCCAATGCACCTCTATACACATGAACCCTGAATGTCCCCTTCCACCACCCTGTCAGTCAAAGAAAGAAAGAACACAAGAAGGAGACTCTCAATCAGTACAAAAGGAGAGCTGCCAAATGACACGGACGAAATAAAAAGAAGCATTCAAGAGCTTAAGGACAATGAAGACAGGTTTAAAGAATCATCGGAAAATGATTCGCATACGAAAGTGGAAATAACTCCAGTGAAGGAAGAAGAGGGGAAAAAATGTGGAGAGAAAAAAAATAAAATAAAAAATAGATCGTCCGTAGCAGGAGTGAGGGCATCACATTTTCAAGAAGATTTCGAAAAAAAATGTGTAAAAATTAAAGGTGCAGTTCATAAATTAAATGAAAATGGAATAGGCTATGTATGCAGAAAAGGGTTAAAGCCGGAAAGCCCTAATCAGGATGATTTCACAATTATCACGACGGAGAACTTGGCTCTTTATGCCATTTTTGATGGCCATGGGCCATATGGACATGATGTGTCCAATTATGTACAAAAGGAATTACCATACATGATTATAAAGAACGAAAATTTTTTAAAAAATCCGAAAGAGGTCTTCACTAATGCCTTCCTAAATATTCATGCCAACATAGAAAAAACGACAAATGCATATTTAGAAGAATTTGCAAACAAACAAAAGGGCAACAATAAAGGTGGCAACAGCAAAAGACTTCCTATGAACAAGCAGAGGAACAGCTCCGTGGTTAGTACCCACTTTGATTTAAATATAGGTCAGCTGGGAAATTCGGATGACGATGATGAGGAGGATGAAGACGACGATGATGACAATTTTAGCGAAGACTCCGATACAAGCAACAAAGATGGGTGTGCCTACACCGATAGTGATAGTGACAGTGATGATCATGACGATCCGAAGAATTCCCATGCAAAGGTGAAAAAAAGCGAATCCAAGAAACATGCAAACGAAAAGGATACCACCAAAAACGACAAGGGACAGACATTAAACAAAAAAAAGAAAAAGAAAAAAAAGAAGAAGAAAAAAGAAGCCTATTTTGATAGTACAATGAGTGGTACCACAGCGACAATAATAGTCCACCTTTTTCAGGAAAAAAAATTATACGTGGCTTATGTGGGGGATTCTAGGGCTGTACTTGGCAGGAGGAAGAAGGGATTCCCGAATGTGCTGGAGGCCTTCGATCTGACGAAAGATCATAAACCCAATTCCGCAGCTGAGAAAAAAAGAATTATAAATTCCGGTGGGCAAGTATTGAAACTCGAGGGGGATATACCCTACCGAGTTTTTTTAAAAAATAAGTTTTACCCAGGCTTGGCCATGTCAAGGTAATGTCCCTATTTTTGCTATACCCTCAAGTGATCGCCCGCGGATCGATCAAATTTGCCTTCACCTGTGCATGTCTTAGTGTCGTGATTATTAAACTACTTCACCGCACAGGCTGTAGTTACATAATGTGCATAACGAGCACACACGTAACGGAAATGAATTGCATCCGATCCGTTTTACACATTGTCTATTTATTTTATATTCATTCTGTGCACACTCACATCGCTTGTTCATATCCGTATTTACGCCTTTTTTTTTTTTTTTTTTTTCTACCGCCGTACGTGAACGCAGAGCCATTGGGGACACGATCGGTCACCAGATAGGTATAATATCCGAGCCCGATTTCATGGAAATTAAAATAAACGAAGATGAAGACATCCTTGTTTTGATATGCAGTGACGGAGTATGGGAATTCATTTCGTCTGAAGAGGCCATTAACCTGATCTACGAATTTGGATACGACAAGGTAATGGACGTTACATGCGATTGCGTGTGTGTATGTACGTCTGCATGTTGTCGTGCTTGTCGTTTCCTATGCGATTGAATAATTGCTGATTCTAACCATGTGAGGCTTCCCTTTTAAAATTTTTAATGGTGATATGTACTTACCCCGTTCATGCCCCATCATCCTTAAGGTTCAAGACGCAGTTGAGAACTTAGCCAAGGAATCCTGGGACCGGTGGCTAAACGAAGAAGAAAACATTGTTGATGACATAACCATACAAGCCATATATTTATCAGAAAAATGCAAAAAAAAAAAAATATAATAAATTATTAAATTTCATTTTTTTTTTTTTTTTTTTTTTTTTTTTTTAGTACATTTTTGGTATAAATACATAAATGCATTCTGCATTTCGTATACTTAAAAGATTTGCACTGTTGGTTCTTAAATTAAACAACATACGATTATATCCCTACATTTTCATTGAACCCGCTAATTAAGAAATGCATTAACGCATTCTGGCCTAATTGCACGAAAAGGGATAGCTAATTTGTGCGCGATGATATCGCAAAGTAGTAAATAAAATGTGATCACTTTGTATAATAAATTGGGGTAAAGAAGACAAGGTGTGTGCCTGTATATATGTTGAAATGAAGTGTCTTCTAACATATGGCTTTTTTTTTTTTTTTTTTTTTTGGCAACTTTTCCGCTTTGCTAATTTTTAATTTTACATTGCCACGCTCATATGATGTAACTGTTCCGCCTGAACACAAAATGTTTTATCCTTTCGTGAAATCTTTGTCATTTTTTTTGCAAAGGAAAAGCGCGATTATGACTTATTCTTTTTTTCTAACTCTACATTTTTTTAACAGTTTCTTAGAAGTATATTTTGAATATGTTCCTTTTGAAAGCTCGTTTTAAGAAGACGAGTTTTTGTTTTATTATTTTACTTCTTTTCCCCATCCCTGGTAGCACTTACAAGGGTGCACATAGGGACATTTCTAAATAAGGCTAAACGTTACACCGCATACTGTGTAGCGTTTCAAATGGATAAATTCAAATCGAGGAGGTTTAAAAAGGGCACAAAAAAAAAAATATATGCTTTGGTTTGGACAAAATGTAGAATTAAAATATTGTGCGAATAATGAAATGGTGGGTATGGGGGAGCGGCAGAATGTTCCATGTAGGAAATAGAGAATGCTCTTAAGAGAATTGCCCCCTGCGTGCTCATAATTGTAACAAAAAAGAGAAAAAGAAAAAGAGAAACGGATAATCGAGTGGGTAATTAAATTATGCACATTTGAAAATATACACGTGTGTGTGCCTACTTACACATTTGCACTTTTGTGGGATGACAAATTATAGGAGTGTTCCCATTATAGGCCCTCATCTGGGGTGGGCTGCAACGCCAAAGGGGGGCTACAAAAGTGTTAATGCGTAAGGAAGAATGTACAAATCGGTACATGAATATACACTGCCGCTTCACCTCGCTGCGAAGAATCAATCCTAGTACGTCCTCAATCTATCCCGCAAATAAGTATCCTCCGTTGTGAACTTATAATTGTCATAAATAGAATTAAAAATTTGCGCCGCCTTTACCTTTGCCTTCAGTTTCATGCAAATTAAGAAGGACCCAGATAATTTTCTATGCAGCGTGTAAATTTCGGAGCGGGGTGGTACCAACCTATTGTAAATAATTGTGGGCAACAACTTATATATCTGCTTAGCAATATCATTATTGGCAAAATCGTACACTGGATATTTGAAGGGTTCCCCGACTAAGATCACCGATTTGATGTGCGAATTTTTCATTTCTTCAATTTCCTTACCTACAAAAAAGTTAAGCTTATAGGAATAGTGATAAATCTTAGATTGGTCTTCCTCCACGGATGCTTTTACAAGTCTTAAATAATTATCAACAAACTCATTGTCGTAATATCTAGTGGCCCCGAAATCGATTAAGCATAATTTGTCCCTTTCTTGATCATATAAAAAATTGCCTAAATTAGGATCCGTGTTCATAATTTTAAAGACAAACAATTCGTGTAAACAGAGGTAAAGAATTCTTTGGCCTATGGAATCCCGAATGGCTTGTGGAAATTTCTCTGCAACTTCATCTAGGCTTATGCCTTCTACGTAGGAAGTTACCAACACGTGTTTCGTCACATACTCAGTGTACACAGAAGGTACATAAAAATATTTGCTATTCTGAAAAATATTTTTAAAAAGGACATAATATTTTGCTTCGTTAATATAATCACACTCACATTTTAATTCCTTCTTAATTTCTCTACACACATTTTCAATATATAAATTTTTTAGTATCAAATTGGTATACTGATTAATAAGTAGCACATTTTTTATATCACTATCGATGGACTCGTAAACACCTGGGTACTGAATTTTCACTGCCACCTTTTTACCATTTATTGTTGCTTTATGAACCTGTCCTATGGATGCACTTGCAAAAGGGATATAATCAAACGAGTCGAATTTTTTTTCATAATCCTCCCCCAGTTCCTTCCTTAGAACACTTCTTAATTGGCTCGTGGGCATTACATCCGCTGAATTGCACACCAGTTTTAGGGCCTTCCCCAAAATGGGTGACAAATGCTCATCCTGCAAGCTGATCATTTGGCCCAGTTTTAGGACTACTCCTCTCATTTTGCTCAACCCGTTTGCCAGAATTTCCGCATTTTTCTCGCTCACGATTATCCTACTCCTACCGCTATTTGCAGCATCGCCTCCTCCAAACCCATTGGCCAACCTACTTTTAATATACTCCACGCTACTATTTCTCGCAATATCCAACAGAACCTTTCCAAAAACGGTGGCCCTGCTGAGCGGCGATACGGGCACTTTGCTGATTCTAAAATTTGTCCTTTCTGGTTTATCAGAGCATATTATTTTGTTATTTAAAACATCAATGTCGTAATTGAAGTCGTGCTCATCCACCATGTTCCCGTGACTTAGGTTTTCCGCATCATTTCGTTTTTCCCCGTCTAAATGTATATGGTTCTCTTTTTTCGCCTCTGCGCCAGTGCATGTGTTAGTATTTCCCGCATCTCCCTTCAAATTTTCTCTTTTGGCGGTGCTTCCGTAATTGTCCCTTTTTATGCCATCACCTTGGCTGGCAATATCCATATCTTCAACCTTTTCATCACAGCGGAAAATTTGGGATTGTTGTAAAGTGTTTGCATTATTTGATGTGTCTACGGTGGAGACAAACCTTTTTGGATTCATCCAGGGGGAGTTATTATGTGTAGCTTTTTTCCCAAATGGGGCTGTCAAAAAATGGGAACCGTTTTCTGTATGCACCTCGTTAGTAACTGGCGTAAGGCCACTTGGCTTTTCATTGCCAATTTGGCTACGCAAGGTATAATTCGTACCTTTCCCGTGGTACGTTTCGCCATTATGTAAAACCTGTTCTTCTCGACTGACAAAATTAAATTTGTGATTAGCACCCCTCTGCTGATCATTCAGATTATTCCTTTTATCACCATTCCATTTGTCCTCTAATTTGCTGCTCATTTTTTTTTGCGAGCCACTTAGCATGTCTTCTTCCCCCCTGAGCAATAAGTCTAATTTATTTAAATCTATATTTTTGAACAAATATTCATTATGCTGTTCTTCCTCATTTTGTGTATGACATGTGGGAAAAATGTCTTCAGCATATTCATAGTGCCAAAAACATTTATATGGTAACACACGTACAATTTTGAAATTATTATAGAGGTAGTAAAATATGTGCGACTCGTTTTCCCTTGCTGTTTTTAGCAACCTCATTGCCCCTGGGTTAGTGTGCAAATGGTCTTCCAGGGTGTTTATCATGTTGGAAAAAAAGGTACTTATTTCATTTTCTACATATATGTCATTTTCCTTATCATTTATTACGACTTGGTAGCGATGAGCAGCTCTGTGTAAATCCAGCGGAGCGCCTATTCTATCGCTACGATGTATATTCAGCGTATACTTCTTGCTTGTACTACTGATGGTGTTATTCCTATTCGGGCAATTTTTTTCTGTTTTTTTTTTTTTTTTTTCCCTTCCACTTGCCTTATTACGTCATCTATTAACCTCTCATTTTTCGTGTTCAGAATGTGCGACCATTTGTATATTTCGAATGGAGTTGTTAAATCACTACACGTGTGTTTCCCCCTCGCTGCGTTCCCCACCTTGCTAGGTTTCTTCAATTGTTCTGGGCCATGCTCATGGGTACTTTTTCTAATTTTAAATTTAATTATTTCGCTATTGCTCATATAACACCTTCTACACAGCAAAGGTGAAAAGAAACGCTGTTCCAATATTGGTAAGCTTTTCATACTTTAAAATGGTGTTGCTGTAGCAGGGGGGGCCATATATAAGTGTATTTAAAAACAGTTGTTGCAGGAAATTTTCAGTATTTTTTTTTTTTATGTTTACATAGTTGTTACAATTTTAGGGGGAATTTTATTATTTTTTTTTTTTTTTTAGGAGCAATCCAGAGTTGTAAAATGGCTTGCAAAAACTACGGGAACGGATAATATCGTAAGAGGGGCGCGTGAAATACATGCTGATGTGTCGCAAGAGTACACCAAAAAGGGGGAAAAACCTTCAGCGTGCGATGCATTCCATTGTATACATATAAATATTAATACCTGTACCCTTTACAATTCAGTGTATGTATAGTTCCCTTTTCCATTAAAACAAAGATCAAACAAGGGGGGGCGGGGGAAAAAAAAAAAAAAAAACAGCTTTATTTTAAACACCCATTTGGCTTTTATTAAAAAATTTTTTTTTTTTGTTATAAGTACGTACTTTTCAGCATAGCCACGCTTGCTACTTTTTTATTTTACCATTTCGTCCTTATTGTGTTAACCTTTTTTTTTCCATCGTTTGATTACTCGTTAGTGACAGTGCCACACTAATTTGCCCATTACTCTAAGAATTTACGCATATGTGCTCCTTACAAAGTTGTACATACGAACAAAGGGGAACAGGATATTACGGAAAATAATGCGTTCCTTGTGGGTCTCGGGAAGGGAGATAAATGAGCGGCTGACCTGTCCATATTAACACAAAAAAAGGGAACCATAGTTCAAGTTGCTTCGAAATACAAAAAAATAAATGGAAGCCGCATTATCGAATGGCGAAAATATCCAGTGGATGAAGGTTTATCTTGTCAGTGTATTTACGTGGAAGGGCCCTGCGCACATAAGCTAGGTTACACACAAGGATGTAAATGTGCAGATATTACCCTACCAACGCGCCGTCTTTACACATACGCCGCTCCCCAGTTGAGGACAGATCTTTTCAGTAAAAGACAAAGAATATGAAAAAATGTGACATGTTTTTCTTATATTTAATTTTTTTTGTTCTAACCACCATCAAATACTGCCAAGCGTTTATAATTCCAAACAACACAAAAATGGTAAACGGTCCTCTTTTGAAGAACTTGTGCAGGAGCAAGCGAATTGGTAATAATGAAAAAACAAGACATGACATAAAAAGTTGTTAATACACACCGCTTCGAAAAGAAGGAAGCCATTTTTTTTTGGCGAAGTGCTGTTAGTTTTTGATGGCTCTACCAATGTACACATATATGTGTACCATTAATGACGTGCAACTTGGCACCCCTAACGTTTTATAAATAACACTCACTGTTATTTAGAGTTTCTTTATTTTTCTTTTTACTTTACTACTTTTTTTTTTTTTTTTACGACATTTTGCAGTAACAATTTTTGGGAAAAAAAAAAAGAACAGGAAAGTTGTTGTCATAGAATGCACTGAAGCAAGGAAATACGGCAAGCAACCCTCAAGATATGTGACAGAGAAAAATAAAGTAAACACACCGAAGAAGTTGCAGTTGTACAAGTATAATAAATATCTTAAAAGAAGAACATTACACGTAGAAATTAAGTAATTACGTGTCACAAAAAGCAACCTTCTCTTGTTTTTCTAGCCGCACACCATTTTGCGCATATTATGCCTTTTTTTTTTTTTTTTAATCAACGATTTGTCATTTAGTTTTTCCTCTATGGAAACTCCCTGCATTGTTTATACTAACGTAATAATATAAAAACGTAAATCTTATTTTAAGAAGATGCGAAACATTTTTTTTGTAGAAGTGTTAAATTAAATCTGGCTAGGTATATGTACAATGGGCACATATACGTAAAAATTACACTGAATTTTTTTTTTTTTTTTTTATTTCCTTCGACTCAACGCCCCTGAAAAAATTCAACAATTAGTTTTTCAGCATTTTTCCTATATCTTATACACACATGTTAGCATGTTTATGTAATGTATATATTATATTATACAAATTGTTTGAAACAAATTTAAGCATAAAGCTGCGTGTTTTTTGAACTAAAAAAAGAACTAAACGAAAAAAAAGCACAATTCGCTAATATAGATTTCTGGTTTTTATATGTGGATGGCAGTTCAATTTTTTTTTTAAACAAAATTTGAACACGAAAAAGGAACAAGTATATACTTTGGCAGTGATAATATTGAGTGCCATGTCCGGCCTGCTCCACCAATTTAGCAAAATTAACGATTGAAAATAGTGTTCATTGTTTTTCGGTTTAGCTAAAGAAATTTTTCGTTCGAATGAGTTTTATTTCTTTTTTAATATACCTTAAAGTGCAAATTTTCTTTCAAGTTTATTTTATTTTTTATTAAACAAAATCTTCTCTTATTATTTTATTTATTTATTTTTTTTATTTAGCCTTCTCACATCGTTTACTGCAAAATAAAACACTTTTATAAACTGTTTCAATTTTTATCAAAACAATTACACGTTTATATATATCTGCAAGCCCTGTAAATTATAAGAAAAAAGAAGCGTAAGGAAAAGAAAATATTTGTAATGTTTTTGAGAATTACATTTTTACGTGTTCATTTAAAAATATTCTTGTTTATGCTTCCTGTTCTATTACATTATTTCCAATTTTGCTTTTTGCCCTTCTTATTAGCCTTCCCAAAATTTGCTCGCCATCCATTTGGTTTGTACCTTCCTCGAAATTGTAAATCCTCTCCCCACAAAAAGGTAACACTGCTTTATACCACAGTAGATTTATACGATTCCATGGTCAACAAGTGTGGATGCTTCTTTAAATATACAACTTGTTATGACAGCATTTAAAGTTTTTGTTTTCAATATGCTTGTCAATTTGCATATTTGAGTAACCCTCGCACATTTGCTTAAATTCGCTCTGTGACTCATGACTACATAGTTTTTTTTTCCTAAGGGGGGAGTAAAAAGAATAATAAGATTACAATTACGATAGCAGATTTAAATGCTTATTGCATATGTGTACGTGTGTACGTGCGAACCCTGTGTGTATTTTCCTATGTGCTTGAGCATGTGTGCAATTTTGTTCATACATGAGTTTATCTCCCTGCCCCCCTCATACTTGTGCAAATCGCGTTAAATGTTTCCACCGTTTGAACCATTCGTCCAAGAAGTGCTCAAAATGGAACTCTCCTTTTTCAACTATAAATATTTCTGCTGTTTTTTCCACGTGTATATGGCCACTGTCCTCTTATTACGTCTACAACATGCATATAGCATTGTTTGAAAAGGCATTTTGTTCGTCACATTTTATTTATTTATTTTTTTTTTTTTTTATCCTCACTGTAGCCTCCGGAACACAATGAGTTTAGCGGACATATTTGAAAAATGCGTTTGTTTCGTCAACGCACTTCCCAAAAGTGAAATAATATCTTTGGAGAATAAACTACTTTTGTACAAATACTTTAAGCAAAGCACAGTTGGAAACTGTAACATAGATGCACCAAGCATGTTTAGGCTCCAGGAAAGGAAAAAATATGAAGCATGGAAATCAATTGAAAATTTGAGCAAAGAGGAAGCACAGAAGAAGTATGTCGAAACGGTTCAGAATTTGTACCCAGACTGGGACAAGGGAATATAAAAGCAAAAAAATTTACACATGTGAACTGAACATATTTTGTACAACATAAGGAGAAATTTATAAATTATGTGAGCACAATTGTGCGTGTGTATCACGCACCATCCCACGTTGTTGTGTAAATGTATAGAAGTACTTACAACATGATAGCAAAACAGTGCCTCATTGTTTATGTATAAATCTTCAGGAATGCATATTTTTAGCCGTGTTGTTGATGACACGGTGTGATGAGCATCTTTCTATTTTTTTTTTTTTTTTTTTTTTTTTCCCAAAAAATATTAAATGTGTAGAAGAAACTTGTTTTTTTTTATACGCGTTTTTTCAGTTGCCATTTTTATGGTCAACTGTGGGCATATATGTACAAAAGCATTTGTGCGCGTGTGCGTATAGCTAACAATAATTGCATATTTATGCATTTATGAGTTTATGCGCTAATATATTCACAAGTTTACACTTTACATACACATGACACGTTTTTGTTTAGAAAAAACTGTACAGTAGAAAAACTTCGCGCGTAGCACAAATTCTCGTATTTTGGGGAAGTTAAAAAAAATGAGGACATTTTTTTAAAACACTTAAATTTTTATTCATTAATGTGGTTTAAATGCACATGACCTATTTTTTGGTAAAAGGCATTTTTCTCAATTTATTTAAAAAAAAAAAAAAAAACTCAAACGTAGTAAAAAATGCGATAGAAAAAATCGTAGCTCCTTTTACATCCTTGTTGCATTACACCCTATGCAACTGTTTCCGTAAACCACAAGGCCATTTTCTACAGAGTTGTAAAACGGGTACAACAAAAATGCGAATATTTGAATATTCGAATAAACATAATGTATAGCATACACAGATATAAGCTGACCATATTCATGTAACTATCTCGCGTGTGTACAGTGCGCAAAGTGTGGTAAAATTGGGCAAGTTTATTTGGCCCTGTTTACATCTCACTTATACAGATTAAAAAAAAGAACAACGCTATAGGGAATAAAAATAACAGATACATGATCTGTCAATTGAAGGGGAAATGAACCATACAACAATGTGGTTTTTTTTGTTTTGTTTTTTTTTTTTTTTTTCACAAAGTGGAATAATAAGAAAAATACAGTTATTGCACTACTAGATGGATTTAATACAAAATAGTGATCTGTTGTAAATGTGTATATAAAATCGGCAACGCGTCAATTTGTTACTACATCGTTTGACATTTTTTTTTTTTTTTTTGGGGGGGGTAAATGGGAAAAGGATAAAAAAAATGTTTAAATGTGTTTTTTGTTAAAAATTATAAAAAAAAAAAAAACAACATTACCAAAAACCTGGTGTGGACTTTAACCATAGAGGCATTTACCAAATAACATACACTTCACCATTTTGCAGTTCTCCATATGTTATTGTGAAATATAAAAAAGTGAACAACTCGTGAACATAATTATACGCACCAATTTGTTTACAACCTTTAACAATTATGTTTGAACCACGAGCATAACGTTTACATGACCCTATTTTATGTGTTCCAATGTAATATGCATAAGGGCATATGTTACACATAAAATTACTGCGCAGAAAACACAGTATCATAAATGTGGTATGAAAAAAAAAAAGAAACATGTAGATTTACATGTCGGCTAAAAAAAACACGTAGCAACAGATAACGCGTATTTTTTTAAATATTACCAACACATCAAACGATTGTTTTTTCTTCAATTTGCAACAGTAGTAGTGAACTTACAAAGATACATATATTCTGCCAAATGGAAACGGGGATACAAACCAAAAAAAAATAAATGAAGCCTTTTTTCCTATTTTGAGTTTTAAGCAGAACTGACGTGTTGCATATACTTATTTGTATCCCAATTAATATACAATTACATATGTGCATAAGAACAAATAAATGGAGATCAACAGAACTGCTCAAAAATAGTCTGGCTTATTTTTATGTGCCAGAATTTTTCACGTATTCTTTTACAACCCACACTTTTTTTTTGTTCATATTTGTGACATTTATAAGAATATCTCCATTTAACGAAACTTTGCGCAGTTTTTCATATATTTAAGCAATTTTTATGAAAAAATGTACTTAAAGAATTTATATATATACTTCGTTAAATACTTGTTGTACCACGTATGCTCCCTCATTTTTTAACACTTTTTTTCTTTATAGCGTATTTGCGCTGTTGATAAAAGTTCTCATTTTATAACAACCATTTTAATGAAAAATGAGAAAATGTGTTTATTACGTATTTGTTCTATCAGAATAATTTTATGCGCGAGTTGGAAACCATTTATGTAGAATGAGATAAGTGGTTTTATTTTCTTGAGACCCCCCAAAAAAAAGAACAAGAAGAAGTATTGTTCTGCCCAAGCAAGGGGGGGTGGGTACGTGAAATATAGTCGTGCATATTAAATACATGTATACAACCATTTGCACTACCTGTTTTGTGGACGCCCTTCTTGACATGTTCTGCAGAAAAAAAAAAAAAAAAACCTGGATTAATGCTTTGTAAGCGGAAATAATGTCTTAAAAAATGTATTTCGCAATTATATGTTCATATATGCATTATTTCTCATATATATGGGTTATACATTATAACAACATTATGTACATAATCGCATATGCATTAAGCACGTACATTCTTTATAACAAGTACGTCCCCAGTACATAGGCATATGCGAACGTACGCACCTCAAGGGGGGAATACATCCTTGTATATGCTCAGATATATGAGCATACATACTCATTATATATGCAGGAAGGACGACACCCCCACAGGCACAGGCCTTGCAGTAAACTCTTTATGCCTAAAGTAAGGACATAGCAACATATACCAGCATATGAATAGCTCTAATTTTTTTTTTCTTATTGCACCTTTGTACAATCATTGAAATACCATCATATTCTTGGCTTTCTCATTTATATTCATATAATATATTTTTTCGATATATCATGGAATACGAAAATATTCATTCTACCAATTGGATGTTTTTTTTTTAATTCTTTAAACCTATATGTATGTATTTATACATATTAAATTATTAATTTTGCAATATGACATATTTTTTAAAAGAATATTAATATATTCTTTTCAATTAATATGCCCTTTTCTAATTTGCCAATTACTACATTTTTATTAGTTAATTGTTATTTCATGCTTTTTTCTTTTATTCTGTATCAAGCAGGCCTTGCGCCTCACAAATACAATAATAACTTTGCTATTAATTTCCCATAACAGTTAGATCGGCATTTATGCCACTAGACTGTGTTGTACATACTCGTTTTCGAGAGTTTGTCTCATTATTGTTATATATTGTATGGATGAATTTCTCCAGCCTGTTACCAACTTATTCGGCGGACGTAAGTTGAACAGGTAGATCAGAAGACGGCGTTGTGTCCATTCCATAGCATGCATGTTTAGTTACATATGTATATATGTATATATGAATATATATATATATCTATATGCATACGTCTATTTTCATATGTGCATACAATCAGTTTGCCTGGTTGCGTACATAACTCGGCGTTGTAGTATTCTTTTTTTTTTTTTTTTTTACCCAAGTTGGTGAAACACCTTTATGTACATTAAACTGTGTTACATTTATTTATAAACGTTGTGCATTTTGTTTTGTCCTTTTTTTAAGGATAGAAATTCTTTTAAAAATAAAATGCCAAATGTGAATAATATTTTTATGAACAATGTCATAAGTATTATTTAACTGTCCTAAGCGTAATTTTTCTTTTGTTTGTTTATATTTTTTCTTTTTTTCTACAGTACACCTTTTTAAATGTACGAATAGTGACATATATACCAATATGTATATGCACATAAGCATTTATTTGAAAAATTACATTTAAAATATTTGCCCAAGTTGTTACAGTAGATATGCTACACAGATTTTTATGCATTTGCGTGTACGCTGAAATATACCTAATACATATGCATATTTTTGTTCATACGTTTAAACACATTTGGAAAAAAATTAAAAAAAACGTATCTGTAATTAAGTGCGCACTTGCACTTACACTTCCTCACGCACACGCTGAAACCATTATGCACATAAGGTAGATGACACATGCAGCTGGAATATTTATACACGGCATAGATGCATGTATGTACATATTCAATGTAGATTATACGTACACAAGTGTAGAGCGATTTTTTTTTTTTTTTTTTTTTTTGTTTTTTTTTTTTATTCTCCATATATTTAATGGCAATTCTTTTCTGTCATTTTATTTTATCCTAGTTTATTTTACTTTGTTGCTTTTATAAAGGTGCCTTCAATGCCTTAATAATTCAATAACCATTTTTAAAATTAATTTATCTTTTATGACACCCTTTTTACACTCACGAATTAAAACCCTTTCGCTTGTAGATAAATCGGAAAAAAAAAAAAAAAAAAAAAATTCCCCATAAAAACGAACTCGAAATTTCACATGGTCTTGTAAACATTGCAATGGATTTATATGATAAAAATATTGGAAAAAGAAAAAGAAACTCCAAGCTTATAATATCACCAGGAAATGAAGAACAAGAAGACGTAAATTTGACTGAAAAAAATAAAAAAAATAAATTAATACTTAGCGATGTTGATAACAAAAATGTACCATGTGAACAGAAGGACGCGCAAGTAAAAAAAGTGTGTAACGCGAAAAATAGATCTGATCTAAGGGGGCAAAGGGATGATGGGGAAAATGATCAAGTGGAAGAAATAATTACCTTTGATGTTGATGATGATAATTATAAATTAGAGGCTGAAAGGAAGCAACAAATGCGAAAAAATGAACAAGGTGCAAATTCTCCCATTACAACCACGGAAATAAAATTAGAACACGCGCAGGACTTAATAAAAAAATGTGACCAGTGGTGTAATATCAACGGCAGGCCCGGAAAAAACAGAATGATAAAATTACAAAGTGGAAAATTAACCAAATTGGAAAATATGGGTAACTGTGAGATGAAAGAGAAAAAAGAACAAGAAAAAACCGCCGCAGACCATCATTGCAACAATAGCATTTATAAAAATATAGAACAAATACCCGTTATACATACAACAATGGAAGAATTATCAAATCCAATTTTATTTTTTGAAAAATATAATTCTATTGGACTAAAATATGGAGCAATGAAAGTAAAACCACCCAATTTTTTCGAACCACAATTTAACTCTTACTATCTGAGTATGAAATTTAATATACGGAAGCAAAAAATCAACGAACTGAAGCATGGGAAGGAATTTGATCACCCTGAGGAGTACTGGTCCTTGTATGAGATGTACAAATATAACCAAATGCTGGAGAAGATGTACCTACCAAAGGAAAAAAAGACTTTGGAAAATATCGAAAAGAAATATTGGGAAATTATTAATAAAGGAGAAGAGCAAGTCGTTTCTATATATGGCGCTGATTTGCCGGTATCCAGAAATCATCCTACCTGCCTATTTCAGAACAACCTAAAACGGCATGAGGACTCCGGGTTGAATGACAATAATGGTAGCGACATCAGCACTGCGAACGGTAGCAGATGTAGTAATATCAAGAGTGGGACCATTGAATCATCCTGCGAGTCGCGTAGCGATCATCTGAAAAGGGGAAAAGAAGGGGACAATGGTATATTACGTGAGGGTCAGTGCACGGAGGAAATGTGTGAAGACCCTGCAAACGCGAATGTGTCATCGCGTGTGCATAAACTCAATGCTCACATGAGTCTTCCGTTGGGGAGCAGCGGTTGTTTGAATGGTCACTGCTCTAAAAGCTATCGTAACAATGACCAGTGTACCATTAACAGTGCAAATGCCGACTTCAGCAATGGCAGTGCAAACGCCAACCGCACCAGTAACAAAGCAAATAAGGCAGGGATAGTGAGCCAACACGAACGGGGTACATTAGGTGTGATAAACATTTCTGATCCTGAAAATGTCAGGATGGGTGAAAACGGTATTGACAATACAGGGGATGCAATGAACAAGAGTCATGATGATACTTATTTGGGTGGAAATCGAAAAAAGGATCACACTGATCATTCAAGGGGCAGTATCAATGGGATCGGCACTGATAGAAGAGGTCCCAATTGTGCAGGGGGTATAAATGAAATCACTAGCACTGAAGAAGCAATGCACCAAAGTGCGAGTGATAAAAATGATAGGAGTAAATGCACCTCGAGTGCAGAAGTGAAAATTTGTCATACAGGAAGTGAAACAGATTTACGAGACCTAAACCCCGATAATGTTTTTATTAAACAGAGAGAAAAGTACTACTCCGAAATAAATAATGTAATTAAAAACATAAATGAAAATTTGAATATAAAATCATTGCCCTTTATAAAAGGATCGATGCTACGAAATGTAGATATATCCATCGAGGGGGTTAACATTCCATGGTTATATATCGGAACGCTCTTCTCCTCCTTCTGCTGGCACACAGAAGATAATTATTTCGCATCTATAAATTATCAGCATTGGGGAAAACCCAAAATATGGTACGTAATACCACCTCTATACAGTGACAAAGTCGAAGATGTTATTTATGAATACTTAAAAGAGAACAATAATCAAGATGATGTGCTCACGGAAAGAGCAAATAGAAAAATGAAAAAGAAGGAGCGCAGAAATTTATTTCATAATTCCGATTTAAAAAAAAAAATAAAAGAGGAGAGCTCTATTATGCACATTATCGGAAGTGAGCAAAGGCTAAAAAATTTGTGCATTTCAAAAAATGGCCCAAGTTTAAACTCTACGAATTGTGTTACGGCTAGAAGTACGAGCTGCTCCAATGCTGTAATGGCTAGCACTAGCGCGACTGCTACTAATATGCCTAGTAATAGCCACACGAATAGTTGCAGCACTAGCAGTACTACGCACACGAGCGCTAGCCGTAATACACTGGAAGATAATTTACTCCTTATAGATGTGGATATAAATAATGCACATTTGATATATAGAAAATCATATTTGAATTACAAAAGTGTGGATAGAAAACAAATTAATTTTAACAAAGAAAATAATAAAAATAAAATTTACAAATTAACCATACAAGTTCCAATTGAGGTTTTTCTAAAACATAAGATTCCAGTTTATAAAAATATTCAAAGAAAAAATGAATTTATTTTCCTATGGCCAAAAACATTTCATGGAGGTTTTAATTCAGGCTATAACTGTAATGAAGCTTGCAATATAGCCCCTACATTTTGGCTATTTTACGGCCTACAGTCATATTATAATTACAAGTATTTTAGAAACACCTGTATATCAATTCATTTCATGTTATTTTCAAATTTATTACATTATAAAGAATATACCTTTAGCCAACTTAAGCACATCATATACTCCCTGCGTTATATACTAACTGATGAGTACAAATTTTTTAGGGAAAGTAAAACGTTATTCACAGAGTTCACGCTAAATCGCGATGCCCTTTTAAATAATAAGCTTATGAATTATTCAGGCCATTTATCGCTGGATTTGAATAAAATGTACTCAAATTTCGAATGCCAAAAAAATAAACACTTTTTTTTCCAAAATATTAAGAGTAAACTGGAATTTTTTTACAAGGATTGCGATGCCTGTAATTCCCCCACCTTCAACAGTAAGATTTATGTGTACATTTATATGTACTTACATGATATATAAATGGCGCGTACAAGCGTACATGTATTTGAGCAAATTAATATGAGCGAAAGTTAAGCGCGCTTATTGCGTGAGCAGCTACATGCCAACATAATATTATGTACGCAATTATAAGAACGCGAAATATACGAATGCAATATACAAATGCAAATGCACGAACATTACATGAGTACTTTTCGTTTATACGCTCACATATACGCGCTATATAAGTATACGATTAACGGTGCTCGTGGACCGGGTGTTCAATATATACGCTGGAGTTGGGTTAAAAATGCACTGTACGAATATAATATATGCGCAAATGTATATGCACTATGTAATATATGCGCAGAAAATGGGCACAAAGCACAAATCTGCTGAAAAAAACATAAAAATGAAACGAGAACAAAAATAGAATTAGAAAAAAACGAAAACAAAAAAAAAAAAACAAATAAGAATTGAAAGAGAAAAAATAGAGATACAAAAAATGGAATAATTAAAAAAATAACGTGTATGTAGAAAAAAATACAAGTCTCAATAAAAATTAAGACATTTAAGATAATGTATAAGAAAATAAAAATTATTGCAAAAAAAAAAAAAAAAAAAAAAAAAAAAAAAAAAAAAAAAAAAACTGGTTCTATAAAAGCGCAAGTCTCATTTGATGTTGCGTGCAATATAGCACCGAGGTTGCAATGTATTAAATTAAAATAATTATAAGTATAGTTAGACTATAATATACCCCCGTTGTATTTGTGCACTCTGCCTATTTTTTATTTTTTTGCAGGTTCAATTATATGCCCCCACTCCAATGACATTCTATGTATCCATTGCTCCGAAGAACATAGTTGCAAGTGCAAATTCAAGTAAGTCTATCCACTGTTTATTATTTACGTATATAATTATGCATGCATAACGCCACTTTCAAATTATAAATATAAAGAAGGAACCGTTGAATTTATATATATTTATTATACGAGCAAATAATAAATTATATTCTATGTATGCAAAAATGTCGGGCCCAAAATACATAGTTTTATTCTATATTTTTATTTTTGGTAGGGTTGCACTAAAAAGATATACGCTCCTAGAAATGATGAAGATTTTGACGCTCCTAGTTCATTATGCCAATAAAATTGTAAGAGAATACATACCTAAAACATTAGTAAAGTCAATGTTATCCTGATCAAAAAAAAAGTGAACTTTACTTCGGTGCTTTACATTGTTTACCTTCATTTGTTTTAATATGGACAGCGCGTGCTTTAATTTGTATTCATGTTACATACATAGGTGCATCTGTATAGCACCTTTTTTCCGTTGGGTGCGTTTTTCTCATTTTTTTCATAATTAGGTGCATTTTTTGAAATTTTTTCGTCTTTTTTTTTTTTTTCGTTTTTCACAAAATTTTGCAGATTTTTGTTAATTTGGTTGTTAGCATGTTGTCATTATGTTTTCAATACATTGCTATTTCATGTTCGTTGTGTCTTAAGTATGTTAGCTTGCGTTGTAATTATGTTATCGATTCGTTATTATAATGTTCTTTTTGTGTTGTAGGCCCGTTGCAAATCTGTTGATCCTTCGTGTTATGATTGCTATATTCATTTGTTTTGATTTCACTTTTTTATGGATGTATGTTGCTACTATGTTGGCAATACTTCTTTGTGTGTTACCTGTTCTTTGCATGTTTTTCTTTGCTGATGAGTTTATTTTTGCGTAATATGAGTTTAATATTCTTGTGACGTTATTTTATCATTCATTAAATTTTAGTTAAAATTTTTTTTTGTAGGTTTTATTCCAATTTCATAGTCATTTGTTCATCTGTGCTGTTCCAGTTTCACCACAAAAATTCAGTGAAGTATGTTAATGATGTGCATATATTCTTTTTGTAGATTGTTTTTGTATATTGTTTCATGTTGTCAACGTATGCGTTTTTATTTCCGTAACCATTTTTTGATAATTTTTTGTTCTTTGTTTTGTTGTTGTTTTTTATAGACACATGTGTTTAGTTGACTTTTTTGTTTGAACCCACTGAATTTTGAAATACTACTGTGCGTGTACTTATTTTAGTGAATTACGATGATATTTTAGTTTTCAACCGTGTTGCATTCCTGGTTTTTCAATTGCAGCATTGATGTGTCTACATGTTCTTGTTACTTTTTTTTAATTTTTAATTAAATGTTTATATTAATAATATATATACATAATTGATTTTTGTTGTCATTACCTATTTGCATGATGACGACGGACAAGCAGCACCCCCTTGATGTTGTGTATTTCGTGTATGCTTGTGTGTAAATAGCTGTGCCCAGGTATATTTTTTAATTGGGCATTGCACGAGTATGTACAGACACATACATTTTGTTTTTATTTTTGTTTCCATATGTGTTCCTATCCTTGTTTTAAACATTGCTTTATTTGATTGATCCTCACTTTACATTTTTCTCGTTATAATTGTAGAAAGCGAATGATGAGAAAGAAGTGCAATTTGACGACATACCTGATTACAATTCATTGAGAATTTTTGAAGACAAAAACTCAATTAATCTATATAACCTAATTCGAGAATCCAAAAGAGCACATCTGGAAAAGAGATCCAAAACGACAAATTACAGAGACCTAGAAAATTACTGCTTCGAAAAATTAAATAACATCTACAAAGAGAAGAACAAGAAGGAAAAAGCAATAGATGAAAACAATATTGTGTTGGATGATTACTACACAAGTTCAAATCATTTTAAGACCAAATTGACCTTGAAATATTTTCTTCTAACATACGAAGAAGAGATGGAAGATAATCCTTTGAAAATTTTACCAAAACTTATAATTTAATTAATAAATGGATTTGTTTTAATTATTTTGTTTTAATTTTTTTAAAAAAATTTTATTTGTAATTTTACCATTTAGTGATGAAGAAATGTGCAATTGATGACGAAAAAAATATGCTTCAAGTTTTGGGATACACATATGTATACACATAAATACATATGTGCATATATATATATTTTTTTTTTTTTTTTGCAATAATATATTAATAGTTTACAAATTGAAGGTAGTATATATGTGCACACATATGTACCCAAAAGTTTTACTAGAAGTATATCATTTTAGAAATATGGAAGACACAAATTTATATTTCATTGATTTTTTTTAGTATAAATGTCTGCTTGATACATTATCATATTTTTTTGTTTATTAAATAATAATTGATATATTTTTGTTAATATATAGCTAGCCAGCTAGCTACCTTTTTTTTTTTTTTTTTTTTTTTTTGCATACAGCTAGACAAAATAATATATTATAATATTATAAATTATTTTATTTCTATGTATTATTTGTAATTAATTTAAGACATTTTAATTAATGCATTTTTATGTTATGTTTTTATATGTATTGTTTTAATTGAGGTATTTTTTGTAACATTGAAATATATAAGCATAAATTTGTGTATGCTGCTTATATGTTTTTATGCCTTATACACGCGAGAAATTTTCCCATTATTTTTTTTTACATATAGCTAACGCACATTCGTAAAAAAATATGTAGCTTTCAACTTAAAATAGGTAAATAATAATACCTATGTACTTTTATTTGTCATGCAAGAATATTAAAGCCCATGTGGTATAAAAAGAAACATTGGTATATATATATCGTTATATATACGAAACTTTAACATGCTTTTTTTATGTAATTGTTAATAAAATAATATTTTACTGTTAGGAAAATCTTGAATAATTATAAGCTTTTTTTTTTCTTATTTTGTTCTGTGGAAAATACTTTTTGAAGTATTCGGTGCTTTAAGCGTTATGCAGTAGTAAAAAGTGTAATAGAAAAAAAAAACAAAGGAACATAAAAACCACATATAATTTCAATGATTTTTTAATGTATACAAAAACGTCGCAGAATATATGATATGAGTCATACATCATTTTGTGTAACAGCGCGTTATAATTTTTCATATAAATAAAAAGCAATTTATAACATCATGCCGGGTTTATTTATGTGCTTTTTTTGTTGCATAGAAATTTCCTAAAATTTAGGGTTCTAATGTAATAAAATAAATAAATAAAAATTTGGCATAAAACAAAAGTGAATAGAACTATATATCTATTCAACAGACTAATTTTCAAATGTAGCAGTGAATTCCCGAATTTTTTATATTTAATTTTGCTCCAGGGCAGTGTGTATTAACGCTATCAGTTATGAACCCCGAGCATAAGCATGTGCATGCAGTGCATATTCGTATTTGCTCACTTTTGCAATCATATTGAAGAATCAATATGTTTTTGTGCTATCTGCGCCGCAAACTATGTTGCAAAACAAGTTGCTAAATGTGCTACCAATTTTTGCCCAGTCTCGGTTCCCCTTAGGGCACCGATATGTAGGTCGCTCACACAGGGGTTCAGTGTGAATAGCATTCATACGCAGTAAAACGAGGAGCAACACATGTTGGAAAAGATGAAAATTAAACAAAATGAATCAGGAGAAAAAAGCAGAAGCTAATACCTCCTTAAATAAAAAAAATCCAGAAGTAGAATTCTTTACACCAAAGTCAAATTTAGCCCATGAGTGTGTTAGCAGAAATGTAGCATTCGACAATTTATACAAATATGTCAAAACAACTGTTACAGAAGATCAGCTGAAAAAGCGAAAGGGTCACTCGAAAAGTTCTGTTCCTGTTGTAAAAAGGAAAAATGTACCCTCTAAGGAAATGCACAAAGAGTGCTCCATTTTGAAATATATAACCGGATTTAATAATTCGAAAAATATTCTCTTTAAAAGCAGCAATACCGATGGTGAGAAAAGGAAGGGAGACATCCCACCAAAAGACGGCACAATTAAAAAAATAAAGGAAAGGATATCATGTGTAAAAAAAAATAAAAGTGTCAAAAAACGAATTTTTTCCGAAAGTTCAACAAGCATATTGAGCTACTTTAAAAATGTCGATATAAATAACAATGAAAAAGGGGAACCTCCCACCCATTGTGGTACAGATAAAAATTCACAAAATAGTTTAGGTGATAAAACGTTAAGAGATACTAATAGCAAATTCTATGCACATGCAAATGGTGAGAAGAATGCTGATGTGCATAAAGATCTATATTACGGCGAAGATAATGTACACTCAGAAGAATTCGGGAACCGAAAAAGGGTTAGGAGTGTAAATTACGAAAACACAATGTCATGTCAAGGAAATGTCCAATATGAATATGTTCAAAAGAATGCCAAATTCAATTGTAACTACGAAGAATATTTACAAACCGCTTATCTATATTGTAAGAAATATTTCCTGTATCGTAAAATGGAATTCTTCAGCAAGTATTTGTTTTACCGTCATAAGAACATAAAAAATTTTATTTTCCTAATTGAAGCTTTATTTTTGCGAAAAAAATATATAGATTTGTTGGATATGGTGCAGCGTTACAAGCGGTTGTGGATATTTTCTTACAAAGGCCTACGGACAAAGCGGGCACAGGAAAAAAGTAACAATGTGCTGAATAAAATTGAAAGTGGGGATATATCAACGAAGGGAAATAATTCTAAATGTGGAAAAAATTTGAATAAATTGATTTCTCATAAATACAGAAAGAGTGCATTTCTTAAGGGGTCTGTGCAGAATGGCTCAACACCCCTTGCACAGGGAATCAACGACGTGGAGCACAGTAACGTTTGCAATATTGAGCACAACCAAGTACACAAATTTAAAAAAAGAAAAAAAAAAGAAAACACGCATGCACACAAAAAGTGTAACACTGAATTGCTTTCTAAACATAAATATAGTAATGAAATATATAATTCCACTGAAGGCATCACAAGGGCGGGGAGGAAAACATGCAATAAAATATACTGCATATGCTATGTCGCCTTTGTAAAAATTATGTCCCTCATCAAATTGCACAATCAGAACTGCTTAAATAAATGCGTGAATTTTATACAAAAAATAAGTAAAAAATGTTTGCTAAATAAGAATGGTCATTATTTAACCCATGCAGTTATTCACTTGTACGAATTAGCAGGTTTGTATAATTATGCACTAAAATATTCAATGTTGCTATTCTTGAAGTGTCCTGTGTATCCCGAAATAATTCTCAAGCTCTTTAGTTTTTCAATACTAAGTTTAAAAGATGAAATTTATTTAATTTTACTAGCCAAGTATTGTAAGAGTATTTCCTGGATCAAATATTTCCTCCTCTTCATTGTGTACTCCGTGAATTACCAGTTTCGTAATAAAGAAACCGTTAGCAAGTTTCTCTTCCTCCTTGATGGTGTAACAAAGAGGGGAAAAAACATTGCCAAAACGGGGAAAACGAACAATGTGCCCAGAAACAGTGACCACAACGAAATGGGGGGGAAAATGAAAAACAACAAGTGGATTCAAAGTAGAAAAGTCTCTACGGAGCGGATTTGCAAACTTACCTGTGACAGCGAAAGGAACGATGTGGGTGAAATTACCCAAGGGAGTGAATACGGGAAGGGGGGGGAAAGAAAACATGTTAACATTGAAAAATATTTAAAAAAACACTCCAGTAAAAAGAACATGTACAAACATGACCCGAACAGTAATGTGCACATTTGCAGAAAAATAACATTGTACAACTCTTTATATAGCAAAGTAACATTGTACGATGTGTATGTGTATATTGCGCAAAATAAATTTTCAGAGTATTTTCCAAAAATTTTCCTATATTCCAAATTGCACATAATAATAAATATCAAAAGAAGTTTTTATGAACAAAATTTTCCCATCTGTTATAGTTTATGTAAACTGTTACTGATGGATCATATGTATGACTCATCAGTAGTAGCATTTTTTGTTAATTCTGCTTATTTATTAAATAAAGTTAGCCCTATAAAACGATTGGCTCAAGAATTAAAAACAAACAATCAAAGAATTTATTTTCTTTTTTGTAATGCAGCCTTGTTGTTACATTTTAAGCAAGTCGAACGATCTATTCAAATATATAAATATATTGTGGATTCCTATCAGAACATTTTTTCTGATCTCTATTTTTATTCCTTGTTTAATTTAATATATGCTCTACAATTAACACAAAAAGCGCATCAAATTGTTATTTTTTGTAAAAATTTAAATAAGTTATTTTTTAATAATATACATTCTTATATATTACTATCATACTACTATTTTGTAAATGATATCCCCACCAAGTGTTACGCCTCCCTTAGCAGGGCTTATCACATATATCGATATCACCCTGATACCTTTTACCTCCTTTCTTTACTCGCGCTACAAGCTAAGAGGTAAGGAAGTGAGCGTATAATAAGCTTGCGGCCTTTGAGATCATGTGTTCTTCCCCAATTTACATACACAAATATGTATACACTTATGTGCTGAGTGCGAATTTCTCATGGAGGGGTAGACACAGAGTAGCATCGCAATTAAGGGGAGAATACCCTATAGTGTAAATTTTGCTTTCTGGGCAGTGTGCCATAGCTAACATATATGTGGTGTGTAATGATGGGGATATTATATGTATGGGGAAAAATGCCAATCTGGCTTTGACGCCCGGTTTGTCTTGCACTCCCGCTATAAAATATAGCAACAGAGCAAAGCAGAAGTGGTCAACACAGGAGTTTTCACTCAGGCGCATTCGTATGAATGCATGTGTCTATGTCGTTGCGTGAATATGCTTATGTATGCACAGTTAATCGTAAACATGGGTACTGTCCATTTTGCTCATGCGTATCCGTTTTTGCCCACCGGCGACACTGCATAACAAACATACCACTGCCCCTTAGGTACGAAGAATATGGCGCCTTTAGCGAACTTGCTCTTTTTTTCAGTTTAAGGAACCGAAATCTCAGGAACTATGTTTTTTCCAGCATTTATGGAAAGCAACATAAGCACGTTCCCTCTTATTTGTTATGCTACCATTTGGAGATAATTGATCCCGACAGAAGCACAACTGCGGACATACTCAATTTAAGCTCCCTCTTAAATTACGTGTACTTTGAGGGGTTACTAAAATCTTACATTATACTTCACTTTTGTTCGGCGAAAAGGTATGCAAAATGAGCGCTGGAGTAAGTTTTTGTAAATTTTTTTTCCGAGCTCCCTTCGTTGGAATGAGGCTGCACACGTATGTATGGGAATGCATACTCGCATGAGTTTTTGTATGTATACATTCCGAAAGATCGCATGTAATCGAGTTGATATTTATTACAAGGAAACTACATCGATGTTACAACCAAAAAAAATTGGGAAAAAAAAAAACACTTTATTTTTTTAGGTCCCATATAAACTATCTCATGTTGAGTAAAAATCTGGGCATCATGGCTACACAGTTTTTCCCCAACAATTTAAGCCTATTACACAGTAAGGGGAAAAAGGCCAATAGTGCAAAATGAAAAAGGGTAAAACCGATCGCTTTGCAATAGCGATCCTATGTACATCACCATTTTTATTGCTCACTTTCTATTTTCAGTTTTGAAATATATCGATCATGCTACACGAAGGGAGAATAAGAAAAAGAAGGAAAAAAAAAAACAAAGGCTCCAATTTTGCATTAATGACGCTTCCTTAGGAGAAAGGCACAGGAAGAACTTGCCCCACTACGTAATTTTAAAATGAAGTTCATACATATACTCACGTACATGTGCGTACCCAGCTGCCTGTGTACACTGTCACCGTTTGCCTAGCGAGCTATGATGCACTTTTGGAGAGTGCTAGCTCCCTACCCAAGGCCCTCGCAGGATACGCAGCTGTAGCTTTTTTCATCCCATCCCTGAGATTTCACTTTGCCCCGACTTATAAAATGTACGTGTGTACGCACATGTGCATATGTATATATATGTGTGTTCACGTATTTGTGTCTGTGTATATGCTCTTATATATGTATACGCGTATGTGCATGCATACGGACGTACGGGCAGGGCTCTAGGATTATTTGCACTTTTTGGTAATTTTTTGTTTTCGCGACTTGTCGATTTACGCGCATAACGCGCATGTATCCATTTGTTTATGAGCACACGCCAGCGCTCTTGTCCGCAACGAAGTGCAATTAACTCTCTTACACCGCTACTTGTGCACATGCACCGGTGCACTTGCCTCTTGTAAAAGGTACATCAGCTATTGCTAGACATGAAATGCGATTCTCGCATAAGATGGAAGTAGCCAATGCATGTGCTGCTAGCACGAGAAACAGAGCACAATACAAATATGAAAAAATAGGAAAAATAAGAAAAAAAATAAAATACACCGCTATGGCTGACCATCTCAGGGATCATTGATATAATCGCTGCTAAAAGAAACGATTCCACATAAAGGAAGTTCAGTGTATTTTTTTCTTTATCAGTGTTTTTTTTTTTTTTTTTTTGCCCAATGACATGGCACAGAACTTTTACACCAGCACTAAATATTTCTATAAGCATAAATGTGTGGGAATAAAAAATAGTTGAGTTCTACACAGTTCTTATGACACAAAAAGGGGTGACTGCAATGTAAGGGATATTCTACCCTTTTGAATAGACTTTAAAAAGGATTTTTTTTTTTTTTTTCAGCATTTCCAAGTCATGTGTTCACAGTTTGACAACACCGAAATTATGTTCACAGGTGCATTTGTGTATGTAAAGCAGTACGCAGAAAAGTGCGCATCCCACTTCATGCACGCGGTGTGTAAATAAAGGCTGATTTGGTCTTACATGCATTCTGTATCACTATACATTGTGTTCGTTGCACTTACGAAGCTTTCTTCCACCTCCCTACTGTGGTTCTTCCCAAAATGAATATCATTGAATCGAATAGGGAGAAGGAGAGGATAAGCCTACACAGCCATATTAGTGGCTTGGGGCTAGATGCGGACGGGTTCGTGCAAGACTTGAACTTTGAGCAGAAAATAAGGAAGAGCGGCAAAATGGGCATCAATGGGTTGATGAATGGGCACACGAATGGGCAAACGAATGTGGTGCTAAATAAACACGCAAACGCTGATGAAGCATTATGTAACGAATTCACCCGTAGCGGAATGGAGGAAGAGCAGGGAATGAAGGAAAATAGTGAACTTAATGGGCACTGCACGCATCTCGAGGAAGAAAGCGACGATGAAGTATATCGAAACTTTTATAACTGCAAAGGAATGATTGGACAAAAGAAAGCGAGAGAAGCCGCAGGAATATTTATCAATCTAATTAAGGAAAAAAACATATGCAAATGTTTGCTCTTAGCAGGTCCCAGTGGAAGCGGAAAAACAGCTATAGCAATAGCTATAAGCAAAGAAATAAGCGAAGATTCTATCCCTTTTTGCATCTTCAATGCATCTCAGGTGTATTCTTGTGAAGTAAAAAAAACAGAAATATTAACTCAATATATAAGGAAAAGTATCGGTGTAAAAATAAAAGAAATTAAAGAAGTGTTTGAGGGTGAAGTCATCAAGATAGAACCATTTTACGATGATACATACGAAGAAAAAAAAATTTCCTATGTGCATATTACCTTGAAGACTTTGAAGGAACAAAAAAAAATAAAAATACATTCATCTATTTATGAAAATATCGTCAAAGAGAAAATTCAAGAAAAAGATATTATATACATTGAATCGCACAGCGGGTTAGTCAAGCGGGTCGGGAAATGCAGTTTATATCAGGATATGTTTGACATCGAGACCGACACGTTTGTTGACTTGCCTAAAGGAAACGTGCATAAGAAAAAAAATATCATTCAAAATGTTACACTCTACGATTTAGATATATCTAATGTGCAACCAAAGGATAATATTCTCAATTTTTTACAAAACTCTAAATCCAAAAAAACAGAAATTACAGATAAACTAAGGAATGAAATTAACAAAATTGTTTATAAATATGTCGACCAGGGGATAGCTCAAATTATACCGGGAGTCCTGTTCATTGACGAGGTGCCAATTTTTTCACTCAAAAAAAGTGAAGTGCAATAAAATGAAGTGCAACAAAATAACGCAAAACAAACTAAAAAAAAAAAACCTAATGCATGCTGCGAAAAAGATACACACTGTGTCCCCTTAGAATCAATTTGCACCTTTTTCCTTTTGTGAAATACGCTGCTCCAAAAAAAAAAAAAAAAAAGGCAGTCCCCTCATCCATAGACCAATCCCAGTTGCATTCCCCATTCGTTCGTTTTCAATTTCGCAGGTGCATATGCTAGACATTGAGTGCTTCACTTACTTGAACCGCACCTTGGAATCCAACTTAGCGCCCATAGTCATTTTGGCCACAAATCGGGGAATATGCAACATAAAAGGTGTCCTCTCTATTTCTTCAGCGGCTAACCAAATGCATGCATGAATACAAGCACATGCATGCGTGCATGTTCGTTCTCATTCACTTACACATACACACCCGCGTAATCACACTCACGTACAAATACACTCCCCACTCAGGTACAAACATCATATCCGCCCATGGAATCCCCGTTGACTTGCTGGACCGAATCATAATTGTTAAGACCATGTTGTACAATAAGGAGGAAATACTGCAGGTATGCACCGGTGCAAGGGGGCTTGGCGTGTAAACGCACATACATATAATGCACTGCGTATTTGTATGCATGGAGCTGTGCCGAGAAACCTCCAGCCTAGGCACTCTGCTGCCTTTCACAAAATTGCTTTTCTCATTTTTGCATTTCCACTATTCGCATATTTTTTTCTCTTGCCTCCCCACCTCTAAGGTTCTAAAACTGAGGAGCAAATTTGAGAAAATAAAAATCGAAAACGAAGCCTTAAATTACTTGGCCGACATAGGTAAATGGAACAAATTAGGAGAAAGTGCAGTTGTGAGTGTGTGGTGGTGGGACACGCGCGTTTTGCTGTTTTCTTTTCGCCGCGTTGAGTCTGCTATGTTAACCCTGCCGTGTTCAGTTTTCTGCGCATCTGTTTATTTTTTTTTTTTAAATTTCCGCCCCATTATTACCCCCTTTGCAGGCATTCAATGTTCCCTAAGATACGCTATTCAACTTTTAACCCCAGCGAAAATATTATCCAAAAGAAAAGGGAAAAAACGGATAAATAAAAGCATCATAGAAATCGTGTCCTCCATTTTTTTTGACACAAAAAGATCTACGCAGCTTCTCTTGGACGACAGAAATAAATATTTGTATTAGTTTGCTACGTGAATGTAAATAAGCACCAATTGTCTTTACGTCTTACGTTAAAAAAATGAGACCAAAAAAAAATATGTTAGGCAATTTCTTTTGCGGCAGCACGGGGCTTAACTAGAACGGCGATGTGTGCACGTGAGTTCGTATGCTTACGTGACCTTTTACATTAACAAGTGTTGTCATAAATGTTCATTTACATGTTTGTTTCTCTTCCGCAGTTTACCCCATGCAACCACGCACATTCCTTGTTTTGATAAATTTATCTTATAACTAGGAATGAAAAAAAAAAAAAAAATCCAATTAAGGAATTCTTTTTACATGTTAATTTTGTTTCATTTTGTTCAATAATTAAACGTGCCAAATTGAAGCGGAAAATTTGCGTGAACTTTCACCTGTTGTACACGTATAAATTAAAAACAGACGCGAGAAATTATCCAAGCTTTCCCCCGGGCTTTTTATATTTCCGGCGGCATTTTGTTAAAGTGGCAATTTTGTTTTGCTGCATTTATTTATGTGTCTTATTTTTTATTTTTATTTTTTTCCCACTTAAATGAATTTTTCACTTCAAATTGTTTTGTCCTTTTCCCAACCATATATGCCTTTGTGACGAAATGACATTCCTATAGCCCTTTTACCGCTTAAAAAAAATATATATATATCCTTAAATTATCATGTACAAATAATTTTCTCGCTAAGAGGATTACGCAATTAACGCTGTTAAAATATTCGCAAAGGGCTTAAATGGCTAACTGTTGTATATTACCAGCATGAACGTGAAAAACATATTTTCATCGCAAGTATGTTGCACATAAGGGGTGATTCCCCACGAAGATCCTTTAGATCAAACAATTCGCACTCTCCCGGAGTCACAATTGAGAAATGCATTGCTTAACTCTCAAAATGTGTTAAAAATATTGTTTAAAAAAAAAAAAGAAAAAATTCATTTGTATGGCCATGATTTGACCGCGTATTTTTACATTTAAATGTGTGTTCTCGTCTGTTTTTCTCCCGCATTCCGTACCCTTTTATCTGCCCCTTTGGTTCTTTTCCTTTGTTAAGTTTTCCAGCAAGCCGAGAACCTTTTGGCTCTATTAATTATCTTTGAGCACAAGTTCAGGTCGCGCACCACCATCAGGAAGGAAATAATTGAATTCACATTTCTGCGTTGCGTCGGTCGAATGGTTCGAAGTGTATCATAAAGGCAAATCTCGAAATCATCAGCGGGAAATAAAAATGAGCACACGCAGATATAGCAATTGTTTTAAAGCTCCCCATACTTTGCATAAATAGGTACAAGCATGTGCATATGCATACATGTGTACGCGGAATGCAGTTAGCTACAATTTTGAAGGCATCACACATATGCGGGCACTTCACATGTTAGTTCATCCCATTTTTTTTTTCTTCTTCTTTTTTGCAAGATGTCATGTGCGAAAGGGTGAAAATCGTTTTTATGAGAACATCGCGAAAAACAAGATCACTAATTAATTTATGACACGGTAGAGGCAAAGTCATTTTTTTTTTTTTTTTTTTTTTTAGCTACAATGTGAGCAGATTCCTCTCCTGCGCTAGTACCCTTTGCGCTTTTTTTAAGTGTGATGCATTGTTAGCTTATTTTATTTCAAGCTTATTCTGTTTTTCCCTCCTTTTCCATTTCGTCGTTTTGTCCCTTATGTTTCGCTAAAGTTCGAAATAAGACAAAAGGAAGGGTGGGAAAAAATAAGAACAAGGGAGAGGAGAGAGTAACAAACGAATTAAAATATGGGTTAGTGGAGTAGAGAAGTGGAACATATTTAGAGAAGTCTCTATAGCTGTTTAGTATTATAGGGTTATAATTTTCTGTAGTACTAAAAAAAAGACCATGTGACTCCGTTTTTTCTTTATGGAGCCATTTTGTGGAGAACTTTTTTGAAGTTCTTTTTTAATGGATGAGATGCGGAAAAAATGGTCGCCAGGAAAATAGTACTTGAAATAGACAAATGCAACAGGGGCACGAAGCAGCAAAGCCAAGTAAGCTGATCAAGCTGCTAACACTTCTAAAACTTCTAACACTGTTTTAAATACGGTTAATACTTCTAATACACTGCTTGCCTGTTGAGCGGGCGGACGAAAGAATCAAGCGGCCAAGCAACGTAGAGTGCTGCGGTATAATAAGCAGCTAGTGCAGGCAAGGACAAAAATGATAAGGAAAGAGTCCAATATATACGACAAGCTGGACCTGATAGTGTGCGATGTGTTGAGAAACATAGATGCAGAGGCTAAAGGGATAAGTGGAGAGGCACATGATAAGGGGAGTCCAAATTATGCCGATGAAAAAAACACAAACGAACGGGTGTATAAGAAATTCTTCGAACTTTTTAACAGGGAGAGTTACATAGAAAAGTTAACACATGACGAATTAGTAGCAACATATAGAGAAAAAAATGCACACAAGTACCTTTTTTACATGTTCGAGTGTTTGCTTAATAAAATCACCCAAACGAGGAATGTAAGACACCTAGATTTTTTATTTCTCATACTGAGATACATTACCTATTTGTGGTTTTTGCTGTCCAATGATGATAAATTAGTTTTAATATTCTACTACTATTTCAAGTTCGTGGATTTGTTATTTAATTTAAAATTTGTGCGATGTTCCTTTTTTATGAATATTTACAATTTGCTGATTTATTATTATATGAAAGATAAAAGGGGGAAAAAAAAAATTGTCTTTCCGGTGACAAAATTAACCGAAAAGGAAGCAGGCTTCCACATAAAAAATGTTATATCGGAATTGAACAACATAATTGCAAATGAAAATGCTCATTTTATTGAGACTGTTGGAAAGGAAAACAATTTTGTAAATATCCAAAATGATACCGTGTCATGTGGAAAGACAGAAAGGAATGATTTGTCATCAAATGCAGAAGAAGAATCATGTACTAGCTCGGCTATGCAAAATGTGTATGATTACCTGTGGGTCGGCTATCATCAAGGGGAAAACGAACCTCAGGAAAAGAAGTATAAAGATAAAAATACCGAAAAAATTAAGTCAGATGGTACTGAGGAAGAAAAGTCATTTGTCCTCATAACAAAATGTCAAAATTGGAATAATGAGAATTCTATTTTTCCAATATTTAGTATTTTCTCAGTTAGTAGCTCATATAATCTCTTTTTAAACTTTACGAAGCATATGTTCAAAATTAGCGTCTATGATTTTAGTACATTTTTCCCCTTCTTAAGTATGCTAAACGTGGAATTTCTACTTTCTCATTTTCACCTTTTTGAAATATTACACTATGTCCAACTGGAGGAGGTGAACTCAAACATAAGTGACTCCAAAAAGGAAACAAAATTTGTGTCAATTGGTTTGAGTCAATCTACACCTTACAAATCAAATGAACATGTTACCACAGAGGGGAAGAAAACCACCGTAAACAACGAAGGGATTTTTTCAAATAATAATAAGAATAACAAAAAATTTTTGTGGAATATCCTTTTTGAAGAGCTCAAAAAGGTATACATGGTAGACACGAAAAATGTAAATTATACATTAAAACTGTTAAAGTACTCATTTAGCTTTTTCCTGTTTGAAGAAAAATTTGTACTAAAAAGTAAGGAATGGGGACCTCGCGTGACAAATAAAAAGGAACACACCTTCGCGCTTATTTCGCAAATATATTTAAAAGAGTTACTAAAATTTAGCCTCTCCTTTGTGAAGAATTTAATGAGCTCAAGGATGCTAAATGAGGAAGTCGTGTTTAAGGCCATTTCGTACGTGTTTTATTTGCTTTCGAAATTGATATGCAATACAAGTAATAACTTAAGAAAATACATTCTACTCAATAATGATAATAATCTTACCCTCGTTGCGTTAATTACGTATATTTATAAATACTTCAAAAAAGTTTACCTGGAGAAGAACGCAACGGTTGATGTGCACAAGGGGAACGGTGGCACGGTTGGAAGTGGTCAAGGAAAAAATAAATTGAAATACACATTTGTGACACTAGAAAAAGTGTACCAGAAAATTCAAGAATGCTTGTACATCGTCCTAACCGTTGATGAATTTGTTGAAGGGAATGTCAAAAAAAAGTTAGCACAATGTAGTAATGGAGCGATGCCCCATTTTGACGGCCACCACGGCCCCAGACAGAATGCTCTAGATAGCTGCGACCTCTACAGTTGTATTATTATCAAGATCAACAAAATGAACATGTTCTATTCCAATTTGGACATTATTAAAATGCTATCACAGAATGACAAGAACGTTTTCAGAAAATATATATACACCATTAACAAGAACAATGAAAATTTTGGCTCTTTTTTTTCGTGTTTACTAAATATTGATTATAAGGAAAATCAGCATGATTTGGTTTTAAAAAAGTACATGTCCAATTTGAAGGAAAAAAAAAATTATAAAAATAAAAAGTTAATCAAGCTAATGAAGCCTTATCATTCCCCTCTGAAGTACATCATTTTGAAAAATGAAATTGACCAAGATGGGGCAAAAAAGGGTGCTGCAAGGAAAAGCACTCTGGCAGTCAATTTCTCTCACAGAGAATACGATATTGATACTGTCGAGGGACATAAGCGGAAGGTTGTTGACTTGCGAGCCAAAAGGAAAAGCATGTACGAGTTTGGGAGAGGTGAAAAAGGGTGTGACAGTTGTTCCAGTCTTCTCGAACGTGACGACGGTATGGATGGCGACTCAGCAGATGGTGACACAGTTGATGATATAACAACGGATGAAACCTCATCCGATGATAACCTCACCCATGAAGACTCAGACAATGGCGAGGAGACCGAACCCAGTAACAATTCCGTAAGCGCCATAACCAGCTGCCGTAAAGACTACTTTTCAGATGGACTGAAGCGCGCGAAAACTTCCAGCTCCCAGGCAAAGGTGAGAAAAAAGGACATGCCCGTATTTGAAAATTCGATCCTTCGAATCAGGAAGAAGCAGCTAGACGGAACCAACATAGATTTTAAAAATGTGTGCCATAGTATCACTCTGACCATTAAAAGGTGCATACTAATCTCAGAGAGTATGATTACGTACTTCAAAACTCATCAAGGGTTTGAAGCTAACTTTAACATTTTCGTGTGCAAAAATATATTTATTAATTTTTTAAGAGTTTGCCTCCTAAGCGCCAGTCTCTTTTCGTACCTCTGCGTTAAGCTTAACTATGACGACATGCTCAAGCAGATGTACGACTCGAATTTGATCATAATGTCTTACAACATTTTTGACAAATATATCAGTTTTGTGCTGGACCAAGACGTCAAACGGTTGCGCAAGTGTAAAAATGTGTTGCAGGTGTCTAGCAGGCGTTTGAATAGAGGTGAAGGAGGAGCTAGACGCTCCGCTGTGGACACCTCTTCGGTGAATGCGCCAAGCGCGGCGAAGGCAACCTTTTCCACGGTTACAGCCTCTACCAATGCTTATCCCTCGGCGTACGCACAGATGCACCGGCATGACATATACGACGTGCTGGGTGCACCGGGGAACCAAGGCGGGATCTCCTTCTTCCTGTCGGATCAACATGAGTTCATTGAAACGCTTTACCTCAACACGTTCATGATTGTGATAAATATCATTTCGGTGTGGGAAATGTACCTAGAAATTCCTGTACAAGTTCTGAACAAAATGAAGTACACCTTTTTCGAGCTATTTTACAACACCACAATTAAAATCATAAAGTTTATAAAAAAGGATAAAGGGTTTTTCTTCCTACTGAACATTTTAAAGTTCATTTATCTCAAATTTGTCAGCCTTCCTTTTAATCCAATAAATATACACACCACCATAAAGCTGCACGACTTTTACGAGTTTCTCATTAATGATGGTGACGAAGATGTTAAGAATGAGGAGGAGCAAAATTTTAATAGTGAAAATATGTACCTAAATTCCATTAGCCCTCTGAAATTTTTAAATAACCCAGAGAAGGACGCACAGAGAAAGAACCTTAGCAGTGCACAAAAATTATGCCAAAGCTCTGATGACCATATGCTTCCAAACGAGCATGATTACAATGTGCTTAGTGTAAATAAAAAGAAGAGGGTAAGCATGGGCGGATTAGTTCCCGTGTTTTTAAATAACAACACAAGCAAGAAGAGAAAGACGAACATGAACCCGTACACCTCATATGACACCTTTGAAAATAACGATAACGGTTCCTATTGCGCGGTGAAGAACAACGCGTCCAAGAGTCACGCACAAATGGGTGTTAACACAAGTACGAGTGTAAAGTACGATCTGCGCGAAGGAGAATACGAATGTGAAAATGTTAATGTGAATGAGAATGTCACACCGAAACCTAATTATGACTATGCACAACCAGAGGAACGGACAGAAAGCGACATTTTTAGAAACACCTACCTGAGCAACTATTACATCCCACACATCGATCTGCTATTCATCATTGTCGATTTGGAAGTCTTTTATTACTTCGAAAAGAAGGAGTATAAGAAAATAATAGTTTGCGTGGAGAACACCTTCAAAAGCATTATCAGCAAGTGTGACTATAACACTAAGGAGTATTTACGATCGTCCATTTCGTACATTTACAATTCATACCAACAAGTGCATCTCCGTGACAGCAAAATTAACATCCAAAGTTGCATTGTCATTAGACACATATTTAACCTGTACACCAAATCTAAGGTGTTCTATTTGAGCAAAAAAATTAAAAAAAAATTATCACACTATAAGGATAGCTACACCAATGATGGGGTGCTAAAAATGGGTTATAACAAAATTTATAACAGCCTTTTTAGAAGCGAAAAATGGAAGAACTTTTTTTACATGCTCTACGAAAAGGACAATCTAGGACGAAATAAAAGAGTGAAAATTATTAACAATCTGCTGATCGTACATATAAACATTTTGCTTTTCTTGATATTTTATGAATACCTATCCAAGTATGTGACTAAGAAGTTTATATTTTTCTTCCAATTCTTCCTATTTATGTTTAACAAATTGTGTGTTGCCATTCTAAGTTTGGTGAATTCATCAAACCACCTGGAAATTTTTAACCTTTTCGATTGGCGAAATATTACCCGAGAAAACCACGCACAGGAAGAAAAAATGGCTAACAAGGTAAGGAATGCCATTCGTCTCGTTCAAAACTGCTGCGTATACCCACAGGATGAGGAAATGTCTCCCTACAAAATTTACAGCAAGGGGGAAAGACACACCAAAAGCAAAAGTAAACCAATTGTCATGATCGACATTGATGAATTGCTAGTCACCTACATCCAGCTAAATTTCATATTTTGCAGATCGTGTTGCTTTTTTATTTTTTTCAAAAATGTTTGCTCGCAAAAGTATGATATAATTTTAAGGGAGAACTTTACTAGTAACTATTTTGAGCGGTTTAAGAATAATCGAGATTTGTTCGACCCTATTGATGCTGTAAAGGAGGAGAAGACGGGTCGAAGTGAAGATGAGTGGGGGGAAAGTCACACCGCAGAAGAATTAGCCCCCTATGAGGAACCAACCCTAAGTGACTCCTTTGATGAAGACTCGGATGACAACTACAGAAGCGATTCGAGCAGCTCAAGTCTTTCCCAATCAAGCTTTACCCTCATAGAGTACACAGACTATTCCAAAAATGTAGATTATATATTCCTAGAATTTATTTTAGAAAAAATAGAAGAAATGGACATCGTTCATTACTACAGGAATGTACTTAACAATTGTTACTACGTGATCAAAATAGAAACACTTTATAATTATATATACAACAATGAGCAAATGTTAAGCAGATTTGCTTGCCTAAATATTGTGTATTATCTGTACAAGCTGTACTACCACATGTTTGTCTGGTCTTGCAATAAAAGCCATTCCATGGGCAAGAGGAACGTCGCTGCTGAGGAAATCAGTGGAGATGATAATTTATCGAGCCTGTACAATGATATCTTTTACATCTTCGATGTGAATCGCATTTTAGGGGAAACCTTCTGCAGCAAGCATGTACAGCTGGTTGATCAGATCGGGGCCCCCGATTTCACCCCAAGTGGAACACCTGATAAAATTGGTAGAATTCCCCCCTATGGCTGCGCAAATGATTATTGCCGAACTCACCCGAGAAGCATCGAAGAAGCGCCCTACTTCGTGTGCGACATTTACAACTTCAAAGTGAAATTGTTCCACCCGCTACATTTTGAAAAAAGAGACTTGACCAAAGGAAAAAAAAAAAAAACATTTGATAACTTTCTAATGTTTAACAAAAATTATTTACTGGATTTAAAGCACAAACAGGCCAAAGTCAACAAGTATATAAATAACTACATGGTGTATTTTTACCATATAGTTCTTCGCTTTTATTACAATGAACATGACATAGACAAGGAGAAATTATCCTTTCACTACATTGTGTACTCATTTCAAAGTGCATTTGGCACGATTAACAATAAAATATGCAGCAGTCTTCATGACACGGTGTGCTTTTCTTCTGTCCAGGGAGTTGGTAAAAATAAGGGGACTCCTTCATATGACCCACCTTTCAATATCTTTGAAAAATGTGACTTCGAAAAAAACATACTTCTCATTTTAGACGTTTTAAATAATATATATGATGTATACCATGGTGACATATTTGAAAATCCCAATTGGGCAGACTCCATTGTAACACAAATTGACACAAAGCTTATTGGCTATCTGAGCGAAATATACAAAATTGCCTATCTGTACAAACTGTATCATTGCTGCATGTGGATTTTGGTACTCTGCCTTATGTTTACTTCCAGGTTTTGGCTAATTTATGTTTTTAATGAGAAGTACGCATGTGGGCAGCAGGGCGGTAATTGTGATGTCCTTATTGGGCATGACGAATATTGTCAACCTGGTACTAGAAGGAAACGAAACGTTGGGAGTAAGCCAAGCGAGTGGAGCGTAGACAAAGAGACACTGCTTCGAGGTGGTACAAGCCATGGACGTGGTACGGGTAGGAGGGGAAAATTTAAAGAGCATGCTTATGAATCAAATGAAGAAATGGGAGGAAGCATCAAACGAAGGAGAGAATATATACTAACCGAAATTTATAACAAAATAGTGTCTAAGAGCAAGGAAGATAATGTGAAAGAGACATACAATGATTTGCACAACTATATGCAGATGCTAATCGTTTGTACTTCGATATTTTATCTCTTATTTTTATGTATAGAAAAGATACAGGAAAATTTGCACAATATTTATTTTCTTAACTGCGCTAATAGTATGTATAATTGCTATGTCCATTTTTATGAATACGTTGAGAAATTTTGCAAGGAGCACTGCGAGGATAAGCTCTACGCGTCCTCCTTGTTCTTCGACACTTTTCACTTGGACCTGATAAACTTGAAACTCCAGGCTCACGTAAAAGCGGGGAGGTACAAGGCCGAAATGAGAAAAAGAAAGAAAGCATTAGGCAAGTCCACAGAAAGGGTGGAAGTAGAGCCCCAAAGTTGGGTCACTACTATGCCACGCAGAGAGCATAGCGATGAAAGTAGCAGAAGCACCTGGGATAACGCGGAGGTAGATCTGTTCTCCAAATTTCCATATCTGCTTTACTATAGCGAACGTGCGGCCACGGAATGCATATCCGACTTAAGAAGGACGGAGAAAAAATACCAAAGCGATGCTAAAAACTTTTTCAAAAATAACATTTGCCTATATTTTAATATGATAAGATATTTCTACAAAAAGAGGAGCAAGTACACTGGTTTGCTTCCATTTGTCAATTCGTACATTATCTCTATAGTAACGCTCATGAAATTTACAATGGCAAAGTATTTTTCCAATTTTAATGTGTCCTCCGATTTCTTTTCTCTAAAATTTGAACATCCAATACACCAGTTTGACATGGACATGCTTACAAAAGTAAAAAAAACAGATGACGAAAAGGAAAATGTCAAATTAACTAACAAGGCTATTTTGATGAACCTGGAAAATCTCTATTGTAATATGTTCCTGAATAAGGATGTGTGTTACCAAATAAAATTCGTTTATACATACTACAAAAAAATTTCTAGCATTATGTTTAAAATGAATAATTTTTTACTCAGTTATTATTATTTGAAGAAAAACTTACTGTTCATATGTGATTTGGTTTACTTCCCTGAAGTTGTGCACAACTATTTGCTCCTGATGAATATCATTTTAAAAAGTGGAAGAGAGAGAATTGAGTTACTAACCCAAGAGGAAATCTTCTTCGAGAACTTAAACAACCAATTGAGTATTTATTATAAAAAAAATTTGGACCTAGACACAGACACAAATTATGCAAAGGATAAAATAGTCAAAGATATAAACGATTTTAAAATTTATGAAGACAGCGATTTTTGCAATATCGATTATGTGAAAACACCCCTTAATACTTACTTAACCAAGAGGCATATTTATGAGTACAGAAATATGTTGACTCAGTTTTTGGCCTACTTAACCTTTTTGATAAAAAATCCTGACCATTTTAGTATATTGTCAATGAAGTGTAAAAGGCAGATACTCCACATGTTAAGTCTAATCGTTTTTATGAAGAAGAAAACGAGTTACTTTTGCTGCAGTAAGGCGCGTCCGAACAAATCAAAGCAAGTGGCTACCCCTGCAGAGGGGGATACTGACGGCAAAAGAAACTGCTGTGATCATGGCAATGTACAACAATCAGGTGAAAGTTCCACAAATGAGAGGAACAAAGAAAGCAGCTATCACGAAATGGTGACACCCCACAAAGTTAAGAAAGAAAATCAAGGCAGCCACAAAATAACAAATTTTGAAAAAAACTTTTTAACATGTTTCAACAACTGTAATGAAAAAAAAGAAGAAACGTTTTTTAACTTTTTCCTCGAAAAATTATTTATTATAAGTAACTTCGACACAGACCTATTCGACGTTGAGCTGGACAATGAAGAGCAAGTTGAGTCTCTCATAAAATCTCAAGTGTTAGGTGATGTAAGAAGTCTAAATTTTGTGCAACCAGCAGGTGCCCACTGGAAGGATAGTTTCCTAAACCTGGGGAGTAAAATTTCAAGTGAGCAAGAAAAGGCAGGCCAGAACACCAATGTTGGGATAAATCGGGCCAACTGCATAGAGGAAACAATTCATCATGAGTGCCATCGCAATGCTGCTTCGGACCACTCGTTCAAGATTAACGATATTGCAGTTTTGAATTACCTTTATTTAAATTACAACTTTGAACAGAACTTAACCTACACGGAAAATTACATTACTAATAGGCTTTTCACACTTAACTGCAAAAAAATGAATACCTATTTTGTGAAAATATTGCTTTACTATATCAATTTGATATTTTTAAAAATAAAAAATATTTTCTGCGATGATTGCATTTACACCATCAAAAAGCAGCAGTCCCTTAACTCCTCAGCGAATGATTGTTCTAGGAACATTTTTTTTTTCTTGTTCTTAAAACTTTTTCGTTTTTTCAATTTTACCAAGAGAACTTTGAGTGACTTATGCGTCAATTATTTCCCCGGAAATAAAAATTATGCCTCATACCTAGACAAACTGTCTCAGAAAATGAGAAATGGAGACCTTTCAGCGGCGCAGGTCTACGCGAATGGTGGAAGGCACATCACCGAAGACACACATACACATAATGTGGACGACAAACAAAACAGCTGTGATGATAATACAGCAAATGGATTAGACAAAATGTTTCTGATTAATTTTTTGGAAATTTTTTTATACCCACAAAAAAATTGCAGCTTTGTAGAGGTGCTAACTGTGTGCTATGAATTCTTGACAAAAATAAAAGACGATAAATGGAAAAAACTGAGGAAGACAAATAAACAAAAAATGTACGCACTGTTAAAAACGGCTGTTACCGAAAGGGGGGATCGAAAAAGTCCATCTCTTTTTCATTTCCAAACCGTCTTGGTTCTCCTATCCTTGCTCCTGTACTACACGTGCAAAAGATCTCTCGTGCATGAAATGAGGAAAGTCAGCCAGTTTTTCCTAGACTTTGTGTTTTTTTTTATAGAGAACATAAAGAACAATTTGATCATACTGCAGATAATTGAGGCCTACGGGGGGGTGAACACAGATGGAGACACGGATGGACATTTATCTGAGAGGCGCACCCAAGTCAACCTGCTAAAATTCTACTTCCGAAAACTGCTGTCCCTGCTATACCTCTACACAGACGAGCTGATATTGTATACCATCAAAAATAATATAGATCAGGAAATAAGCCAAAAAAATTATTACAGGAAGCATGCCCACGAAAATTTAAATATAGAAACGATTAGTAATTATGAATACATAGGTCAACCTAACTTGAGCGAATTTTGCTTCTACTGGGATTACGCAATAGTGTCAATGAGCCACGACAAGAGTGACTTGTACATTGCTCGCTGCTTTAAAAACTTCCTCTTTGTTCTAATTCGAATCATTAAAGAGGGCGCAATATGCGAGGAGGCACATAATGAGGGGCAATTCAGTGGAGAGAATAAGGCTTTCACCAACGAGAGGACCAATGCTCGAGACAATAGTAAGAAAAGGAGAGATTCCCATATTGAGGGTGATAAGGAATGTTTCAATTTTTACAGAAGAATAAATAACCTTTTTAGTGTTCTAAATGATGAAGATTTATGTGAGCGGTTACTCATTCAGGGGGGGAATCTGCCCCCAAGTGATGACACAATAATGAGACACCTAAATGAAAATGTAAACCAGGGCACATATGATGCACAGCAAGTGTACGGCGTGAAGAAGGGCAATTTTGAGCACAATGTGGATGAATACAATGGAGCACCACCTAATACTCCCATCCTATGTAGTACCAGCGAATGTGGAAGTAAACAATTCGGGGGTGACGCGATTATCCGTGAAAGTGAAACACGTGGGAAACATTTTGAAAATGATAAAATGGGACCCGAGCAGTTACACAACCAGCACACTGTAAGTATTTTTTTCACATCCATGGGAAAAGGGGGAATGGATATAACTAACGAGTTTGGCGAATCGAATAAGACGACCAGAGATCTGAGTAACGATTCCTCTGTATCACACTTGCTGAAAGAGAAAGACCAGCTGGCAAAGGACATTGAACTTGTGCGATTCTTTTCGCGCTTGTACAAAAATGCCGATAGCTGCATTGAGAGTAGAAGCGGTGAATATTTCCACGTAGAAAAAATACATCTAAATATTGAAAGGTTCCCAGTTAGGGAGAAATGGAATTACATAAAGAAATTAGAAAAAATACTAAAGCAATATCAACATATGATAAAAATAATGTGCGAAATTTTACACGAATCAAAGAACGTGGATCGGAGTAAAAGCAATTTAAAAATGTTCATAGATCTGTGGTGGAATAACAGATACACTTTAGAGCAGCATTTAAGGATACTCAATTTAGACATCTCCAACACTCTCGGGTTTTCCATCCACAAATTGATGTCCATTCCGTTGATTTCTTTAAATGTAAGAACCAAAATAATGCTGAACAGATGTTCCAACTGGAAGGATAATGATCAAAAGGAGGTTTCCATCCACAGTGAAAAAGACAATACACAGGTGAACAGCGCATATAATACCCTATCAATTGTTAATAACCAGAAATATTATTTGAGTACCAATTTTGACCTGTTCGTGGTTCTATACTACTATTCGAACATGCTCAACATCATAGCATGGATTAATAAGTGGGGGAGGTACTTTGTTCCTCCAAAATATTGGGACCATGCACATTTTGTTAACGTCCTCCTAAATTTGACTGTTTTTTCCATCGTAATGAAGAACTGCAATGTACAAATTACGCAGGCGAAGAGAAAATACTTAAGGTGTGGAGACATTTTGGGTAACCACTCGAGCAGAGATGAGAGCACCTTTATCGGTAACGTAATCCGTGGAGACACTACGGATGGGGTGGACTCCTTCTCATCTTGTAACATGACCAAGGAGAGTTATATGAATAAGGTAGCTCCCAAAAGTTTGATCCCCATTGACAAAAAAGTCGTGACATCCTATTTGCCCTTCATTAATAAGGGCATTGAAACGATTCTACTTTTGGAGGAAAGGAAGAAAAAAAACAAAAGGAGAAGCACCACAGTAGATCAATCATATATACTTGGTATAAACCCCACAAATGAAGGAAAAAAACGGACGATCGTTTCCAGTATGCATGGCTGGAGTGTAAACATTGAAGGGAGCAATAATCATAATGACCGTTGCCGTTCTACATATAGGAGCATGCAGAGGGAGGAACTAGAACATGTGGAGACCATAGCAACTATGGACAATAAGTACAGAATTGTTATACCCAAAGGGGAGAGTGAATTTGCCTACCCACAGAACCCTAACAATAAGGACAGTGCCAGTAGGAGCAACACACACACTGATGAGAAAAGAGGCAGGAGAAGAACTATCAATGTAATCAGTGAACAAACGGAAAATAGTGTAGACAGCTATTGTGTGGATAGCCGTTTGCCTTATAAAAACGAAAAAAAAGGTAGAGATCAAGTAAAGGTAAACTCAACAATATATAGATATGTGAGCCCCCTGAAAGCAAACAATTTTGAGTATACGAAGAATCAAGATCAATGTGACATGCTGAATATAAGGGGGAAAAAAAAAAGAACTACAGTGGCAGGGACGTTAAATTTGGATCATCTGAGAAAACAAGATGATAAAGAAGAAAAATATAAGGAACATATTTATTTAAAATATTTGGATTTAAAAAAAAAATGTGATAGGGGGGTACTGAAATGCTCTTTCCTAAAATTAAGGATGTACTTGTATAATATACTGATAGATATTTTCGAAAATAATAATATTCATCCCAAGAACATTTTTAACCTTTTTAACATCATCACGCATTCGTTCCTTACGGATGTGATCAAATGCACCATGGTGGATGATGAACTCGATTGTGAACGATTAACATATGTGAAAAACGTAGAACATAGAAGAATCAGGAAAAACCCCGTCGTTGTATATATACATAATAACTTAAATAGATTACCCTTTGAAAATTTGGAGCCCCTAAAAGATTCCTACATCGTGCGAGGGGTGCACAAATCGGTCACTGCCTATTTGTACGACAGGGTGTTGGCGAAGATTAAAGTGGACGAAGCTAAGCGAAAGCGGCTGTCCGTTTCGAGTACACTTCGGGGGGAGATGGACGCAGGGGATGAAGAAGATGAAGAAGAAGAAATGGAAGTAGAGCTACGAGCGCATCAAAACCGTGGAAACCTCCGAAACGATGAAGAATCGGACAATTATGACGATCAAAGTGACGACTTTGGTGTGGATGAGTACATAAAGCAGGAATACTCAAAAAAGTGGAAACTTGATCATGTAAAAAATGTGTACCAAAGGAATAGTACACATCGTGCGAGTATCGATTTGCAATGTTCTCATCCTTTCGAATGGAAAAGTAAAAACGCTGATGTGCCACAAAACATCATAGATCCTTGTACCACCTCCCAATTGTGTAATACAAAAGGGGAAAATAAAAACGTATCTAAAAAGAAAGGCAGAAGCTCCATTTCGTATATATTAACGCACCACGTGGGGGTCTCCAAAGATTCTGAAAATAATAACGATAATTACCACCATGAGCTTAACACATGTAAGGTGAAAGCGTTCAATCGTTATGATGACCAGGGCAAGACCACATCCCAAGTAGATCGCCAAAACGCTTTGAGAGCACAACAGAGACATACGCTAACTCCATATGGGAATGAAACTATCAACAACACAGGGAACTTCGACGCTTCTTATAGCGCAAGGATAGTGCAGGCAAGAGGAAAGGGCAGATACAGCTTGGTCGTTTCGAATGAAGAGACAAAAGGCCATCTCGAAAAGGGAGACATTGCCGGTAAAGACAATCCCAGTGAAAGCGCTCCGGATAAAAGGACAAAGCAGGTGCGTGGGAAGGGGCGAGGTAAAAAAAACTCACGCAAGAGTATCTGCATTGAGCATTCCTTCCTAAATCCCTTCAATAATAATAGTAAAAAGGACCAAATTGGCAAGCCATTTAGCGAGAGCCAGTTTACTGGTAGAGATAGCTGCACCCAAAAAAGGGAGAGAAAAACTCTGTGCATTAGAGCAACAGAGGAGAAACACAAATTGGGATTATCACATGCTGCTAAAAGGAGGTGTAGCGTTGAAAAGATGAATCCGCGTTCGTCATGCCCGTCCCACAATTCCCGCTCATCCTGCGCGTCTTCTTCTCCTCCATGCTCCGAATCGGAATCGGAATCCGTGTCGTCAGTGGAACTAATTCAAAATGAAGACGAACTGAGAAAAATATTTATGAGTGCTAGAAAATCGATGAATATCCACAACATGATGGGTTCTTACAAAAACGAAGAATACAGCTTTTTCCTTTTAAAAAAAAAAAGAAAAAAAAGTGTAAGTGAATCAGAAGCCTACTTTGATGACGAAAACAAATTTTCAAGTTCGTACGTAAAACATGTTAAAAAGGATAATAAAAGGAGGAGCTACTCGGCCGACCCGGAGCATCATTCCAAGGCGTCCAAAATGAAATACGTAAAGTACGTTCCTTATTACATTAAAAGTTCCAGGTTAGTAGATCCTAAAAAGAGTAACATTTTTTTTGTGATTAACCCTAATGGGGATTTAAAAAGAACGGAAGATGCTACATACCCTTTCATTTATTTTAAAAATAAAGAAAAATACAAGTATAAAAATTGGAATGGATACTTTGGAAAAGTGCCATGTGAAAAAACTCTGCTCAAACATTTGTGCCGTGATGACTTGTATCTTTATTGCGGCCACCAGGGGGGGGAACAGTACATCAAAAAGGACATAATTCAAAATGCCATTCTGCATTATAACGAGGGTTTGGGGGAAGAGGCCAAAGAAGGGAACCCCAAAAAAGTGCAAAATGGAGATAGCGGAATCGCAAAACGTAGTAAAAGCAAGGCACAAAATAAAGAAAATCCCCTTTTTACTCAAAATAAGAACAAAAAGAGAAGAAATTCGTGCAATTTTGAAGCAAAAAAACGCATTGTGGACAAGCGGATGAAGAGAAAATCTGTTGGGGATATCATCCACATCCATAGCACCAGTGAAAGCAGCGATGCTTTATGCACACAGACAGAAATGGAAGATGATGAAAGTGACCATGTTGGTGATCCCCATTTGTCGTCTAACCAAAATGATGGCATAAATTCGTGTGTTTTTTTAATTGGGTGCAGTTCAGGGTTACTGTCATCACATGGATTTGACTTAGACGTATGGGGCACTCCCTACGACTACATAGTAGGTGGGTGTGTTTTCGTTTTTGGGAATTTATGGAATGTGACAGATGGAGAAGTTGATGGATTTACACAAAACTTTTTCTGGAAATGGACACAGCCAAATTCTTCATCTCTATTTTGCTCCAACTATAATTATAATGGTGTCCAGATGGCAAACGTTTCCACATTTTCCTTTCGCTTCTTTGCAAAAATGTTAAGGGGTTGTTCACAAATGGATGTGCGTGAAGAAGGCACAGAATGGGCAAGCAATTGTTGGAGGGATGATGATAGTGACCATAATGGCGGAAGTGACGACCGTCTAATCGAAGTGGGGGACAATTTCGTCACGATTGATTTGGACACGTACACATACTTAAAAAAGAATTCTTTTTTTTGTAAATATTTCCAAAAATGCTATAATTGCAACATCGTTTTAAACCAAAACCTTTTTAGTATAAATCAGAACCGGAAGTACTCTTGGCTTAGCATGACAGAGGCTTTAGCGGAGGCCAAACAATTTTGTCGCTTACCAAACACGACGGGTTCGGCTGTTGTTATTTATGGCCTACCCTTGTAGAATCTAACAGGGAAGAAATCAGTACCTGTATATTTTGCGCCTTTTTTTTTTTTTTTTTTTTTTGTGTGTGACCTATTGAAGTTTTTTTATTTTGATATATTCCAGTTTGGCTTAATGTTTTTGTAACATTTGTAACGGAAAAATTTTTGTTTTTATGTTTCCTGTACGAAGCTAAATCGAGGGGTTCTTCATGTACGCATCATACAGATACACATTTGGTACATGTATACTCACAACGCATGGGATGAAGGCGCCCCCTTTTTGAACTGTCCACAAAACACCTCTAATTATCCCATTATCTGGCAACTGGGTGGTAGGGAACCGTTTATGCATTTCCTTTTAGCCTCCTCATTTCTTTTTAATTCTGTTCATAATTAAGGGTGAAAAAGTGAGATAACTAAAAAGGTGTTTAACCAGGGGAACCGCTGTGCATGAACGCGTAAGTTAATTATACGTGTGCGGTCCCTTCACAAAAGGTTCTACAACCAAACTGCTGTTGTGTGGCAATTGGATAGGGGGCACAGTGTGGATGAGAAACATCGTAGCGGAATGCCTCCTCAAGCGTGAACATACAAACCGTATATATGCAAATGCGCAGAGAATACTTAAAATGGATGCACATATGTATGGATATGTGGGTATAAGAACGCAATCACGCATGTGGGATGCAGTTGGGAGAGCGCTTTACGTTAGAAATACTCTCTGACAAAACAGCTGCACATTTCATCCATAATACTGGAACATGTACAAAAAAGTAATGAGGAAAAAAAAAAAAATGGTTAACAGGTTTCTTTAGCACAATGAATCTGCAGAAATGGATAGGAGCCATGTTGTGATTCCAGATTGAACCACTTAACAAAATTACTGCGCGTATTTTCTGGCCCCACTGTGCATTTGCCAATTTTGAAAAAAAAAACAAAAAAAAAAAAAAAAAAAGGAATTGTTCACAAAAGGGGGAAGATTTTAAATAATGTTTTTTTTTTAATCTTCCAAAAATAAATAATATCGCATTATGCATAAATGGATAATAACATTGTATACATAAAAAAGGATGTAGCCTTTTTGTGCAAAGTCCCAGTACTCCAAATGAAGTAAATTAATTAAAAAAAAAAAAAAAAAAGGGGGAGGCATATTTTGTGCGGAGGGCAAAATATATTTAGGAAACCCTTACTCTGCCCAATGTATTCGTGGTAATTCCCTTTTCTCCTTTTACTAAACGGTCAAAATGAAGCATAAAGTTAAACGTGATATAATCAAGTGCAAAAAGAAATTGGAGAACTCCATCAAAGCTTTGGAAGAAAAAATTTTAAGACTCGAAATAGAGTATCACCAAAATTGTAATGTTAATGGAGGGAATTTAATGAAAGGCTGGGATAACTACTTAAGGAAGGCGACCCTGGAACCCCTATGCTTTAAAACGTTTAGAGATGACTACAACGATGCGTACATAGAGCGGATGCTGTCCCTAACCTCTTGTACCTCCCCCGCGGCTGCTTTCTTTCAAGGTGAAAACACGGAAAAGGTGAAGTCTAACAATCAAGGTTGAGGAGTATATGAAAGTTCGTCTGTATGCACAAGAGGAGTGGTGTAAAGCTTCTTCCTTCTGAATATTGCCCCCCAATTGGGTATGCTCCGCTAAGGGCTGCCTTCTTTTATCTTACTTGAGACAGCAGAAATGTGTCGTGCGACAATGTTATATATATCACACAGTGCGGAAGAACAAAACATCAAAACTACGCAATAAAGGCATGTAATTAGATGAATGAAAGATATACCCCTGCTTTGTAACGATGACCAAGAGAGAAGACCACAATTAGGCAAAACGGATAATGCCACGATGGAATAAAATGTGTCATAACGTACTGTATTTAATCACAAAGTGGAGGAATACCTGTAAGGAAGCGTCAGCAGTGTGACAGTTTGTGAATATTACTGACGAATTATTAACAGAGTAACAAAAACAAAGACGTTTTTGTTTTTTTTTTTAAATAAAGTTTAAACAGAGCAATGGTATGAGAAAGTGCTCCAGACAAACGGTTAAAACTACACGAAGGAAAAGGGATGCACCATAATTGTGCAGATAAGCCTACATGTGTGCAAGCATATATAATATATATATGCTTCTTTTTTTTTTTCCGAATTCACGCGGTGCACTCTGGGAGTTGGTACTTCCGCTGCGGAACTCCAGACAGGGAAGCGGACCGCAGAAGCTTACACCTTTTCATTTTTGTAGAATTTTTTTTTTAAACAAATTAATTTTAATTTTTTTTTGTAACAATCTCCTTCTCCTGATAGAATGTTTTGTTCTTTTTCTCTTCGGTCGTATGTACTGATTTGATATATCCTTAATTTCTGACCAGCCTTCATTCGGGAGGACCTTAAAAAAGCGACCCTTAAAAAAGAAGGAGTTTTTTCTTCTAGTTTTCCATGGCAATTCCCACAGGGCTTGGTTATTTTGTTCCTTGTCCACTTCTTCATAGTGCTCCCCTTGAATGGGGCACAGAACCAACTCGTTTGAGTAGTCATCCTCCGTTTTTACCAACGTGGTTTGTAACTTTAGGGACGATTTATTTAATTTGTTGAATCCTTTATAGAGATAAATATCGCAGTCCTCCTCGAGGGTGAAGTTGATATTTTCACTCGGTTTCTCGTCCGTTTCTGTTTCGCATTTAATGCGATGTGTGGGGTTTCCTTCATGTTGACCTATACTTGTAATGTCGCTTGTAACTTCTATGTTGGTGTCATTTATCGTGTCTTCCCTGGAAATGAGCAAATTATCCACGTCTTCTGCGTCACCTCCCTCCTTCAGTTGTTCCCCATTAAAAAATGCTTCATCTGGATGGCTTAACAAATTGGGGCTATTTTGCTGTAACTGCTTTTCCTTACCCGTGTCAATATGTAGCGATTCCTCCTCCTTTTCAATAAAATGTTCAATGGGGAGTCCTGTGTACTCAGCTGATAAAATAACGTCATACATTTTGGGTCTTTCGACGTAATTTTTCCTCTTCACGAATTTCTTTTTATCATCCGTTAGGGTGATCTTTTTCTCCCTTGAGTGGTTCTCCTCCCCCGGCAGGTAGTAGTTCATTCCCCCAGGTAGGTAATCCATTTGGCCTTGTTTCCCTTCCTGATTCAAATTATTCCAGTGTGGCACATGTCCCCTCATTTTTAGCTGTATGTACATGTCTTTTTTAGCAGAACATTCTCCTAACAATTTTATGTATGATGACAGATGATATGGGTGTGTCAAAATGTTGGGTATTTTTCTTATTCCCATATTGCTTTCATAACGTACAAAATCGAAGAGCCTTTTTCGAAAGTATTTATCATACATATTCACAATAAAAGATCTGGAAAACGTTGCATATTTTCTTACAAAATTCACTAAAAATGGAATACTCACAGTTTCGTAGCACCTTGCAAAAAGAGCAATAATTTCCGCATTGCTGTTATGGTTAATCGTTTGGCCCAAATAATTTATCATATTTTCATACGAAACTTGCGAGTACTTATCCCTATACATTCCTATTCTGCTTATTATTTTCAGGCACAATTCCGCACTGCAGTTTTTTACAATTTTATACGCAAACAGGTTATTTAACACATCTAGGGGTACACTGTCAATGTCTAATACTTTTATAGTCTCCATTTGATCATAATTTACATTTTTTGCAAATTTGTGTTTACGACGAGGAGGTTCTTGGACATTTTGCTTATTCAAAGAGTCAATTAATTTCTTGTAATGTTTTTCTTTCGTCTTTTCCTTATTAAATACATTTGTGTCTTTGCTCAAGTGTTTAAATTTTTTTGGCAATTGTTCCGATATCTTTAATTTACACAAAATGGAGTTTCTAAACTTCATCAGATTCTTTTCATTTTTTTCAAAAAATTCTTTCATCTTTTCAACTTCTTTCTGTTCCTCTTTGTATATTTCGTTTATAAAGGAGTCCACTTTGTTCTTCCCGCTACATTGTGCAATTTTACTGTTTGGCTTAATTATATGCGATGGGTTGTTTTCCTCCAGGTGGACATCATTCGTTGTCCCGCTTTTTACTTCCTCCTCTGAGTGCTCATGAGCGTCTTTAATTTTTCTTTGCTTTCCCTGAGTAACATCTTTCTCACTCATGTAGCACATTTCGTATTTGTTCCCTTCTGAAGGAATCACTTTTTCGTTGACACAATTGTGGTTTTCTCTTTCATTGGGGTAACTATTGCAAGTTCCTTCAATGATTTGGCTACTTTCCTTCTTAACGTGGGCACTCTTCCACGATTCCTTATATACGCTATTGGCAGAGGCATGCCAAAGGTTCCCAATTAAGCTGGAGTTCAGGTTGTTCGTGAATAGCAGCGTGTCAATATCGTCCTCGAATTCTTCTACGTCTTCTCCCCCCCTCAAGGGTTCATCTTCATCCGGCAGCAATTCATCCCCGTCGTCTACGCGATTAACTTGGTTTGAGGTCACATAAGGGTTATCACTGCCGAGGTCTTCTGCATCTTCGTCTCCCTCCTCTACATATGTGCAAGAGTGTCCATCCTCAAATGTGCTGTCAAATTTGCCGTCGAACGTGCGGTCAAATGCGCCACTCCTCGTATGTTCTACATGTTGATCATACTGCAACATGCTTAAAGTTCCTACATCATCCCTTTTCTTACCTCCCCCGATTTCACCCCTAAAGGATGAAGCCCCTCCATGTGTCGCCTTTTTTTCAGATACACCATCAAAGGAGTAATGTCGTTTGCATATGTGGGCATTCCCCTTCCCGTGTTTAAAAAGAAAGGCTACATTAAAGTGTACACATTGCAAGAACCTCTTAAATGATAATGTATTTTTTAAGAGCATTTCAAACGGTTGGCATTTCATTCATTTTTTTTCACTTCCTACTTTAGGGAATAATATGATTTGTGCGCGTGGTGGAAATGGCCATCGAAGATTTCGCTATTTTTTATAGAGGTGGCCTTTTTTGCAGTTGTGCCTATATCCTTTAATTGTGCAGAACGCTTGTTCGCAATTTTCGTGTAAAATGCAACATTTTTTTTTTTGTGGAGCTTTATATTAAACCAACTTAACATTCTTATTCTTAATTTTTCACTCTGCGAAGTAGCGCTATCGCCATTCGGTTTGAATGTGACCGTTCGGAGTTCGAGAAAAAAGGGAAGGCTGTGTGAGGAAAAATATTCGGGACGCTTTCGCGTTTTGTCCGCATTGCGAGCGTGGTTCACTTTGGCACAATTTTGTCAGGAATAATTTCTCAGCGCGTAATTTTTTTTTTGACGTAATTTTATTTTATGCTATTTTTCATTCCTTTTTGCTGTGCATTTTTTCCGAACTGTTTTTATCTCATCACAACTAAACGTAACTCATTTTGTGTTATTTTTTTTTTTTTACATCCCCTCACCATTTGCCCATTTGCAGGTAAACCAGCTGAATGGCCAAATGTTTATGCGTGAAGGGAAATAACCGTCCCATGTTACCATAAATTGGTCGCTGCTTCCGTATCCTTGTTGAGATAGCAAAATTGGTTGAGCAAATTTCACACACTGCATATAAACTCAGATTTGGGTTGCATCGCACGCTTATGTCAATATACTATATACACAACACAGTTTATGTGTACACATAAAAACATACATGTATGTATTTGCATGGCCGTGTGGCACACGAGAAAAAGTACGTACGCAGGATAACATTCAAATCTTGAAGAGAGCGAAAGAAAAAAATGGGAGCCCTATGTCACACCTTTTTTACCATGCTGAGGGACCTTAGAAGTTTGTACAAACCGTACACGGCCTTTTCCTTTTTGTTTTTCCCTTGTGCTATAAACGTATATGGCATTTATAAATTCAATAATTTGGAGTCCATATCCAACAAAGACGTGGCTCAGGTCAATGTGAACTGAAGGAAGTAGAATAAAGAGTGGAGCGCGAAAAATCAATAATGATTAAGTGCTTCAAAAGGATGTAGAAAAAAAAATCTGAACTGGGGGAAAGAGCCATTCTTTCATCCTCATTTCCGCACAAGGAGGACATTACCAGCGCAGAGCAGTATTCACATCTGCATGTGTGTATACAGAAACGCAGAAGTTGTTAGACATATATGAACGCATTAGATAATTTTTGAACCCTTTACCATTTGGACATTCGTAACAAGTATGCGACGGAATGAAGGAACGAAGGAGTTAAGGTCAAACACAGGCCCAGTAGTTAGCGCTTAAATGAAAGCACAGTGTAGTAAAAAAAAAAAAAAAAAAAAAAAGATTACACAAACTTTGAGAATGCCCAAATTGCGCATATAGAGGAGCCATATTTCTCTGCATAGGGGGAAAAAATGTGTAATAATTATATCTGCCTTTTACGTGTTTACACACGCTTGCATCCCTCTTAAGGGGAATATTTTTGCACACTTCTCGTAAGCGCGTATTTATGCACATTTACACGCTATTTTTTTTAAATATAGTCCTGTCTATTAGCATTCGTAAGCGACCCAGTAGCGGTCCCAGATTGTTACACTACATGTATGCATGTGTGTATGCTCTTTACCCGTCCCTTTTTGAATAACTTTTTTCAGTTTTTATGTTTTTAGACAATAAGACGCCAATCCCTAAAACGTACGTCGCGCCTAACGTATGGCAATACACATTTCATGGACAACTAACTTTAAATGTAAAACAATGAATGAGTAGGTGCTTATATAAAATAGTAGGACGTGCAGCCGTGCCCTTGCAGGCGAGCATATCGCATGTTCACATGAAGATGCAGACACCGATACGGACACTGCTGTAGATACTGCTGTGCATACTGATGCGCGCACTCCACCGTACAAATCCATGACGCAGGGCGTTTCCGCATCCCATTTTTGAACCACCTATATTAGCACGTATCTCTTACATCACTGTATATATATAATTCGACTTCCATTATATTTAAATGGTACAATATTTACACGGCGGGTAAAGGTATCAACCTTGGGCAAATGTCAAAGACGTATGCACCTGTACATAGTCATTTCTATACGCGCATACGTGATTTAAGCAGCGCTGGGTAGAAAAAATGCCCCCTTTTGAAATAGGTGCACGTAGAGCACAATGAGATGTTGGAACATAAGAATAGGATAACACCAACAAATAAATGTATACCCCTATACCTCTACATAACCATTTGCTTATGCACATTATGCAATTCGCAGCGCTTTAACCAGTTTTCCTTTATAAAACGCGATTCGTTGAACAGCTGGTGAAAGGTCACCTCTGTATCTGTGTAGGAATAGCTACACACCCACATCGTCCAGTCACACATGTATATATATATCCGGGTGAGAAGACCAAGTAGCGAAAGCCACTCAACATGCGCACACACGAACACGAATAATGCTTGTTCTTCCTGCACAATATCATCTTTGGAGTTATTAAAGCTGCAAACTACATACCAAACATACGGGTGAGTGGATATTAGTAAGAACAGTTGCACAAAAGGGTTCATCATATAAGTACCGCCACAACAAGCACTAGCTATCAACAAACAAATAGAAAAAAAACTGAACACTATTCTGACATTACTGCTTAATTACGCAGGTTTTTCCACATTACATTTTATGTAGCGTTTTTTCTACGTGTTAGTTCGCTATTGCAGATTCTCCCATTCGCGCATGTTTACCGTGGAACCCGCATGCAGCGTAGATTAATAATATTGCGACTCTAATTTTTAAGTGCAATTAACCGAAATAGAGGGATGTATATATTTTTTTTTTTTTTTGGTTGTGCTGCCGTAGAAACTAAGTTGCTTTCCCCTCGTTGCAAAAAAAATAGGCTATTATTATTACAATTGTTACTACCACGCTGCAGTAGTGCAGCCTACATGATTTCTATTTTCGCTCATCTGTCACCCCAACGGTATGTGCTTTAAATGACCGCCTAGAAGTAGCGCATCTGACGCATTTGCAAGCAAATTGCCCAGAACAAGTGAACGTCGTTCACCTTGCAATTCTGCAGTTTGAATCTCCCTGAGTGTATGTATCTTTGTGTTTGTCAATCCCGCATTTGCCTATTAACGCTTTCCACTTCGAGTTGCGCGTTTGATACTTCTCTCATCGTCTTAACTATTCGCCCACGCGTACTTCTGACACTTTACTGATTTTTGGCCCTGCGTCCCTTTGTCGCCACCGCCATTTTGGTTCTTCCCATTTTTCACGGCGAAGTGGCGTTATGCCCCCCGATGCCTATCCCATCAATTGTGCACTATTGCATTTTCACCGTTGTGTATTTATTTGTTATTGTACGAAAACATATTGGTACCCCGGTTCTTTCCCCACACAGCTTAGTGGTGATGCAGGAAAGTTACTCCGCCTTGTCCTTCAATTTGCATACGACCTTTTTTTTAATCAGTTTTTTTTTTCATTTTTCTTTTTTTTTTTTTTTTTTGTTTTGCAATTTGAAGAATATCCATCTTTCTTTGCGAATTTGTGATTTATTTCTCTCGTTGTGTGCTAATTCATGGTGTGTTATGCCTATACAAAAGTATATTTGTTCGCATGAGAATACATACGTGCATATATGCATGCCTTTGGGTGTACACATATGTATACACATACATTAGGCTTTTTTTTTTTTTTTTTTTCCGATAAATCTGGAAATTATACATTCAGCTTTTTTATACACCCACCCGACCTTCATATATCCCTTCCGTCCTCTTTTTTTTTTTTTTTTTCTTCTTGTAATTTACATTTTCAGTAATATGTCTTTCATTTTGTTTGGGGTGAATTTTTGTTCATGAATAAATATTTATCACCATATTTAATCAGTCTTATTCTTTCACTTTGAAGTACACACCGAAAGGGGGGAAAAAAAAAAAAAAAGCGATTCAAAGCTATGCATTTTACGTACGAAAGAAGATGAGTACACAGAGTGTTACACGAATGGACATATAAGTATGTCAACAGGTTAGCTGAGTACAATTTTTTTTTTTTAAATTTCTCTTTGAAAAAAGCAAACAAAGTATAATGACACGCAACATAATGATGCACAACGTAGTGACGCGTAACATAAACCCCTAGAACACGATGAAGTGCAACCTAATCAAATAAATTGTATGTACAATTTGAGCTTTAAAACAAAATAAGTAAGAATTAGTGTAGTACAATTTGGACATGTTAGCAACAGTAGCCTAAAATTTAAGGTGCACTTATAACGCACGTACACATGGGTGCTTGCCCGTGTAAACTTACACGCATGAAATGATTGCTTATATATATGTACACCCTTTCATAGTGTATATGTATATATTTAAGAGAAAAAAGGACAATCGAAGTATCGGAAGAAACCGTGCAGAGACCCTTTTATTTAACTAAAATGTTAAAGTAGGAAACAAAAAAATATAATAATAATAAAGGGGATATCATTATGGACAGATATAATGCTGATGAGGAGAAGAATTTGAATTTTATAACCCATAAAAACCGTGGTGCTGAAAATATGAATTCTAGAAATAGAAAAAGTAGTTTTATTGAATTCCAGTATGACAAAGTTGTAAATAATGTGTTAGGATTATTCAAGAAACAGAACAAGCAAAGGTTCCTGTCAACGTCATCTGCCTTACGCAATGACATGCATGAACAAATTTTAAGTTCTCGGTTATTCTTAGATTTATGTGAAGACAGGGAAATACTCTTACATAAAATATTAAAAAAAATAAATATTTTGAATTTAATTTATTTTCGCTTTTTAAAAGAGTCTGACATCGACGACGTATTCGATTTGCACAATGAGCTCTTTCCTGTAAAGTACCACTCCGATTTTTACTTTAGCATTTGCAATTTTGCGGATGATAAGGTAATAGACGACGAGGTTACCAGAGTCGTTGAGAAGATTTCCCGCTCTCTCAGGAGTAATACAGGCTCCAAACGGCACGACGGCGTAGTCAAGCCGAAAGAAGTGAACCGGGGCAGAGGGGGAAGGAACGGAGACGGTTGCGGTGTATGTCTTAAGGGTGGAAGCGCTAACCAATCCGGCCCTGCACCGATTGAAGAGAAAAATGACGACAAAGTAAAGCACCGCGCCACCTCTCCGCAAGGTGAAGACAATCATAAAATGAAAGGAAAGGAAGCCGAAGAGAGTGAAGAAACGGAGAAAAATTTAGACGAGCACGAAGATGATTCAGACAATATTTCAAATAAAAAATTAATGAACTTGGAAGATTACAATTCGTCAAATAATTTCGTGGACGCGAATAATGATGGGCGGAAAAGGATAAATAAAAAGTGGAAGGAAGAGGAAATATTCTCCATAGGTGCCTTCCTTCCTTTTTCATTTATTGATTATATAAACAGTGATCATATTACTAAATTTCTGAAGAGTAAAGCAATAGAAAAGGTAAGTGAAAAGGAGATCCTACTCGATTATATTAAATTTATTGACGACAGTAATAGGTTGCGTAATGGTGGAAGCGACATGAATTCGGCACACACACCCCAGTCAGTGGAGAATATGCAGTCGATCAATACGACCCATTCGGATGACCCCTGCCCATCGGATGGTCATGTGCATTCTGCTTGGTGTTCTCCCTCAGAGAGCAGAACAAATGAGAGAAGAATGTCGCCGAGTAAGCTAAGCACCAAGGCAAGCAATTTGACAAATCCATCTTCTAAATGTTTGCCCACGATTTGTATATCGGAAAGCGCACAGAATGATTCCCCTGTGAGCAAAAGCGAACAAGAAATGTATATGAACAATAAGCATAAGGATAGTAAACATGACGCAAGTACAAGTAAAAAGAAGGGCACGCCCCACACCTGGGTCCCTTATGAAAATGGACACGATACGTGTAGGTACAACGGAACTCAGCTGGAAGAATATATAAAAAAAAAAGAAGTCTTAAAGGACGAAAACAGCCAGGTAGAACATAAAAAGGAGAACAATGCGAGTGACGAACTCGATGATAAAAATCCTGATAGAAGTAACAATTTCAAAAAGGAGGAGTACATTAAAAAGTATCCCCCATCAGTGGATGCAACGGAAAAGGATACGAAACATAGCGATGCACACAGCCTTAAGAATAGCAGCGCTTGCGTGTCTTCCCTGCAGAAGGACAAATGCGTTCAAAGCGACGGAGGGGATGGAAGCGGGAAGAAGCATGGTGCCATTCAGTTCAACAGTTATCTAGAGAATCTCCACAACAATATGTATGATGAAAATAATAGCAACATTCAAAATATTTACAAACAGTTGAAGGAAAAAAACATTGAATATGAAGAGAGAAGTAACCCCATTCTCGGGACAGAACATGTGATAAGTCGTTTGAGAGATAAAATATGCTTAAGCAAAGAAACGCTCAATTTGTACAATCGTAATAAAAAAAGAGTGAAAAAAAATTACCTCGTCGGAAGTGTGTCAAATCTGATTAACTACCAAGATGCTAGAAACGAAAAGGATTTTATCAATATATATAACCATTTTAAAAAAAAATCGAATAACTCAACCAAGGGCAAGAACTACTTAAAATATGTGTATGATTCGTCTTTGAACTTTTTAGAGAATTATATCCCCCTAGATAAAAATGGAAATTCCAGCGAGAGGGAAAAAACGGCAAGCAACTTCCCATCGAATAATCTGAAAAAGACGGATCAAAATGAACAATCCAACGGAAGCACACTCCATACAAATGACAGAAATGATAAAATGAAAACACAGTTTAGCGATATGCTAAACCAAAATGGTGAAAAGATACCTAACTGCTCCTCACATCCATTCGATCAGGAAAGAAAAAAACTCATACGTCTACACAACGTGCTGAACGACTTATCCGTTTTGCGAACGCAACATGTTAATAAAGACACAAATTTTGAAAAGAAATTATATGAAGAAATTTATATGAATGAAAATATCAAAACGATGACCAAAAAATATACTAAAAAAAAAATTAACAGTATTTACATTTTAACAGTGGGAATAAGTGAATACTTTAGGGGACTAAATTTAGCTTCCTATCTCATTGAATACACTGTGTTTTATTTCTATTTTATTATTTACAGAATATTTCTGTACAAGAGTAAATTTTATTGCTACATTGATAATGATATGTTTTATAGCATTTCTTCTAGCCAGTTAAATGACGAACACCAGAACGATTTTTTCGACGAGGGTTTACTCACGGATAACTCGTCGGACGATTTCTACTCCATCCTGAGTGATGAAAAATCGTTCTCCGATAGGGACTACAAGAGGAAGAGTTTAAATGGAAAAGAAGACATGTGCATGTGGGAAACAAGGAATTGCCTGGAAGCGGAAGGGAAACCATCCGATGGAGCACCACATGGTTCTACTAGGAGTTCGCACGAACACTTGAATGAACAGAAAAACGAAAATAAGTGCGTCAATCCGAATTACTCTTTGCAGAAAGAAGATTTCGTCAGTGCTGAAACGGATGACGAGAATAAGGAAGCGTCATCGAATTTTAATAATAAGTCCCCCCTGTGTGGTAATTATCCAACTCAGCTTAACACCCGTCAAGCAGATGAACATAGGAATAACAGAAAGGAGAGTCACCAAATGAGGGACAACACCCCACGCACGTCTAAAACGTACAAAATGAATAACATGAATATTAACGCCAATCACGGAAACAAACGCAAAAACAAGTGGGGCACCCAGAAGTCCAAAAATTATAGCATTTCTAATGGAGTTCTACGGGAGTGTTACAAACAAATCATACTGAATGATTATTTGCACCACCTGTATGTTATTATTCGAAATAAAAACGCGGAGATGTTAGCAGAGAAAAGGAAACAAAATGGAGAAACGCAAAGAAAAGATCCTTTTCCTGCGTTCTTTAAATTTCCCCTATTTAAAAATCCCCTGTACAACACAAGCCTTAACAATAAAATGCTGGATTTTTTTTTAAACAATTTTTGTGCCTTCAATTTAAAAGACAGACCATTTTTTCACCTAAAAAAGGTGAATGCAAACAAGGTTTGCTTGGATTATAATGACGATGAGGATGATGTGCCCCTGCCTCTGTACATGTACCTACATGTCATAGATTATAATAAAGCGGCCATAAATTTGTATAACAAGCTAAACTTCGATTATATTTGCACGTATGACAATTTTTATGATATAAACAAAGTGACCTTCTCTTCCTATTTGTATGCATATTTCTTTTAGCTCCTAATTTGTTCTTCATGCGTGCCACTAAATTTGAGCGTTTGTGTGCGTTTCTTCCTACGCCCATGTGTTATGCTTTATTTGTATCGTGCATCGCTAAATGCGCCAAAACAAACAAAAAATGTTGCAATGTGGCACACACATTAGCAAATTCCCCTTTGTATCTGTCGCGACAGTCACCCTCCCAAACATTCAGAATTTATGCGTTGCACGTTACACGTTACACGTAACACATTTTTTAAGGAAGACAAATTCGAAACAGGTAATGTCAAAAGGGATATTAAACCTCTTTAACTACAAACCCACCTGGATTATTTGTTTGTTATTTGCATTATTTTATATTATTTTTTTTTTTTAACGTTTCTCTGTCACGAAAATAGTTCATACGTGCCCGTTTATGTATGGGCCTGTAATATGTATTTGTTTATTTATACATTGCATGTGTGGGTAACGCCCCGTCGATCTGCTTTCCAACCACTTGGTCCATGTACAAATATGTGTCCACGTGATACAAATGATGCTTTACTCATTTGATAACAACAATGCATCTCGAAAAGCAAAGTCTTGTCGTTTAAAAACCATCACGCAGCCTGCGTGTGTGTTTGCAGTGAGAAATGAGATTTCACGAAAAAAAAAAAACAAAACTTTCCCCTAAGGGGGGGATGGTGTTTATACACGCAGGACAAGTGCAAAGGTGCGACGTAAGCAGTTGCTAAATAGGGCAAGAGAGTAACAACGTGAAGGGGAAATAGTAGAATCAAAAAAAAAAGGTGGGGGAAAATGACCCACAGGAGGATGCGTTTAATGGGAAGAGTAACGCGCATGTAAGTTTACCAGCAAGGTGCCACGTATGCTTTTTTTTTTTTCCCTTACACCTTACATGCTGAAAATTCAGAGGTAAATGTCCGGAGACACCACAGGAGGGTGTGCAACCGTGGCCGCCCTACAAATGATGGGGCTACATTTGGAAAATTTTGTGTGCTGCAAAAGGGAACCGAGATAGTTCATTTTTTCTTCCTCACTTGGACAATTCGCAAAGGCATCATGGCAAATGAGAATTTCACTAAACCCTTCTTTTCTCAAATGACTGATTTTATTTTCTCGGAAATGTCTTTCCTCATTTTGCTGATACAGTGGATATAATTTCCATCCATTTTCCCACTCTATATAAATTTTGTAAAAGGGATCACAAATGTGCAGCACGTAGGGACCATGGAAAAATGTAATAAATTCATAATTTAGCATTTTCATATATTTCTTTAAAATGTAAATTTCCTTTTCTCCTTGCATATGTTTGTTCACGTTACATGGAAGGCTCCGAATTTTTTGAAGGAAATTTTTATAATCACTCGGGAGAAGGCAGTATATATTTTTGAAGTCGTGTATCAGGTGCATTTCGATCAGTTTTAGGTTAAAGAGGAGGTTGTCGCCCTTGTGCGTTCGCGCCGCGTCCTCTTGGGTGTTCTCTCTGCCGCAGTTTTCAAGTCCAGACATTTCATGTCCAAATTTTTCACTTACAAATTCTTCACTTGCAAAATTTGCATTTGCACATTTTACGCTGAGGTTCTTTTCTCTGGGGGAAGCTGTGCTACATCTCATCAGCTCATGTTCAAATGAAAACATTTCCTCCGCCGTGGGAGAAAATTCCCCCGCCGACGCTGCACTACCACTCCTCCTCTGATGAGGGGGCCGTCTACCATTAGTGTAATCATCTGAAACGTTGCTTCCCCCCGTTGAGATGTTTCGTACTGGAAATTTTATATCATCGCTTTGTGCGACACTCCCATCAAATGAGTCAAAGTTTGCCACTACGTTGTTTACCATTTGTTCGTCGTGCGGCATCTGGGAAGGAGACTCGGGGGTGACTTCTCCTTCTTTTGCTTTTCCCAGATTAAGGGAAGTTCTCCTTTGGGCATCCCCCTTGACGGGCCCCTTTTTGACTTTCATAAATTTGTTCAAATGACTAAAGCTGAGGAATATATTTCTTTGGGATATCATTTTCCACTGTGTCATTTTTTTAAACAGGCTAACTGCATGACTGACTTGATTAAAGCTTGCCATTTTCTTCCCATATATGACATTAATTTTGTACGTAAGTTTTTCCGAGTTAATGAATAAGGGGACGACGGGTAAAACTTGGCATATGGCTTCACAGGGCAACTGGGAAAGTTTATTAACAATATGAATAAGTAAAATTTTTACAAAAGTTTTGTCTACATAACTGAGATAGTACGAATTCATCAATATTAAGTATAAATGGTATGTCCTGATTTTTTTTATCCTTTTGATAATCTCAAAACTTAAATTGTTCAAATATCGCTCATTCACAAATTTGCTTTTATTGTATCCGTAAAAAATTCGGCACAAATAATGGTCGTTCAGCATGTTCACATTTTGAAGAAAAAAAATGGATAACAAGTGAAATATATTTTTTACATGTTCATTGCACACAAACTCATTAGACGTTTCCATGTTCCTATTCTCGATATTGGTGTATATAAATAGGTTGTCTTTTTTGAGTAAATTCTCTACATCGTTGTTTCCATTCATTTGGCTTCCTTGGTATTTCTTCACATTTTTTTTCTCATGTAACGATGCGTCCTGTTTAATTGACATGTGTCCATTTGTATCACCATCCTTGTGGGCACAGCTTTGGGGAAACAAGGAGCCAACGCTGTCACCATACTTTTCCCGTTTTGTCTTTAAAAAAAAATATGAATTAATGTAACAAATGTTTAAATAAACCTTTACCAAATCGTGAATGTCGAAAAAGGGTTTCTTTGGGATGTTTTTCAACCCCTCCTCGTAACACTTTGGATTTAATATATTTTTTTTATTTTGTTGAAAATCAGTAGAAATGCAATTTACACTATTTAACACTAAGCTGCGCAATTCTTTCATGGTCGAATTTAAGAGGTCCAATTTTAGTAACTTATTTTTACTGCCGTATCCTAGATAGTATAACACTTCCCGGTTATTTAAATTTTGCAATTTTATATTTTCAAAATTGGGGGAAAATTTCCCCTCAAAATGGAACTCATTTCCGCATTTCTCATTTGTGTCCATAGACTTATGTGGAAGTTTCACATTTGACTGACTTGCGGTGTTGAAGAAAAAAATTCCTTTCCTTCTACTTCTTCCCTTTTCGAGTTTCGGGAATCCAGTTTTTAAGACAAACATTTCGTCGCCAACCTTGGTGATTCCTTCTCCGAAGATGCGGCGTACATGTGTTAGGGGCGCGCACAGCATCGCTTACAAAAAAGTTCGCGTCCACGTGACACATATGCATGTTTAGCAAATTCGCGTTTTTTTTTTTTTTTTTTTTTTGCGTTCACTCAAATTTGTATTTTTCTTGTATTTATTCAAAGCTCGCATTTTTTCCCTACACTCCGTTGTTGCGTAGCAATTGTGGAAGAGCTGTGTTTTGATAGCTCTCCCATTTGGGCACTTTACATTTTGTGATTTGCGTGTGGGCTTTCGCTGATGTGCCACGACACCTACATACTGATTTGTTTCCTTTTCTGAAGTCAGTTTTTCGCCATTACTGTCATTGTCATTGTTTCTTTTTTCTTCTGCACCTTTTTGTTAATTTTTCTTTTTTCTTCTGCACCTTTTTGTTAATTTTTCTTTTTTTCCTCGCATATTCGTCCCACATAGCAAGGTAATTTAAAAAGGCTACGAAAAAAAATGTGGCAATGTTTTGGACCGTTTTGCTCGTTGCCTGCATGCTGAAGTATAGAAAATTGAAAGGGGCGAATTCCGACGTGGCGCTTTTAAGACTCTGCCTCCGTGGAGGAAAGAGACGCCCCTAAGGGGTAAATGAGCACATTGGCAACATTGCTACCAGAAGCCGCGAATAAATTGAGCGCCTCATTCTGGCGCTTCTATCCCCCATTTATTAACACTAAAAGGCGAAAACGTCACCCTCGTCCTTAGGTGCCAAACGCGCACCAGGTGTATACACAGGAATGTGCACAAAGATATATGCACAGAGGCATATATGTAACTACACACATAGGTGCATTCGCGCAGGGTGCACTTTCTTTTTACAAACATCCCCCGGATATAAGCAACGAGTGTAACGATGGCGACCATGGAGGAAGGATTGAGCACTATGAAAAAAATCAAAAGCAACATGAGCAAAATTTGCTTCAATAGGTCGAACAAGCTCAACGGAGATTTTAAGGGTAAGAACGGAAAGAAGTAAAAAAAAATAAACAATGAATATTTACTAAGAAAGTGAGTACATGCATAGAAATGTGCACGATGAAAAAAAGAAAAAAAAAAAAGACTCACATAAAAGGTGTCCCTTCTTTTTGTTTGTTCCTTTTTAAAGATGACCAAATTGAAATAATCCTGGACAACAAAAACATAACGCCCAAGCCGATATACTTCAATTTTCAAGAAGCAGAAACGAAGAAATCTTTCGACCAAATAGGTAAATCGCGCACATCTCTTCTGCGATGGGGTGTGTCTAGGGCAGCCACACAACGAAGACAACACATGTATGCTCACATTAAACACATGTGCATTTTTGTGATTATATCTGCTCGTTTGTGCCCCTCCCACTAGCCGATGCGTGTGACTGTTCTCCCTCCCCCCCCTCATCAGACTACTTGCTTAAACAATTCGATGAGAAAAATGAATGTATCGACCAAAAGGGAAGCACAACAAAAGCCACTGGTGAAGCTAATCACACAGGAGATATAAGTGATGGAGCGCCACAACGTGGACTAAAGGAACAGGACTCTGTTGAGGCAGAAGATCAGCAAGAGGGACAGAAAGATATTCAGTACGAAGAGGACATTTTAAAATCCTACGATGGTAATGTTGATAGGCTACTTACAGGTGAAGGGCACAAAACTTGGAGCACTTTTTTATGCTCGTTCTCCTCTCCACTACTACTCTACAACTTCTTGAGACTGCTTCCTTTTAAAGTGCCATGAAATGTTCAACCCCCGCACCTGCGCAGAAATCCGGTTGAGCGAATCGGAAACGATCAATCTTCTGAACATCCCCAATATGCTATACGACATGGAGGAGGAAAAAAAGGCCACCGAAGAAAAAAACCAAAGATACGAAAAACTGATCAACAATGACGAAAGCAATTACATAAACAAAACCATGCAGACATTAAATGTGTTCACGAAGAACAAGGACGTCTTTGTTTCCACCATCAACAAACAGAACAAAAGTTCCCAGACGAATTTACACGAACTGCACAAGCTGACCATAAGGAATCCCTCGGACATGTTAAGCGGAAAATAGACAGGCGAAAAAAAAAAAAAAAAAAAAATACCACTCTAAAGGCTTCTCCCCATTAGGCAATTAGGAACTCCTTCACAATGATGAAACATCACGTCTAACGGCTGCGCAGAAGCGAAGGGGTGTTGTCTCCACGTGCCCCGTTTCACAGCCACATCAGACGAAGCAATCACTTCGGGTCACCTGTCCACTTCGCCGCTTCACCAAGTGCGCCCACGCATTCTACTCCCCCCCTCCCTCCGTGCGTACAGATCCGAGCTGCTGCACAAGAAATTTGTAAAATATAGAAACAAAAAGCTAAAAAAGATCATGGACGAATACGGAGACTCACTAAACATTAATGAAAGAGTAATTTTGAAGAAGAACATGTGGGTTCAGGTTGTTGATAGGAATGTAGTAGATAACAAGCAAACGACCATCATACCAAAATCATTTTATAAGTCCAAGAAGAATAATACGTCCCTTTTTAATACTCTGTTTTCCACAAAAAATATGTCTCGAACGTTGTCAAATAAAAGTAGAACATTCAGAACTAGGAGCAAATTTAAAAATATGAAAACGATGAAATTTTTAACAAGTAAGGAGAATACTTCCATGGTGGAGCGCTCTCTCTGTGTGTGATGAGCGTCAGTGTTGGGCAGCGGTGTGCTTGTCATGTTAGATAGTTGTATCCCCCCACCTACACACTCATTAATTCTCCTGAGTGTGTGCCGAGTTCACGGGAAAAAGAGAGAACCCTCCCTCTCCCTCATGCGCGTCACGCAGCGTGTTAAATGAGCGCGCTACATATCGCGCGTACCACATTGCGGTCGTCCCTTGTTCGTTCCTTCGCTTCCCATTTTCAAAGGCAGCTTCAGCGAAGACGAATATCTAATAAAATCGATAATCAAAAAGAAAAGGGAGCAAACGGACGCGTCCCCGGATAGGCCAGAAGACACTGAAGACAACGCAAATTTTATCCCATGGAAAATAAACAACCAGAAAAAAAATATAAACAAGAGATCCTTTGTGCATATATTAAAAAATATGGAAATGTACGTAGTACAAAATGTGTACTATTACGAGCAAATGCTGTACAAGAACATTCATTTGAGTTATCTAAATGATAAGAGAAAAAATAACAAAGTGAAAATGTTCGACGGGGAGAACTACGACGCCCTTACGAACCCAAACATAAACTACAAGAGAAAAAAAACGATTATCAGGATGAAAATAAAAATGAATTTAAAAAAGGCAATTAACTTTCACAAAATTAACAAATGTGTTGATATTGCTAGTAAGGAAGACATGCATGAGAAGACAAGTGAACCCCCCCTGAACGGAGGTCCCCAGTGGGCTACTCACTTGGACCTGCTAAAACGAGTAGCTATTCTGTCCAAGGGAAAGAAGAAAAATATAAAACGACAAATTTCAGCTGGCAAGATGAGGACACACATCAGGAAAAAGGCAGCAAGGAGAACCGGAAAAGAAGGAGTCCGCAATAAAGTGTCAAACCAAGCGGAAGACCAAACAGAAAAGACAGCTGAAACACAGGCAGATGATAAAAAGGCACCAGAGCCAGTGTCCAATACAACTGAACCAAATAAAATTGAAGATGGCAAAACGGAGGGAGACCACCAAATTTTCGATATCATTACAAATGAAGAAAGCAATGAAGATAAAATAAAAAAAATCAGCACGCTGATACTAGATGATGTTTTAAAAAATAACTGCAATGATGAAAAAAAAAAACAAATTTTGGAAAAGGACAACTTAGAAAAAAAAAAAATATCACATGTGCTAAAGAAGAAAGAGAAATTTACCTCCATCAAAGGGAACAGAATAAAGTTCGTCTCGGAGGTGAGACAAGACGATGGTATGTTCATATATGATGATGACGATGATTTCATGTGCAAATATGATATGCAACATGATTACAATGCCTACATGGAGGAATATACAGAAAAGGGGGGTACATATGGGAAGGCGAATAATAGCAATCGGCTGTACAAATTGAAAGGGAAAAAATACATCAAGAATATTTCCATTGATAAGCTATTCCAATTTCATTATAACAAATTAGAAAAAATAGTCACCTCTATAGATACAAACAAATTTTATGAAGACTACATAACAGCTAGCTATTCGAACACCCTAGACATTGGAAGCTTCCAAAATAGCAAAGGCAACGTGGCCATTTTTAGTTACATCAACCCCACGTACCCGCTAAGGCTGTATGACGTAAATTCAAGTGTACTCAAAATTATGTACTCAAATAATAATCCCAATCTGCTAGTTGCAACATTGTCCAATGGACACATCAACATTTACGACACTAGAAGTAGTGATCAGTTAGCTGTTTTGAAATCTACTAGTATAAAAAGTTATCACGAAAACTGTTTTGAACCCATATATGACATTTGCTTTAAAAATAACTACATGGCAAACAATACGCAAGAAAGTATTTTCTACTCTGCACATGAAAATGGGCATGTGTACCAGTGGACTATAGAAAAGGAATTAAAAAATAAAGAAATTTTATACCTAAAGAATAAAAAAAATGATTTATATCAAGGCCTCTCATCTGTATTTGAAAATAAAAATCTGTCCAATAAACCTTTTAACTCTTCCCTAACTTGTATTGACATAGATAATTATATGAACCACGATGAAGATTTTATCATCAGCACCATAATGAAGGAGGATGCAAAGCAGCTGGGCCACAAGCAAATACGTTACGACAATTCAGGGGATAAAATTACAAATTGTGATATTCAGGAACCGAGCAAGGTTTCACCAAACAACACAGCTTCGCATGAGGCAGGAGCTAAAGAATCTGAGACAATGATCAATGCTGCGGGGGAACAGTATGTGAAGAGCATATCTAGGGAAGAAGAACTGCTAAATCATTATAAAAATATTACGGAAAACATCAT